CTGGAATGCCGTTCTACCGCCTGATATAGAACTGAATGGAAATGTGTTAATGTACGAAAAATCTCATCGCTTTTTAGGGGTTATATTTGATAAAAGGTTAACTTGGCAACCACATATCGAAAATGTAATCACGAGAAGTAAAAGAAAATTAAATATCTTAAGATGTCTAACTGGAACAAACTGGGGAAGTTCCTCGAAATCACTTATCATGGTGTACAGAGCAATTATAAGGTCTCTTTTTGATTACGGATGTGAGGCGTATGACAGTGCAGCTGCTACCACCAAAAAAGCCATTGACTCTGTCCAATACCAAGCACTGAGAATATGCGCAGGTGGGCTGCCATTAACCTCCTTAGAATCACTACAGGTGGAAATGGGGGAAATGCCTTTGGATATAAGAAGACAAATGCTTTCAAGTAAATATAGACAAAACATCGAAAGATGGGCGAATCATCCGTTGTTAAAAAACATTGAACCATGTTGGCATTTTGAATACTTGAAGGGGAAAAACGTAAACAAACCTTTTGGATATAGAATACAAAGCAAGCTGGGAAAACGTATAGAAACGATAACCTACTCCCCATTTCCACCATGGTTATTCTACCCTCCGGCAGTGTCAACGGAATTAAGTACTCGAATAAAGAAAACAGATCATCCTACACAACAAAAACAAAGCAGCCTGGAAATCATACATACTAAATGGGCGACTCAATTACATATATACACCGATGGATCAAAAGTACCTGAAAGAGGGACCTCTGCAGCTGCTTTTTACGTCCCTTACTATTCTGTACATCGGAGCAAAAGGTTAGCAAATTTCACCTCTTCGTACAGGGCTGAATTGGCTGCCATCATTCTTGCTCTCAGATGGGTAGATGAATTAGACATTTATGTGGGGGTTGTTATTTTTAGTGATTCACTGAGTGCACTTATTGCATTACAACAACAGAAGGACGAATCTTTTATTCTGGAAATTCTCACCATGACTACTCACTTAAAGAATAAAGGAGTTGATATATAATGTAGAGTGGATACCTGGACATTGTGGAATAAAAGGAAACGAGATGGCGGATTTCCACGCAAAGGCCGCATTAGTAAAGAAAATAGAAGTCAATAATAACCTAAATATGTCAGAAATGAAAAGCTTAATTACTACAAGTTCCAAACTCCTTTGGCAAGAAAGGTGGAACAAAACCAACTCGTATTTGAAAACATATCAAAAAGATGTTAATAAACCATATATATGCTCATTAGAGAGACAACATTCAACAATAATACATCGACTCCGCTTTGGAGTCCTTGGACTTAACCAGGATCTCCTCAGATTGGGAATTCATGCTACTGGTTTCTGTAATAGATGCCCCAGTGAAATAGAGACTGTAAAACATTTTTTAGTACATTGCCCTAACTATATTATAGAAAGGGCTATGTTTCTAACAGAAATTAACGAATCCCAACCTGAAAAAATTATGGAATACTTAAAAAAGAGTGAGTCCAGTATATACAAAAAGCTATTGTACGGTTCTTTCTCAGAACGAAACGGTTCCCTATCAGGAAGTAATACCTCCCTTGATGAACAGTAAAATATAATACAATATTATAAATATGCTAGATTACACTCAGTACATTAAAAATATAATAACATAATGTAATAAGAAAATAAAAAAAGAACAGTAAAACATAATACAATATTATAAATATGTTAAATTACACTCAGTACATTAAAAAATATAATAACATAATGTAATAAGAAAATAAAATAAGAATAGTAAAACATTATACAATATTATAATATGCTAAATTACACTCAGTACATTAAAAATATAATAACAATCATAATGTAATAAGAAAATAAAATAAGAACAGTAAAACATAATACGATATTATAAATATGTTAAATTACACTCAGTACATTAAAAATATAATAACATAATGTATTAAGAAAATAAAATAAGAAAAAGTAACAACAATGATAAAAGGTATGATAAGATTACTGAATATAGAAGCTTGTGTAGGTGCTATCTTATATACATATTTATGTATGGTGTGTATGTGATATAACAAATCATCTGCACGTACTGTTCAGAAACACTAACAAAGCCCATGAATGTTTTGCTTACGATATTATTTTACGATACTATCTTAAAAGATAGATAAATATAAAACGAAATAAATGTATTTTAAAAAAAATCCAAAATTGAGAGATATAGCTGATTTAAATACACTGTTAAATGTTCATGCTATGTTTTCTACAATTACAAAACCAACAAGAATAGATATGAATACTAGTACTCTAATTGATAATATATTTACCAATGTTTCTGATAATAACATTGAAGCAGGGCTCATTTATTCTGAAGTTTCAGATCACCTACCCATTTTTTTGCTCCTTTCCAATTGTACTAAAACTAAAACTAAAATGAAAATGGTTGAGGTTCGTAAATTTACAGAGGATAATATTGGCAAGTTTAAAACTGATTTGATGTCGGAAACGTGGAATGATGTCTTAAATTGCAATGAAATTGATATTGCATATCAGAGGTTTTTAGAAACATTAACAAACTATTTGAATATAAATATACCAAAAGTCCAAATTAAACCTCGCAGAAATTTACCCAAACATCCATGGATTACCAGAGGAATTCTGAGATCTATCAAACAAAGAAATAAGTTATATAAAAAAAGCCTTTGTAACCCTACAGATAGAAAGAAGCAGGAATATAGACAATATAGAAATAAGCTAACACATATTATTCGTATATCAAAAAGAATGTATTACACCAAACAGTTTGAACAGGCAAATGATTCTTCCTCCAAGTGGAAGATAATAAATGGTATTCTGAAAAGGGGGAATGTTTCTCATTCAACTGTGTTTAGACATGATGGTATTACTGTAACGGACCCACATGAAATTGCAAATTGTTTTAATAATTATTTTTCAAACATAGGTGCTGAACAGGCTTCGAAAATCAAAGGGTGTAGCAATAGTTTTCGTGATTCTCTTTTTTATTCTTCTGTAAATAGTATTTTCTTCAACCCTACAAATCCAGTTGAGGTAATGAGGATTGTTGCATCACTCAAGTCCAGTCATTCGACTGGACAAGATGAGATGAATACACATTTGCTAAAAAATATAATTGGAAGTATAATTAAGCCCCTAGTTTACATAATCAACCTGTCATTGTTCTCTGGTAGTTTTCCCTCATTGATGAAAATTTCGAAAGTAATACCCATCTATAAGAAGGACGATGCTAGTTCATTCAGTAATTATCGGCCTATCTCAATACTTTCATGTTTTTCTAAAATATTAGAACGACTCGTTTATGATAGACTATATACATTTTTGACTGACAACAGTTTACTTAATAATGATCAGTATGGATTCAGGAAATTTCATTCAACAGAATTTGCTATTATTAAATTATATGATAGGGTATCATCTGCCTTAGCCAAACACGAGCATGTTATAGGGGTTTTCATGGATTTAAGTAAGGCATTTGATACCCTAGATCATGACATACTTCTACACAAGCTCTACCATTACGGGATTCGTGGTATACCTTTAAATTGGTTTCGTAGTTACCTTTCTTGTAGAAGTCAATATACAATATTTAATAATGCCAAATCGACCATGTCATCAGTTGGGTATGGTGTGCCCCAGGGCTCTATTTTAGGTCCGCTTCTTTTTTTGATTTATGTTAATGATATTTCTAATGTCTCTTCCTTACTACAATATATATTATTTGCTGATGACGCTAATATTTTTTGCTCTAATTCCAACCTAGAGAGTCTTGTTCAAACACTAAATACTGAATTGCCAAAATTATCTAACTGGTTTAAATGCAATAAATTATCGTTGAATTTGGGTAAAACTAACTTCATCCACTTTAAAACTCGTGCTCATACTGAAGAAACTAATGTGTCATTAAAGATAGATAGCATCTCCATTCAACAAAAGAAAAACACCAAATTCCTAGGCATTTATATTGATGAGTGCCTGTCTTGGCATGAACACGTACGTGATCTTTCTCGAGTTTTGTCTCGTTATATTGGTGTTATGTACAAGTTAAAGCCTTTTGTTCCACTTAGTATTTTGTTCATTATTTACAATTCTTTCATTCATTCACGTATTTCTTACTGTAACATTGTATGGGCTATTAATAGATTAAATACTGATGGTATCTTTAGATTGCAAAAGAGAGTCATGAGACTTTGTTGTGGCTCTGGGTACTTTGATCATACTGACCCATTATTTTTCAAATTGAGAACTCTGAAGGTTACTGATATTCATAATATGCAAATTGCAGTGTTCATGTACCGACTTAATAAAAAAGAACTGCCTTTATCATTTTGTAACGATTTCACTCTAAATAGAGACATTCACAACTACCCAACCAGACATTCTTCCGATTTCCATTTGTTTACACCATGGAGCGCCTTAGCCCAAAGATCAATTAGATATGTAGGTCCTGACATTTGGAACGCTTTGCCACCTGAAATACGAGCTTGTAATACCATTATGTTATTTAAAAAGAAAATGAAGGAATCATTTCTCTTAAAATATAATCGTTAACTTTTGAGGTTCATGTTGTATAGTGCTGAATATGTCAAGAAGAGGTAATGTGTATTTCATTGTTTTTGCTTGTTATTCAAATATGTTAAGGGGCATGATTTTTGTATTTTGTTTTATTTTTGTAACGAATGTCTTATTTTAAGCCATGTTCTATTTTACCTAATAATTATCAACTATGTTACTTAGGGACGTTGCGCTTCAAACATTTTTTGTTTATGCATTGTTCCTACTATGTATTATATATCAATGTAACCCACTGTATTCTATTATCTGTAAACAGTTATTTTACATGGTGAATAAATAAAACAAACAAACAAATAACACGTGCCGTAAAGTAATTTGGCGACAATAGTCAAATCACTGACTAATCGCCAATAACTCAAAACACAACAACAACAACAACAAATGTATTACCTGCATTTAGATTCAAAGATGATCGATATCTTCAGCTTCATAGTAGCGCCCTCATTGGACAGAAATAACCATCTTGAGCAGGGTAAGCCCCGTCTTACCTTAAACGATTTTGCGTTTCTGTAAGTGTAATTTAACGTTTAAAAATATTTTGAAAGATCAAGTTCATTGTCAAGTATATCCAAACACGTGTGTACTCTGTATTACTTCGTTGGTTGATTGTTTGATGTTCTCTTGCTTCATATTTAGACGCGGGCGCGATTGAAGTCTACGTCTACGGTCTAGATTGTAAGATTCTACGCCTTGCCTGACTGCCATTGCCACTGGCCTGGCCTGGGTGAGTGAAGTCTTGTTGTATTGTAGACCCTACTGACTGTTCCGTATACAGCGGACTGCGACCCGGGATTGAGACCAAGCGAGGCCTATAGCTGGGGGAGCTTTAGCAGAGAGTACTGACAGGTAGATACAGAGACAGGTATGGTCAAACAAACCCACTTCCATAAGTTTTTATGTAAACTGAAAAGATGATGAGGATGATGATGATGATGATGGTGGTGATAATGACGATGATGATGATGTATGATGATGTATGATGATGTATGATGATGATGATGAGGATGATGGTGATGATGATGATGATGATGATGATGATGATGATGTATGATGATGGTGATGATGATGAAGATGATGATGATGATGATGTATGATGATGATGGTGATGATGATGATGAGGAGGATGAGGATGATGTATGATGATGATGATAGTGATGATGATGATAACAAGTCCAAGGGAGCCTGTGGATGATGTTAACAAAGGTGGATTGGACCTTGTTACGATGAAGACGACGATAATGCCAATAGTTATTGTTGAGGTGACGGCGATGAGTGAGGTGATGGTGATGACTGATAAGGAAGAAGGTGATGAGATGTTGGGTTGTATTTTGTGATAAAAACTGATAATGCCTCTTATTAATGGATGATGATGATAATAGTGAGGATGGTGTTGATGGGACAGAGGTAATGATAACGAACAAAACTCTTGGTTGCCACAGCCAACATGGATGAAACATTAAAAATGTTAATATATTTTGGAATATAAATAATAATGGTATAAATCTAGTTCTTGCAAATTTATAGAAATATGTTATGTGTATTCACAGGACATGGAAGGTGAGAAATGTAAGAACTGTGGAGAGGCTGCTGTTGTTGCAGATGAAGGGCAAGTAGTATGTACAAATTGTGGTCAGGTCCAGGAAGATGCAACAGTGTTCGTTACAGAAGGGGTAAGTCTACTATTTCATCTTTCATGTGTATTAATTAGTGCTTCTGAATGTGTAAGCTGAATGATTAAAAAAAAAATTTGAGGCAAAGTGATCCTTTTAAATGCAAGATATTCTCCCAAATTTATCATCCAGAAATTTGACTCGATAGATCCAATTTCTGTGTCATTCTCCTTTTTTATTTTTTATTTGAGAAATATTGTTTCACCAAACGATATTTATTTTCAGATTATTGCTCTTATGCACAAGACCTTGGTCATACTTCAACAGCATAAAGTTGGCTGTGCATCATTTACTGCCAGGAAATAGGAAAGTATATGATGTGAACATGACAATATCAGTATTAATTTGATCAGAGCAAGTTATTACTTTTAATTTTAAATATTCTGACGTTGGTTAAGACCTCGTTAAAGGGATGTATTGATCAATATAAGTAATGATTACAAAAATGTATCTTTTATTTGTGATAGGATTTTCATGAACACAGCCAATCTTGTCACGCTGGAGGCTCGTTCAACCCTACGTTTGGAAAGCAGGACTATCGCCTTGCCAATTCAAACACTTACTACAGATCAGTACTTCATAAATGGACAAAGTATATCCAGAAACTATGTGAGAGTATGCAGATTGCCAACAAGCAGATGCACATAGAGGCTGGAGATATCTTCAAGAGAGCCTTCAAGATAAGTCGCTTCAAAAACATGATGAAAGAGCGTAAGAAAGCAATGTGTGTGTCCTGCGTGTACATCACATGCAGATTGCATGAATGGCCTATTATGATCATTAATCTGGTTGGGATTACAGATACCCCAAGGGAACTCTTGATGACAATCAATAGAGAGTTGATTCAAGAGTTGAAAATTAAGATAGACACAGTCAGCATTGAGGACTACATTCCTACATGTTTGAAGGAGAATGGTGTCACCGATGATAGATGGACTGCAAAGACTCTGGAAGTGATGTCTCTGGCAAAGGAACTGTGGTTGACCATTGGTCGCCATATTGACGCGTTGATTCTGGCGTCATGCTGTATAGCCTGGCAGACATCAACTCCTGAAAACCATAAGAAATCAATACCGCAGTTCGGGAGGTCTCTCTTGAACAAAAAGGTCCCAGATCTGGTAAAGAAACGACACAAGGAACTGACGAACATTATCAAGAAGATGGTGAGTAAGGTTCCTTGGGTGTCTAAGACTATCCTCTCGAAATCATGGTCCTGGATGTTTTTCCTCGATGATATCCTTAAGTATAAGAACAGTCTCTTGTCTCATCTTGAACCACCAGAAGACTGCGATGATATTGACGATATCGAGAACCAGGAGAACGATTTCATCCTGCTACCCCCTGCGTATGAAGCAAGTGTTCGAAAGAGAAAGTTTGAGCAGCCATCTATAGAAGAAGAGAACTTTACTCTGAAGTCTGGGCACGAGACGAGTGAAAGTATGAACAATCCAGAGCTGAGTGAGAAGGATATTCCAGATTCAGAATTAGGACATTACATCAGAACACCTAAAGAGATCCGGTTAGTCAAAGAGCTTGCAGTCATCGCAGATATAAATTATGAGAATTCCTGATTTCAGACTAGGGCTCTACATACATTAAGAACAGCTTAAAAGATCAAAGCAATTAGAGAACGTACAGTTATTGCACATACAGTGTATATACTGCAGATACATGCATGTGCAACAAAATCAGAAAAGCTTGTCAAAAGTAATCAGAAAAGCTATTGAGATTTGAAATGTTTTTTTTATAAAGGAAATGATGCTCATCTTGCCATCTTCCCTAGTGATTTGAAGCATAGATGGAAATAGTAAAATCATCTTTATCCTCAGACTTACCTTTTTTAACTTCATTATGATTGTTGAGAGAATATCTTATTTTCAGGCAAATCTCTCCAAATAATGGCAACTTTTTACTATAATTTTTATTCAGATTGATTTTGTTTGACAAACGCAGACAATATACATATACCTTGGGTATCATGTTCAGTAAGGTTTAAGGTATGCTGTCAATTATTATTTGGTGCATGGTCTGAAAATTAATATAAAAATCATCTCCAATGGTCAGTGTTATCATTATTGTGTGTTTTGTGGATAATTGAAGAAGCAGAGTTTTGCAGTTAGGAGGCAGTAAGTCGGTGATAACTCAAGTTTATATCAATGATACCGTCCTGTACTCCTGTTTGCAATTTTTCAAAATTCTATGCATTAGGAAATAGAAATGTTGTGTTCTTTACCCGTTTCTATGGACCAGATTGATATTTTAACTTATGTTCCCCTTTTGTTCATGTTTTCAAATTAGGCATGAAGTTTTAATGTGCAAATTTTAAACCTTTTTTCCAGGAATTTTAGATAACTCAGGTTTGCAAATTCTGCTGAATGTTTATCTAGTTTATCCAATTGTCATAGTGTAATGGGCCCCAATTTGTTTATTTTTAAAATCCAAACAAACCTCTTTTTTTTAAATATAAAAATAGTGATAAATTAAATTTTGTATGTGCCATCAATAATTTTCAGAAGCCAAAAGAATCTGGTCTTATATCCTTGCTCCTGAAGAGCAGGCAACAAGGGTTTAAAGCTATATCTATCAAAGAGTCGTGCTTAGTGCTCACAGGTTTTTCAAAAAATGTAGTATTACAAATGGAAGTCTGACAAGAAGGAAGACATTTTAATATTTGTTTACTTTCAGCGATTGAATTCTGTGAACATGTATGTACTGTTGTGTTTCAAGCATTTGGCAGCATTTAATATAATGCATGGAAACTGCAAACTCGACAAGTGTGGGCAGAATGATGAAACGTGCACGTTTTGTTAAGATGATGCCATGATGTTGCCAGCTGCCTTTGTGTTCCTCACCAAGTGCAATTGCCTTCAAATAAAAGTATTAAAATAGGAAAACATGAGGTTTGTTTCATTTTTGTGTGGAGTATGTTTAATTTCTTATGATAGAAATAAACATGTTCATCAAGTTCTGTTTTTATACTTCATAAACACCACTGCTATGTATACAAGCCTCATCATGCCCATGGCAACACCAACAACATCAACACCATCATTATTACTCCCTCTATTACCATCATTATCAACACCACCACCATTACCACATTCGTCATTTCCAGTTATTACACACAACCATTTCTCAATACAGTGTATCCAGCAAAAGTAAGAGCCATGTTCTTACCAGATCCCCCCACTAGTGCACAAGACATTCAGCACGTCACAGTTCAGTAGATGGCCTGTGGTTACATCGTCATTGCGTCGCCGTCATCATCACCACCACCACCACCACCACCACCATCATCATCACCATCAATCATCTTAATCATCATCCTCACTAGCACTTTTATCATCTGTATAAACACCACCAATTTGAATACCATTGTTGGCACACTATCAGAATCTTAACCTTAATCTTATCAGGGTCAACTAATTCAACATCTTTATCCCTTTTTTTTCCTTTTCCATGTATTATCTAAAGAACAAAAGCATTTGAATGTGATTATATCTTAGTTTTTTAAGTTCAGAATACATTTACATTTTTTTGGGTGTAATTTTAGTTTAGTATTGTAATTGAAAGTTCACAAAGAATCCCCCCTCCCCACAGTACATGACAAAACAAACAGTTTGCTAATACAGGAAACTTTACAATGTTGATACATATGATAATGTTGAGGTACATGTATGAAACCCTTCACTCCTGGGACCCGTTTCACAAAGCCTTTTTTCCAATGACAAAGATCAGTGACAAAACTGCTGATAACCAATCAGAAGCAAGGATTTCACTAGCTTTTAACAAAAACTGATTGACGACAAGTTTTATGAAATAGGGCCCTAGTCACAGTACAACACACGAACATCTAAGGCACCAGAAATGATTTGGAATCATAGAATAATTTAATTCAATATCAATACATAACTAATCAAGGTGATTGATAAGATTGAATGATAACACAGTAACAATCGATGACAGTACATGAAATATACATCATACATGTAATGTAAGAATGCATAGATTCGTAACAGAATTGGACGGCTTAAAAGCACATAGAGACGGTATTGCTTTTATGAAAATACAATTCTAATGGAACGAATGGCCTTTTGTGAATACATGTTCCCATTGATTGGTTAACTGCAGCCTGTATATAGGCATCAATAATATACTATCAAATCTACATCTGTTATTAAAATGCTCTTACCATTACTTAATTTTATTATTATTATCTTATATACATGTATACAAAAGATTGTATTATATATATATATATATATATATATATATATATATATATATACTTTTTTTTTTGGAGGGGGGGGGGGGTTGACCAATAATCATCTAGTCCTCGTGTTGTGCATTAAACTTCAGCAAAATTGATCAAATTGAAAATATTCATACCTATCTTAAATACGACTGAACTTTAAGTATTATTGGAATCCCTTGTTTTTCTGTAATAACACATTTTTCAAAATTTAAGGAATATTCACTTTAAGATAACTGGAGTGCTGTGTGAATTCATGCAGCATGTAAAGGTTCATCGACTCTCTGTCATGCTATCAAACACATGTATCTTTATAGATGTGTCAATCAGTTCTAGATATCTATGAACATGTATGATACAGTGGAAATACACACCTCTGTAATTACAGAAAATCATGAGAAGGAAATACAGTCACTTTGCAAGAATTTTAAAATGAACACAAGAAATCTATCAAGAGAGACAAAAGAGAATGTAAACATTATGTGCAGCTTCAAAGTATTCCACATCACTTATGGATTGCATCGCCATCCTTACAGAACAAACCTACCAAATTTTAATCAACAAACTAGTCAGAATAATATCGACCAGCGATATCAGAATGGAGAGTACACCCATCTATATTTCAACAGGAAATCTTAGATAAATGTCATTCCAGCCCCATTATCAAAAGTTGCAATACACCCTTTCACGATTACAAGAGTATGCATGCGCTGACATTGGCGCCATTTATGGCGCCCATGTCAATATGATGTGAGCGCACAGCGCAGGCAGTGACGCAACAATACGTGCGCATCTGAAAACATTGATGACGCAATGTTTACTCGCAAATTAAAATGGCAGCCTTTATAACCGTGAAAGGGTGTATTGATTGAGTGAGCATTTATCTTACAGATCCAACACCCAAAACATATGCTAATTTGATTTGCCATTTTCTTCACTTTAAAACACAAGATAATACCACGATGCAAACACTCCAAATCCCTCATAGTCTGTTTTTCACTTCAAGAGAAGGTTGAGTTCTGGGAAGAGGTGAAAAATATTTTGTGAGCGCTATCATTGTTATTATGCAGGTGCAATGTGAAAGAACATGAGATAAAAAATGTTCCCTGAAAATCATGGATCTTCAAATGCCTTGATATATTAAATATGGCATGTAACAGCATAAAAATCGGGACAGATTTTTATGTCACATGTTCGTGTAGTCCCATATGCATCTTTCTGTGTACAGTGCTTGTAATTTTACCAAACCTTGCCCAAATTTCTTATCAATTTGAGGATTTCAGAACCTTGCAGTACACACCAATACTTATATGCTGGATGATCAACCTTTTCTGATCGATTTTACACCGTTTCTATCACAATGCTATCGCATGACCAGAACTCAACTTTATCTTTAATCTATTACCAAGCAAACAATATATAAATTCAAGTATATAACAAGTACGTCACACTCCCAGCCACCAATGGTCACATAAAATGTCGTCTTCTACAAATTGAAAAACAGAGGATTATTTTCATAAGAAGATAGGACAAGATGGCATCAGGAGTCAGATCAATAAATCAATAAATTAATAGTATGCTACAATGAACCCTGTAAAATCTTCTCACGCTATCACAAATATTTCTCTTTCAGTACGCACCAGAGGAAAAGCCTCAGATACCGACCGGCCTAATTCCTTTATAGTAGACACTTACTCTGCAAGATGCACACAGTTGCCACATTTTTTTCCTCATTTTCTTTTTCCATTAAATTTGAACTTGAATTGCAGCAATCAGTAAGATTTCCACTACGTTATATAATGCATAGAAGATTTAATTTCAACAATGGAATATTGGAACAGAAAAATACATGAAGATACATTTACATATAATGTAGTAAGGAAAATATAGGGAAATATATGGTGATAAACATTATTATGTAAACGATCAAGTATATTTACTGAATATGTATTTCAAGAATTACTATGGAATTAATGTTTCTGTAAATTCTATTTTTATTTATCAAGACTAATAATAAAGTCTCTAGTCAGAAGTGTACAAAGCATACATTTTTAACTCTTTTATTTCACAGATTCAGATCAAGAAATATCAAGTTCATCAACATCTTTGGCCAAATCAATGCCATTTTCACCACAAATCAAACCAAAGCTCTACCATTACAGTTTAACTTTTATGAATCATATGAGCTATTTCAGTTGAATTGAGTAACAAAAAAGCATTCTCTTTCATATACTAAACAAAACAAATGATTGATTTATCATTAATAACAAAATGAAGTCAATCTTCAAAGAATATACCGGTAATTAATATGCTATGCCTTAAAACATTTTGAAACTCTTTGAACTAAGCCACATCCTTATTTTCCTTTTCTTCTTTATTAATCCGGCTCTCCCGTCCCTTCACATCTCTCTCTATTCCTTGGTACTACATACATAGATGAACCTTTTGCTAGACTCTTTTGTCAATTCTTTACCTGTACCAGAAGAGGAACATAGCACACACACAGGATCAAATGATCCATTTACACATCATATTCTCCTTTTTTACATCACACCAGCTTTAATGGATAAATGCTTTCGTAGCTCAGATAATGGAATTAGAAAGATAAATAATTTTACTTTAAAATTTGACCAAAGATGCTAGAGTTTGACTATACTTGTTACAATCTTGTGTCAGTATTCTTGTCCTTTCTTTGATTTAGTATTCTGTACAACCTCTTCAAAGTACTTCATCACTCTCTGTAAAACAATGGAGAGAAAAAAGAGAAAATAACAACATTAGGCTAAATAAGGCACTGCATAAGAAAAACAAATCTATTTTAATGATATTAAATATAATATGTTGTTATAAAGAAACCTTCATTGGTTGGGATTCTAACAACCATAGAAATTGAGTAGGCAAGCTTGAATATGTTTTTTAAATGAATATAAGTAGCCACTACCCCAGTCTTTCCTAGAACACTGCATACAAAATATATCTATTGTTGTTGTTGGTTTCACCAGAGTCTCCAATAAGGAAACTAGACCAGAAATTGGCCCGCTGGATTGGATAGGACGAACAAATTTAGCCAACATTAAACAAGAGAATATTCTAGAAGGGATTTGCGAGCCAATAATTATTAATACAAAGATTACTAATCACTGGGAAAATGAGAAATACCCCTTAATATTTGCTCCAAACTTTATTTTGATAATGATAAACAATGTTTGATCAGGCTTTAGGTTAGATTTAGAGTTACATGTCTACCGATCAAACATTGTTTATCATTATCAAAATAAAGTTTGGAGCAAATGTCATCAAGGAAAACATGGGAATAGGAGGAGACATACCTTTCTATCAAATGACTTAGCCATCTCATAAGCTGACATGCCATGCTCAGTCTTCACCATCGGATCAGCTCCCTGCTCTACCATTATCTGTACTAACTTCTGATGTCCATTCAGTGCTGCAATCTAATAATAATGATAATATAATTCTAAGTTAAAAAAGTGCCTATTGTGATGTCTTCGAGTGCTTTACAAATATTCATTCATTTTGGATTAAAAGAAAATCCTTTGTAAAAGAATTCCAAAGACTGATACAAAGATTACATATATTCAGGATTCATATATTTACAGATTTAAATAACACTTTTTTAGAGGTGTCTTGGTCTAGTGAATATGTCACCGGACTGTAGATCGCATGGTTCTCGGTTCGAGTCCCGCCCCATCACTGATGTTTTTTGGCAAGATATTAATCTACATTAGTCACACTCCAACAAGGTGAGGTAAATGGCTACCCGGCAGGAAAAAGTTCCTTGAATGCTTTAGTGCTTTTAAGGTAGCTCGGCTATAACCAGGGTTATAGTATGATTGAGGGCCTTCAAGGAGAACAGTATAAACAAGATATATTATTATCATTACAAAGTGATGGATTTGGTCTTATACATATATTGGAAACACTGTGATTTGATATCTATTTCAAACATTTTCATTCATTTTAATTAAACAACTTACCATGAGTGGTGTTTTGTGGTCCTTGTCTTTCATATTCACATTAGCTCCGGCAAGTAGTAGTATCTCTCCTATCTCATGATTGCCCCCCATAGCAGCACACCGCATCAGTGGCGTCCAGCCTGAGCTAGCATCGGTCTCATCAACCTGTCATAACAATAGGAGAGAATAAGGTAAGATGGGTGGTCCTAGCTTTTACCACAGGTATAGCACATGGCATAACCATGTCTATAGATGCAAAACCATCAAATTGTTGTCTTTTAAAAAAAGATTTTCTAAAAGTACAGGTTCCAAATTTCCCATTCTGACACTTGGAGGGTTGCAAATGGGTTTTAGGATAGGTTTTAGGTTAGGTTTAGGTATAGTGTTTGGTCCAGGGTTGAAGTTATGAGTACGGTGTGTAGTAAAGAACATTGCCTGTGGAGCAATTGCCATTGGAAGATGGGGTTGTGTGGCCAAAAAAAAGTAAAAAAAGGTGAGGAACCACTTGACCCAGGAGTGACAGAGAGAGAGAGAGAGAGAGAGAGAGGGTGAGAGAGAGAGAGAGAGGGTGAGAGAGGGAGAGAAAGAGAGAGAGAGAGAGAGGGGGAGAGTGAGGGAGAGAGAGGGAGAGAAAGAGAGAGGGAGAGAAAGAGAGAGGGAGAGAGAGAGGGAGAGAGAGAGGGAGAGAGAGAGGGAGAGAGAGGGAGAGAAAGAGAGAGAGAGAGAGGGAGACAGAAAGAGAGAGACAGAGAGCGAGAGAAAGTGACAGAGAAAGGGAGAGAGTCGGTGATCCTACCTTACACCCGTCCATAACAGCCCATTGTACAATCTCTTTAAGTCCTCCATCCACCGCCCAATGAAGGGCCGTCGATCCTCCTAGATCTTTCTTCTCCCATGATGCACCATGCGAGAGTAGCCGTCGGACGACGTCTAGATGACCAGCGAAGCATGATAGCATGAGAGCATCCTTCCCGCTTCCGTTCTGCATGTTGACGTCTGCTCCGTGCTCCATCAATAAGTCAACCATTCTGCAATGATATATTACATTTTTTTAATGATACATATACAGTCAAACCTGTCTATAAAAGCCACTCATGGGAAACAGAAATTGGCAGCTGAAGACAGGTGGCCTTTCTAGACAGGTTCTACAACACACATTTCTTTCTTAAGGGAGACAAAATGCATGGCCACTATAGAGAGGTGGCCTTTAAAGAGAGGTTTGACTGTGTCTCATTTCTAGATTAGTCATTTCATTGTAGAGTAATGATCTAAATCCTAACAGAACCAAAATGAAACTTACACAATTGCTCAGGTTTTATTTGTATATTTAAGTTTTGGGTTGTGATTCGGTATGAGCCTTTTATGATAAGTTTAAAGACCCCATCCGATAAAAATACAACTTGATATAAATGGAAAACTGAATGAATGTAGAATACAAATATAAAGGAATAAAAAGTATTTACCCTTTCATTATTGCACAAAAGCAAATTAAACTTAATTTTCCGCACCCCTCCAAATTACGGATCAATAGGGGTAAACAGTTTGAGAAACCCTGTTCTTGAATATGGACATATAAGGAATTAGTAAGAATCTGATATACAGTGTATAGCAAGTCCCCCCCCCCCCCCCCCCCTTCTTGACAAACATTTTTTTTTTACAACTCTCTTCAAAGATAGGGTATAACCAAACTTGTTTGTATCTACATGTAGTAACTTACTCTACAACACCTTTCTGGGCAGCAGACATGAGTGGGGTATAACCAAACTTGTCTGGGACATCGATCCACACATCACCGGACTCTAAGATCTCCTGGACCTTCTGTATATCCTGTGTGAGGATGATTGCCTTGTGGAGCTGCTCACCAGTCTGGGGTTCCTCTATAAAAAAAAAATACAATGACAAATGTGTTCATATCTGAAAGGACAGGATGCAGTGATGTACATGCCTATAAAATCCAGGTCTAAAGTAATCATAATAATTACTTTTAAAACATTTAGAATCATTGGTACTGTGGAAATTATAATACAGTCAAACCCGTCTACAGCGACCGCCCAAGGGAAACACAAAAAGTGGTCTTTGTAGACAGGTTCCTTTTATAGTACATGTTTCAAAGAGAAACCATTTTCAAGGGAAACAAAAAATGTGCTTGTTGTAGACAGGTGGTCTTTGTAGACAGGTGGTCACTAAAGCAATTTTGACTGTAGTAATAATAGGTGCTACATACATGTACATGTAAATATCAAAAGCATAAAAATACCAGTTATAACCTTACACCTATAGAGGGTGTCGTGGTCTAGTACCTAGTGGAAACGTCATCGGTCTGTGGATCACATGGTTCACAGTTCGAGTACCACTGCAACACCAATGTCCTTTGGCAAGACATTAATTTACATTTGCCACTCTCCATCAAGGTTTAAATGGGAACCCGGTAGGATATGCAAACATTGATGTGGTTGGATTGGCTGTAATACTTCCCAGGGAGCGGAGTGTGTGCATTATAATATGCGGTTTAGCAATTGAATCCAGTGACTGAAGAAATAATAATTACAACGTAAAGCACTTAGAAACATACATGTAGTTATCAAGCACTACGGTATATAAATGTACAGATGTGACTATTATTATAATTGATATCATAATTTGTAGAATCCTTACAATTACCAGTATCTGTAAAAGTCTGTGGGCTAATCTGTAAACTCCCATTTAAATCATATTTCAAAAGAGTTATAATAGCATTTTTTCAATAAAGTTGTACTACATGTATACCTAAACAATGATTTTTTTTAATATTTTTTTTTTAAATACTTAGGAAAGATAGTATAACCCAAGCCTCCTTGAAGCTTGTAGTAATGACTCAAATGACTCAATATAATTATAAAAAATAATCCACAAATATATTGAGACATTCCTTTGATATTGTTACGAGCAATTTATATTTTCTCAAAATGAATAAAATGCAAAGTACCAAATTAACCAATACCGGTATTCAACAAGATGTCACGTCAGTACAATTTGCAAAGTGTTGGATAAAAATAATTGAATAATCGTGACTCAAATATGTCAATAAGCCACTCAGAGAGTGCTTAAGGCGCTTAAAAAAAATAACATTACATAATACATAAATGACAACAACAAAACAGTTTGATTTTGGCGTCTCTCATCATTACATGTATATACTGAGATAAAAGTGACCGAGATCCTTGTAATAAATAATGCACAGTTTTCGTTTACACTCCTCAGACTTTACAGTTTGTGTGCAAGTTTAAATATGCAAGGATATATTTATGCACAGTACAATGTACATAAACGTGCTGGAATAAATTTTGATAATTTATTTTTGCAAGTATACAGGTGTATGTATATATTTTGAAGCGTAATTATGTAGAAATTAAATGGCTTGCTCAGAATCAGAAAAGGCTGTATGCAGAAAGAATTATATAAGTGACTGTGAAATGTTTGATTTAGATGATATAACTTACCTTTTTCTTTAAGTCCACACATTTTTGCAAAACAAATTGTATTGGTTGAATTGAGTAAATATATGACTGAAAAGATCTAAAGCCAAAATATGTGGAATTCATTAAATGTTTGGTAAAATAGTATTCAAAATTGTAATTTCTATCCAATCCAATCCAAAAGATATTTGATATAGCGCCTTTTCCTATACATCAAATAACTACATTTCATGGTTTCCTGACATACTGTAAGAAACATTATCCCCCTTCCCCCACCCCCAAGTAAAATAAATACATAAATAAAAATGGAATAGCTAAACTGCCTAATCTGTGAAAAACAGACCCATGGTCACAAGACAATCTTTGCACATACCATATCTACAAGCAAAAGTCTGTACAAGTTTATCTTGAACAGCCAGATTTTGTATACCGGTATTGAAATGTACAAGATATCTTTTTTTTCCCCAATTTGTAGGGATATAAACATGAAAATAGACATTATATTCACAAAGTGAAATCAAGCTGGTATTATCCATACCCCCTCATAGTCGTGTGGGATTAATAATAAGACCTGTACACATGTGATGGGTCATACAATAGGGGTGTTCACACGTGGTGTAATTACACTGTAGTCAGAAACCGTAAATTGATTTTGAACAGTGATCAATTCTAACTTCGTATGTGTCTATGTGAACAAAGTAACCTCACTGAATTATTGTGATTCTGATTGTCAACCAGACCTACAAGTAATGTTAGTGTAATTTTATTCATTTTTTGTGTGTGAATGACCATGATTATTTGGCATCGACTCTGCATAACAATGAAGGTCATGAGAGAGAGTATTAGAGAATAACATTCTGTGTTACAACCGAGATCATCAAACAAGAACTAGAATTTACAGAAAATAAATAAATAACGCAAATATTGAGAGAAAATTGATTTATATTTCCCAGGTGTGAAGAGGCACTTCATCATAATTATATTATTACTATGACTACTACTGCTGATACTACTACTACTGCTATTACCACCACTACCACCACTACCAATACCACTACTACCAATACCACTACTACCACTACCAGCACCGCCACCACCACCACCACTACTAATAATGAGTATTTTTTTGTTGTAAACCATATTCATTTCACAAAATGCTCAAAGCGCATATTTCAAATCTCTTTTCTTCTTCTAGTGTGAATGGGACTAATGTTCTGTCTCTAAGGGATGCGACCTTGATCCATCTACCTATCAGTCATTCCCGGGCCATCTGTGATCCCTAAAACTCAGCCTCAAGTTACTACTTTCAATGCTCATGGCATCAAAACAAGACATTTCAATGGTCCTATTCAAAGACTTCTCTCTGTCAAATTGGCATAAAATTGCATTTTTATGACACATGTTGAATTCTTCTTTTCATTTTTCTGACATATATTGGATTTTGTCATGGTTCATTTAATCTGTTTTGAAAATACATCTACATTGACATGATGTTTCAGATAGAACAATGGCACCACTACATTTTTGCAAAAACTCTAGTATTTCAAATAAAACTTCATTTTGTTGTCTGTACGTTTATGGTCTTATGAACTGGGTATTTATTCAACCTCTTTGACTGTCAGCTTGTCTCTAGAGTCATCTCTCTCTCTCTCTCTCTCTCTCTCTCCCTCTCGTTCTCATCTCTCCCACTATTCAAAGAGGTGCTACTAAAGCTATTCCCTCAAATTCGTATCCATTCGTTTATTATCTCTCTCTATATCTTTACACTACTGGAATTATTTCATTCTTGTCATTCATTATTTTTCTCTCTTCTTTTTTCTTCTTCTCCTAATTAACTTTCTCACCCTTCCCCACCACCTCCCCCTCTCTCTATCTCTTTTCCCCTCTCTCCTCACTTAATCCTGTCTCTATCCTTGCTCTATCCTTTTTGAGAGCTACAGTGCTCTTCAAATACCAAAGGGTTCATGGAATATAAATTAATACCCATCATAGTCATACTACCGGTAATCAATTTCAATGAAACCTGCACAATACTGTAATGTAACAAACCTTATCAGGGATGAGACAGAGAAATTCCCCAAACGGAGAAAGATTAAATGTGGGTCCGGGGATAAGGGGGCAGAATATATTTACGTAAAAGGACCCGTTTTCCTTGCATTTAAATATTTGTTACCCTCATCTTGCCTAAAGGTCAATGCTAGATGTACAATTAATGATAATCTGAATTAAAGTGTTTTTTTGATCATTTTTCCCCATCTTGAAATCTCGAAATTGGTGGAAATCCGCCGATCTCATCCCTGCTTATTGAATTATATCATTTCATCCATTTTAATAATAAAACAAACCTCCATATTCTGTTATGTGCACTGCCTTTGAATGGCCTCTGCATGTATCCAATTAATGACTACTATACATGTTGAATGTCAAAGGGGTCATGTGATTGATTTTTTAAATCAAACATGAAAAACTGGTGATATCGATGAGTATTGGGGTTGTTATTGATCCAAAGGCAGGTGGTGTATTGAGTAGAATGAATGATTAATGTCAACATAACACATGTCTACATGGATGGTAATGTATATGTTCAACAAACTGAGCCGTCTCTTCTCAGCTGTAAATCTTTGGCATGAACTACTTTTGAATGTCAATGTGAAAACATGATATTGTATCTCACTACCTCGAATAATAATTCTCTTAAAGGTAAAGACCAGTATTGGAAACACCCCAATTTCAAAAAAAGAAATGGAAGCTCTCATTACCAATCATGTGAAAGAATATGTTTTGACTAATACATGATGATAAAAAATTTGACGGGAAACCGCCTACTAATTCATATATTTGGTAAATTTGTTTCTCTCATGGTCTGTGAGAGATATAGGGTAGTCCCATATACATCTTTCTGTGTATAGTGCTTGTAACTTTACGAAGAATGGGCCAAATTACTTATCATTTTGATGATTCCAGAACCTTGCAGATGCTAGATGCTAGATGATCAACCTTTTCTGATCGATTCCACAACGTTTCTTTCACAATGCAATCGCATGACCATAACTGGTCTTTACCTTTAAAGTCTTTAACTAATAAATTAAATGATTTCAACTTCCAGCAGACTGCAAACTTTTAGGCTTTATCATCAGTATTCATCACCAAATGTTACATATTCCAGATCTGACATTGGCTGACATACACATGAAGGCCTACCTATGTAAATACTAGACTAATTAAAAAAAAAAAAAATCTTTGTTATTTTGTGATTACAACTCCAGATTTAGATACCTCATTCCTCTTCGTGTAAATCAGTCCTCATTTAATTTTCTTAATTTCCCCCAGGGGCTTATAAATTGATCACAATTGATTATCTTCATACTTCTCACGAGAACGCCATACTCAATTGTCTATTGATGCATGTAAAATATGTTATCACGTTATCTTTTCTCACGGTTGTATTTTTTTGTCTTAATATTGATTACTTTGAAATAACCTTCTACAGAACAAAACTCTCATAATACAATCACGTAGTTGGCAATGTTAAATGGTTGCTCAACTATGGTGCTAAGATTACATGCAGACATCTTTTTTCTTCCAACAAGAGCTCTTTTTCATTTGCTGAGTGAGATTTCTTTGCAGGTTTCGTATCTATTTTATTTTATCATTTTTAATCAGAGCTGTATCACATTTTGCCAAAGCTCCTCTAAAACTTCTTTGCTTCAATATATTTTTGGGGTATTTTTATCACTGACTGAAATCAATGGTATACCAAACATTTTCTATCATTATTATTTCAAATATATGGATGTGATAATGAATACTTACTTCTTGTTGTAACTGTAACAGCTTGGCTGAATTCACTATTTCCAATGTTATTCATCACTTTCAAGCGATACTTGTATTGTGAAGAAGGATCTAAGCCATCAAATATGTGATTGGTTCCATATCCACTGTAATGAGAACATAGAAAACATGCATTTTTAAACGGGAGAGTATCAAATGAAAGAAGAAAAGATCACATTATTTCATTTGTCAAACAGGTCCTGTGAAATGAAATAAGGAAGAAAACAATCACCTAATATAAAACAAGAAGCTTGTATGATGTAAAACTATTGTTACTTTTGTAACTCTCATTTTATGGTAAGGAATTTTTGTGATTCTGGACAACTCACAAAGGTTTCTAGCTTTTAACAAAATTGACTCGAAGTGGTGGAAATTTTTAAACATTTTTGTTATTTGCTTTACTAGCAAAATGAATAACAAAGGCAAGTTTCCTTTAACACTTTGGTTGCTTTCCTCGCCTCTCTGCAAGGTCACTTGTCTGCCATACCTGCAATTTTGCACAAAACATTAGGCACCAATTGACAGAAGGATTGTTTTGTGCGACACAATGGCTTTGCTTAGTTACACATTTCCAGTCTTGATTAGCTCCATGACAACCCTATTACCGGCAACCCTCGTATAGATTAATCTCACACTGAAAACAGTTATATGATATTGAAACCTTTGGTATATATCTATACCTTGATAAATACATGTACTGTACAATGTGGCACAAGGATATTATTTGTATGGCAAGAGAGTTGATCATTTTACATCTAATTTTGTAATTTGTTTTTCTATTATTTTGGAACATACGAACAATTGTTGTATTACTACATGTACAGGGGAAGAAATTTCTCAAAAAGTACTGGTAATAAAAAATTGATGGGGGAAAAACCCAGAACACTTTCGCAAGAAAATGAACAAGAAAATATGATATTGTCTGAGCACGATTTAGAGCCATCTCAAGTTTGACCCAACCTCATTAATAGTAATACAATGAGTTCATCCAAGGACAGTAGAATCAAAGGGCATGAATTTGTCAAAGCACCTGCTGATATTTCAAACGTCATGGAATGGAACTTGCCAAATGTATTCAAAGCATTTATCACTTCCCATGCATACAACTCATTTCTACAAAACCTCACTTTATATTTCAAAGCTTTTGTGTTCTGTAATTCATCAATTCACCCCACGCAATGAAACTTAACCTTTTACAAATAAATTGTGCCTTTTCTCTTTCGAGCTTTGATTATCTACAAGTGTATTTGTTAGAATTTGACCTTACGCAACCATCAGAGATTTACAGTACAGTGTAGGCATAGTGGAACATGTGCCGGGAATACTCTGTAATTTACAAACAGGGTCGCTTTCAATGTACATTTAATTGTGTCTCCTATATGTACATGCATAGACGTTGTATTACGTCTATGGTACATGTATGTATCTTACTGTACATGTATGTATGTATACATACTTAAAATATTGCTGTCATTATTCAATCATTTCTATTTTTATGAAAAAAAGTTCTGAAAAGAATGATTTGTCACAAAATAAATGCATCGCTACCCATTGATACTTTCAACATGAACATCCTCTGTAGTGGTTGCCATGGTAATATCACACTAGATGGAGGAAACTCGATCTGCTCCTCTGAAGCAGTAATATTAAGCACACTTTATAAAATCAAAGATTGTGTTTTCTCTATATTTAAACAAATCAATACTTTATCTGTCAGATCTTACTTCTCTCATTTGTCCTGTGAGCTTCCCCCTTAATTGTATAATTTCTTTGTTTTTCTTGTTATTCAAGTATTTTTCAAAACAACAATTCTACCAATTTAAATAGATGAGACTGCCTATATATGTAATGTTGTTTAGGGGGTATTTTGAACAAAGTAGTTGTCATGTAGCAATTGCATATTGTTACAAGTACATGTAGATGAAGCCTAAGGTTAATATTTGTACAGCAACTTTTCAGTCTTCTTCGCAATGTACATTGTATCCATAAAGCACACAATTCTACTTCTTTCAAATGTACATTTTGAATATTCACAAATGAAACAGATTGGCTACAGCATCAACTTGTAAGACTAGAATAAAATGAAGCTCTGAGGATCCCACGTCAGTCGGTCCGTCTCTTTCATTTCATTCTAGCAGAGGCACTTGAATGTTTTCTGTTTGGGCAATTTAAAGTCTGTTATGGTGAGAAAATCAGTCACCTCTTTGTGAAAGTTCTGAAGACATTGTATCCAACACAAACATCCCTGGAAACACTTGCATTCATCTACAATGTAGCTGTGTTCCAGTTGCATAACAATAGTAGGCTAGATTTTGTAAGTTGGAGTGTCTGGATTCATTTGAAGTCCTTTGGAACACAACAGTTGATCTACTCTACAAACTTTATAAACAGCAATCCTTAGGTGTTATCCCTTACACACACATGTACTGGACACAAAGTCCACTCCCACTTTCTTAAGATTGGCAAAAATTTACCTGAATCAACTACTGCACTTATCAGAGTGACCCATCAGGTTATTTCAAACTGTAAGAGTACCAATTTCAAGTTTGGATGATGTGTGTACAAAAATGGAAACAGAATTTAACAATTTTTTCGTTAAACTATGGAAACAAGGAAGTTACGTTGTAAAAGAGATAATTTCTTCTTTTGTTTTATTACAAAAAAGTTAATGATGTTCTTTTGGGGTACATGTAGATGTTACTTTTTACAAGTAAATGTATTTCAAAGTTACATTGTTTGGATTTGTTCAAGGTGTGGTAATTAAACAAAATGTAGCCACTGGAGCTCAATTCTGATTTGTTCCTTAAAAAGTGACATTTCCCTGTTCATCTTAGCTTCAAGGAGTTTAAAGGTCAAATAATGTGAGCATACATGTAGATGTAGCATGTTTTTTACCTGAGCTTTTTGTTTGTTTGTATACCAGATCGATCACTGCTGCCATATATTCTTTAAATTCCATTATTCTTCAGTTTAAAAAAAAATTGAATAGTAGCTCTAAGTTGGCAATATACTTGCTCAGCTCCAAAGTACGTTCTCTTATCAAAGACAGATTTAATCCCGCAGTTTTATTGTCACAATGGGATGCAACACCTGCGTTACAGATGACACTTCATTTTCTCATCAGACTTAATTTATCACTGCATACACAAACTTCTAATACATGCAATGCACCTGCAAGCTGATCATTATGGCTTCATGCTAACGTACACTGTACAGAGTAAAAACAGTATACACCGGTTGTATGTGCATTGTTGTCAAGTGTAGCTTTGCTTTAAAAAACACATTAAAATTATGCTTTCGAAAGTTCCTGCCAAAGATGGTCAGAAATAAGATTTGGGAGTGGCAACAGTATGGAATTCCTATGATATGGCTCCACTAGTTGTGATCAAGAAATCATAGAATTTCAGTTTTAAATGTCAAGGTACCATGAAGAATTTCATCGTTAAAGAAATTAAAGCATAAACTTTATAGCTACATGCATCAAGGTGAAATACAATCAAGTTTGCTACAGCAGTTATTACAACAAAGAAGAATGAAAATAACATGGAATCAATCAATAATGTGCAGTTTGTAACTAATTGCTACAGTATATGGAAATTTACATTATTTGTACGTAATTTAACAATGTTTCTTAAAGTGACTCATCATTGCCTCAGATTCTGAAACAAAACCCTGGATTTTTTTTTATGTAGCTCATGCTGCAATCTGATCATAAACCTTAAGGTCAGTCAGGAATCTCAAGATTTTACAAGCCGATTGCCTGTATGATTATCAAGATATGTATGATTGGAAATTGAAATGTTATTTTTCGTTTTTGTAATGGTTTTTATAACTCTACAGTCTATTGAGGAAAATGAGTATGGTGGGTAGGCCTATGGTAAAACTGGTCACTCAAAGATTTTTACTTTTTTGAGGCACTTCGTGATCATGTTGAAGCGCAATCTTTTTAGGGCTTCAATATTACACCATATCACAGACCCTGATAACACGTAGGGCCATGCACCTCAGATTTAACATTGTTAAATGATGCCCATAAAGCAATCGACACAGAAAAAAGAAAGCAAAATAATCAATGCCGTGTCAAGCTCACCACAGAAAAAATGTGAGGAGAACAAAAAAACAAGCATTGTTTAAAGTTTCTTGAAGCTTCACTCAAGCAGATATTGACGTAATAAACAGGGTTGTAATCTCTTTCTGAGCTGCATCTATACAAATCCAATAATAAGATTGGTTAGTGTACTGTTATAGATCTTTTGGCACAACCTGAACAAATTCTAGACCTGTACATACATGTACATGTGAAGAGATTTAAGTCTTTTTATTTTGCTTCTCTAGCTCATTAATACTGTAAGTGCTGCCTTTACTTAGTCATGGAAATGGCCCCATCTTGTAAACCGTACAAGTTGAAGTTACAGCACAGTGAAAGCTCGCAATACGTTTGTGGAGCCTGTCTGCATGAAACTCTAAATAATCTGTTTTTCAAAATAATGACATTGTGTGCTTTTACTAGCTCTAAATCAAAGGGAGATTATATGATTTTATTTGGCATTCACTTGGAATTCATTGGGAAAATAAGAACTTAATGCATGGAAATACATGTACTTCCAATAAATTTTTGTTAAGATAAAAAAAATTCATGTGCAAAAAGTAAAGACAGAGAGAGAGAGAGACAGATAATAAAAACTGAATTGTTTTCTTATATTTCCTCTGAAAATCACCAGCAAAAAGCAAAGAATAGAATACCATTCTTCTGTGGAATGTACTATCTACATGTATAACTATCTAGAATCCTCTTCTCTTGATATAGTGTCTACATTTGGCCAAAGGTCACTCCAAAGTCTTGTTTTTCATAAGTAGTTTCCATATCTCATAAGATTTTTTTTAATCCATGATTTTTTTTAATTGACAGTCAAAAATTGACAACTACTGTATGCAATAAATTATAAAATGAAAGTAAAACATAGATCCTTGCACCTCCAGTGCTACCAAAGAGCCAACTAATCAACTACCTGAGAGAAAAAAAAATGGATGACATCCAAGACCTCAGAAAGACACTTCATAATTGCCCATCAGGCGTTGCCAGGCATATATGCCCTAAATCTCCAGACCATCTACCAAGCTATCGATCGTCACATTCAAGATATGAGTGAATAGCACACTTTAATCAGGTCAGTTGCTAAGGAAGTGCATTGTCAACAACAGCACCAGGGTTTATGATCACCAGACCATGGAAGAGAAAATTCGCATAAACAAGGTTTACAAAATGATCTCAAACGTGTTATATCTAGACACATGCAGTCAAGCAGTCTCCCTTGCTTTCAATGCATACAAGATATGTTGGTATTGGTAAGGACCTCAATAAATGGCATTTTACATGCACTAGTCATGAATGTGTACATGTTGACCTGCCATTCACAGAGCATGCAGTAAGAGTCGAGTAGAGTACCGGTAGGCTTTTAGATGTTACTTACACATATACTTGTATTATAACCCTGTTGGGTTTGTTGATCTTTATAAAACCACTATACTGTGCATGTACAGTTGTGTCTGTTATTTTTCCATTGAACCTACTGTTTTACATTATAAGTTTTAATATTTCATCCAAAATCCAGTACAGATATTGTGAATTTGTGATACATATGTTTCATTGTGGAGGTTGCCCCTTCCCAACTGAAAGTTTATGTTTCATGAATTTGTAATTTACCCAGTCACACCAGAGACTACTACATGTACAGTACAGGCTAAATAATAATAATAATAATAATACATAAGATTTATAAGGCGCCAAATCCACTTGACAGTCAAATGCTCAAGGTGTAGCTTGTGCAACAGATGAAATACGTACATGATACATTTATACAGAGAGCAATAGGAAAGGTACAGACATGAAAGGTTATGGTACTCGATTATAAGCTAAATTAAACAGATAGTTCTTAACTCTTTGTTTGCTTTGTTCGCCGATTTGCACGGACGTAGGCGTGCCAACTTCGCATTTTTGCACAGATGTATACGAGTCAATTAGACATTCATAATACCGCTCGCAGTGTGTAGCCACGCGTTGCGTTTACTATTGTTTACATTGTATACATCGCACACTTTCCGGTAAACTGTTTTTCTTCATAGTGTTACATTCGAAATTACCGTGTATTTAGCGGTTTTCTTTGGATTTTTTTTACTGATGTTACGATGGCACCTGCTGGAAAACGTCAACGTGTGTTTAGTGTAGAGGAGGCTCGAGATCTTGTTACTATGGAAGCATGGAGCATGGACTCTGATTCCGACGAATCGAGCAGTGACGAAGACTCTAGTGATAAAAGTGTTCCCTGAGAGTAGACTGATAGAATAAGAATGAATAAAAATTAATGAAAGAGCTAGAGATGACAGCAAGAAAGAGAGTAGACTGATAGAATAAGAATGAATAAAAAAAATGAAAGAAGGAGATAGAGATGACAGCAAGAAAGAGAGTAGACAGTGATAGAATAAGAATGAATAAAAATAATGAAAGAAAGAGATAGAGATGACAGCAAGAAAGAGAGTAGACTGATAGAATAAGAATGAATAAAAATTAATGAAAGAGCTAGAGATGACAGCAAGAAAGAGAGTAGACAGTGATAGAATAAGAATGAATAAAACTAATGAAAGAAAGATGTATCCTGTCTTGCCGTCATCTTTATATCTTTCTTTTATTATCTTTATTCATTCTTATGCTATCAGTGTTTACTCTCTTTCTTTCCGTCATCTCTATCTTATTATTATTATCATTTTCCTATCTATATGTACCCTATGTCTTGCCGTCATCTGTATATCTTTTTCTTATTATCTTTATTCATTATTATGCTATGAGTGTAATACTCTCTTTCTTGCCGTCATCTCTATCTCATTATTATTATCATTTTCCTATCTATATGTACCCTATGTCTTGCCGTCATCTCTATATCTTTCTCTTATTATCTTTATTCATTCTTATGCTATCAGTGTTTACTCTCTTTCTTTCCGTCATCTCTATCTTATTATTATTATCATTTTCCTATCTATAATTATGTACCCTATGTCTTGCCGTCATCTCTATATCTTTCTCTTATTATCTTTATTCATTCTTATGCTATCAGTGTTTACTCTCTTTCTTGCCGTCATCTCTATCTTATTATTATTATCATTTTCCTATCTATATGTACCCTATGTCTTGCCGTCATCTGTATATCTTTCTCTTATTATCTTTATTCATTCTTATGCTATCAGTGTTTACTCTCTTTCTTGCCGTCATCTCTATCTTATTATTATTATTATTTTCCTATCAATATGTATCCTATGTCTTGCCGTCATCTCTATATATTTCTCTTATTATCTTTATTCATTCTTGTGCTATCAGTGTTTACTCTCTTTCTTTCCGTCATCTCTATCTTTTTATTATTATCATTTTCCTATCTATATGTACCCTATGTCTTGCCGTCATCTCTATATCTTTCTCTTATTATCTTTATTCATTCTTATGCTATCAGTGTTTACTCTCTTTCTTTCCGTCATCTCTATCTTATTATTATTATCATTTTCCTATCTATATGTACCCTATGTCTTGCCGTCATCTCTATATCTTTCTCTTATTATCTTTATTCATTCTTATGCTATCAGTGTTTACTCTCTTTCTTTCCGTCATCTCTATCTCATTATTATTGTTATTTTCGTATCAATATGTATCCTGTCTTGCCGTCATCTTTATCTCTTTCTCTTATAATCTTTATTCACAGTAAAGTCCTTTCATTTCATATCACTATTTCTCTCTCATAATGTCTCTCACGTCCGTTCTCCATATTTTATTCATTGCATACTCCACTCGTCAATCATTTCTGATAATAAGCTCTCTCACAATAAAGTAAATGGAAAACAATGCAATATAGTTTATATTTTAAGATTGATTCATTCTTTCTTTGTATATCTATGGCTGTGATAAATGTACTTGAAATCAATTTTATTGAGGGGTAAAGAAGGTGAGAGAACAGATGCGGTGAACATTCATAATGAGACATTTCAATAAGATGCTGATTATGTCATGTATATCACATATAATATATTATGCCTATACCATTTTTACATGCTCATACCAGTGGGCAAAATCAATAACATTCTCTTATTTCTTATTGACTTATCATGGCACAACAAAGAAAAACATCCCCACGACGTCCCTTTTCATGCCCCGCTAAACCGGACATTGACAATAACCTGGGGTAATAGGGATTTCAATGGGCAGATTAGCCCATTGTCAAGGGTGGCTGAGCGGGGTACTTTCAAGTCTCTCCCTATTGAACTTCTTTTCTTCAACAACCTAAATACTAACCTTCTGAATTGTTAGAATACTTGAGCAAGGTATGTAAAGAAAGGTAAGAAGTCCACCTTTCTAATAGATTCGATTTGAAGATGTCTTATCATTGCTAAATAAGAAATTCTAGAGGGATAAAAAACTGCCGTAAATAAGAAAAATTAAACATTATATAATTATGATTATTATAAAAATGATAATTCAAAATATAACAAATGACGGTTCATCGAAAAGCACGTTTTCCGGTCTACAACTTTGCTGCACAATATTTTTCATCATGATCATCCAGTGAAGAGTTATAGCCTCTTGATTCAGCAGAGTCAATAAAGATTCCCTCGAAATGTGTGACCCTAAAAGAATGTGGCACAGGGGGGTTTTTTAAGTGGCGCATAAAGAGTTAAGATTGTTTTTTAACACTTCAGCAGAGCTGCTATTCTGTACGTTACCACCATTGGCCAAAACTCAGATGGTTTGGAGTTAGTTTGGTGATGAATCTGATGATGACTTTGCATTAATAAGGCCTCCTGTCCAGATTCCTCCCTAGAGTCCCTACATGTACCACCCTCCCCTCTGGCTTGTACATGTACGGTATACATGTATGTGCCTAACAGATAATGTCAAGTCATTCTTGGAAGAATACACAATGAATATGCACTAGGAATAAAAATGTACTTGTATCGGAATATCCCAGACATGAAAAGAGATAAAACCAAATCTTCTAACTTGTACATACTACATTAATGTATGCTTAATAATATAAAGACTGTCATTACTACTGGGCCAGAAGGGATTAGACCACACAGCGAGGTCACTGACAGATGGCTACATGTATCTCATTAACTCAGCTCTCAACTAACATAAGAAAAAGAGGATCATGGGGGACCAACAGGCACCGATTGGGGAAGTTTTCTATATAGAGGGAGCAAGTAGCTACAAGTAGGACAGTGGGGCCTTAAAAAGAAAAAAAGCCTTCTACTTATATTTCAAACATGATGTTAAAAATAAAAATAAAGATATTTACGTGTAAACATTTCCCCATCCCTGCATGAGGTCTGATTCCTGCATGATGTAGCGAAGTCTTCCGTCTCCTTTAGACACGGTATCCTGCTTGGCCGCCTCATCCCAGTCTAACTCAATACTGTGATGGGTTACTTTACCCACTACCGGCGGATCAGGCTTCTTGGGTGCTACATGGAAGAAAGAAAGAAATTAAAACTTTAATAGCATTGGTCATGTCATTGCTTAAAACAGTCTGGAAGCAACTGGGAATGGTTGATTAATGTTGTAGTATACTATACATGATGTACAGGTACATTAATTCTTAAACATTACATCAATCATGTCATGTAATATTCAAGTATTGATGTACATGTACGCACTATAGCTGTGAGTGTGAGGTTTGAGAGTGAATAACATAAAAGGAAATCGACTACATAAAAATTCTAAATCTTGCTGGAAGAAAAAAATGTTGATTTTAATAGTTCTACCGGTAAGCAAAACAGTGAGAGGAACAGGCCTACATGTAAGTGACAGTTTGAGCAAATTCTGAATTGCTAAAATTGGAGAGGAGCTGGCAAGAAATGACACTATCATCAAAGAGTCAACATCAGCCAAGTCTTCCAACACCAAAGTTTGGAGCTACATGCAGAATGACCATTCAGCGCAGCTGTACACAGGCAGGCTAGAGCGTTGATGTACAACTGTAGCTCAACTTCATCAAAAATTAGATGATGTCCGCAACCCACTGTATTTTTATGAGCACCTTTTTATCTGATTTTTGAATTCTGCACCCTCAGTTGTGATGTTTTATAACAGTTTGCGATGCCACAGAAGTCTGGACATGTATACCAATTGGTCCTGTCCAGTACCACTTTAGATGTAGATGTAGACGCAGTGTTACCAATTTGTGCTTGATTGATCGCATCTTAAATAATTCATAACTTTCTTATTTTTGATCTGAATTAACTCTTACTTTTTTTTTTATAGGTCATCTTTATTTATTACTTAATTTTATATGCTGTTTGGGATGCCTGACATGTTCAAGGTTGGAAATTAAACAATAAACTCTTACATTTGTTGGGGGATAAATCCCCTGTAAAAGTCTTGTGTGCAAATTAAGGAGTTATGTTTTCATGACTGGTACTTCAGTTGTACAACTACAAGTAATGCACATTCCCATCCGACATCAAATTTTTAGACCGCAGTATCCCAGGGATTCTTTTGGCGATGAACTTTGTAGTTGCACTCATCTATCATGATCTATGGTCTGAAAATGTTGCCATCCATCTATAATTTTTTTTAATCTGTATAAATTTATGATGAATCATTCAAATATCACATTCCTAATTCCTAATTCCTAACGCATGCGAATGGTGGACACCCCATCATATTCATACATCATGTATCATGTACATTCAACAACTTTTGTGACCTTGATATTAACAACCGATTCAAGAAAACTGAAACATCTCTTCCAAAAAAATAATTCCAAAAATTAGATCTAACTTAGTAACTAATCGTAAATTTCACTAGATCTATGTCTATAAACAAATGAATTGATTTGTTTTGACAGTCATGAGTACAAGTCTGCCAGTCATAAAATTAAAAGACATAATTTCAAGAATAATATTATAGATTTAGACTCTAGGGGTCTAGATCTATTAGACTCTATACAAATTAAAGAAAATAAACCTCTCATCTCACACTGTCTCACTCGGAGTCAGCCTCAGTGACTCAATTTATAGAGGGAATGGCAAACCCGGACTTTAGTGCCCAGCTGAAAATCTCAGTTTATTATGGATTTAATATCAATAATATTAATTATGCTAATATATGCAAATATAAACATACCAAAACTTGATGATTTTTAATCATTTGACGTCATAAAAAGCAATTTTAAGCCAAAAATAGCAGCGAAGTAGGGGATCTCCTCTTTGGCTTTGCTTGATGCGAGATACTAGCGAACTGAAATAACCGAATAAAAACTATGGTGAACTAAAAAAAGAAAAGAAAAAATCAAACCACCTCTGAAATTACCTTTGAAATGTTTATTAATTTTTTCTTCCGATATGCGCACATGATAGGGGCAGGTTGGGATGGGATGGGGGGGGGGGGGTGCTCAATAGTCGCCAAATTTGGGGTAAAAGGGCAACTGGCCTTGGGGGGGGGGGGCTAAATTTATTATTTACTTATTTTTCTTTGTAATCATTTTTCTAATTTTTTTCCGGGGTGGCTCTTTTCTTTATTCTGCTTCTTCTTTCTTTCTCACCAGATATTAGTTCACCATAGTTTTTATTCGGTTATTTCAGTTCGCTAGTATCTCGCATCAAGCAAAGAGGAGATCCCCTACTTCGCTGCTATTTTTGGCTTAAAATTGCTTTTTATGACGTCAAATGATTAAAAATCATCAAGTTTTGGTATGTTTATATTTGCATATATTAGCATAATTAATATTAGATCTATTGATATTAAATCCATAATAAACTGAGATTTTCAGCTGGGCACTAAAGTCCGGGTTTGCCGAGGGAATAAGCAAGGAGAAATAAGACATGAGAGAAGTGAGTCTTACCTGACATAATTTAAATTTGCTGTTTTTCTCAAGATCTCATTCTCTAATTAGTTTTCGATCGAGGAAGCTGACTTCGCACTTGTGCGGCTGAGGTGTGACAGCTACAGTGCAGTGTGAGTGTTGAACAGTCGATCAAGGGTAGCTCAGCATGAGCACAGCGGAATGATTAGGCGATGAACGTTGGCAGTGTACCGATGGGTGCTGCAGGTCTCTAGCTCTCACTCCTACTTGAAAAAGATCTGGATCTATTGTTAGATCGAAGTGACAGCTACTTATATTCCAAATATTTCGTGAAGTTTGAGCAGGTGTTTACAAAGACGAAAACTCTTCCGAGTTCACTGGCTGATCTGAAACAGAGATTCTGCCAAACATTTAGAGCTCCGTTTCAGCAAGACGCTCGTTCCGTGGATACGGCAACCGCAAATGGGGTGTTCGCAGAGCTAGAGGGCGTTCCTGCTCTAAACTCCATCAGACACTTTGACTGCCCCACCATAAAAATCTTTTTTTTTATGAACAATTTTTCAATTGTTCTATTTTTATGCATTGATACTAACAAAGAGCCCACTTAAATGTTTGCTTACAAATAGTGATAATGTGATAAGATTTGTATATCAATTTACTTGAATGGATTGGAAATTCGGTTTCAGGAGCGCCCCTGTACGATGTGTCTCAATTTATAGTGTTTCTGTGTTTCTGAGTGGTCTAGGCATGCGCACCGTGCGTTATAAAATTAAAAGATCACTGCGCACGCACGCCGAGTAGCCGAGAAGCCTGTTTCACATCGGGCAAAGCTAGTTTTCCATGCCATCGAAACCGGGCTGACCAGATTAAACTTTAAAAAAAAGCAGAAACACGAAGTTGCAAACCATCCAGAGACTCCTAAAAAATTGCGTTACTTTTTAATTATATCATTACAAATCTTTATCCTCAGTTTTCTTATTTATAACTGATTTTCCTTATAAAATTAAAAATAATTATGGCGTATATATTCAACATTGAATGAACGCCAATAAACAATTACCCAACAACAACAACAACACCATAAAAATCAAATTATGACCCCCCACCATACACCAGCACGCTTTTTAATATTTCAAGTCTGTCCTCATCCAGAATATTGCAACATACAAAAATCAAGCCTATGATATTTGATTCCTTGAAGTTATTAAGACATCACCGCCGCCGGGATAGACGCCCCTTAAATGTTAGCTCAATTTTCCGAATGAGAGAGTCACTAATTTCATCGCGGGATGGGCATTTATTCACTTGAAGGGATTAATATCTTGTTAATCTTATTTTCTTTGCTTTCAGAAAAAGTAGGTTTGGCATTAGCCAAGGCCACTGATTTCAGGAAAAGCGACCTTGTAGGTGGATTAAAAAACAACAACTTGTAAACCAATAATCATAAAAGAAATTTGAACCCGACTCTCGTCTTAACTCTCCAAGCCTTTCCCTTTAAAGGTCCACTGCACTACTTGTAGCTACTTGCGCCCTCTCTATATTAAACAATACCTAATTGGTGACCATTGGTCCCCCATAATCCTCTTTTTCTTATGTTAACTGAGAGCTGAGTTGATGAGATAACCACCTGTCCAGTGACCTTGCAGGGCGGTCCGAGTAATCCCTCCAAGCTTTAATCTCTTTCTATCAGGGTGAATGACTTTGACTGTATTTCCACTTGTGATGTTTGGCGAAAAGGAAACTACCGTGTAAACAAGTTGCACCGTATATGAAAGAAGAACAAAAGTCAGGAAAGTGAATAGTGAAAGCTTGAAATTAATTTGATTAAAATTGTAAAAAAAAAAGTGTAGCCTATGTGATGTTTGAAAAATTAGATGACTAAATCTGCGTGAATTTCATTTACTTGCGGGTTTTACGAAACATGTTCATGCGTCATTTAATCCCCGGATTTAATCCCACACTTACCGAATTCCAAACCACTTCCCTGGATCAAATACAATTCTAACCTATACCTAAATTCCGACAATTGCAACCGCCTATACTGTTGACGAAATAACGCCAGGAGCGATTTCCGCCGGAGCAAAATGTATTACGTCTTGTGGACAACTACTTTGGATAATCATTTCATTTCAATTTATCACATGAACAACCTCATCACCCATTTCCTCACGGTCAGTCTTTCTATAGGTGCAACAATGCAAGAGAATGAGAAATTAAGAAATCAAAAAACCGCATTAGCTCTCAAATCCATTAGACACACCGGCCCAGACTTTTATTCGTATTTGTATTCTTTTATAAAGAAGGCGGTTAAAACCGGGTTACTGTCTAAGTATTGATCCCAGGCGCGTACGCAGGGGGGAGGGGGGGGGGGGGGGGGGGAGGGGGAGGGGGTTACCCTCCCCCCCTTGAGTTTTTTTTATGTGTATTTTTTGTGTATGTTTTTTGTGAAAAAGGTTGATGAAAAAACTGTGTAATTTTTGTATGAAATGTTACTTATTATATTCCTATTAGTTTACTGTCCTTACCCTCTCATGCCTGTATCCTCTAACAGGCAAAACATCCTGAGAAAATCCCAAACCACAAAGATATTTATGGTTTTCATTGAAGGCGTCACTGTGCAACGTCACTAAATTAAATGTCCTTTGGCAAGACATTGATCTACAATTGCCGGTGATGTAAATGGGTACCTGGCAGGAATTAATTCTTTGAAATACTATAGAGCGCCGTAATGGCAGCGCAGCTCAAGACGGGGTAATAATCTCCAAGTTCCAATCTTTAAGACATAAGACAGGCTTTTTAAAACCTTAAAACACTTAAACGTCTGGAATGGTATATAGAGCTATTATTCATTGCTTCGTGACGATTTAAATTTACCTACATGTATAATGTAATTAAATTGTAATACTATAGTTGGGAGATTTAGGGACTCGACTAGATCAGTTTTTCTCAATTTGTATCATTAATAATGGTCCATTTTCACTCAAACTTTCAGATTATCTTACATCTAGCATTTAAGTCACTACCTTAGAACCATTTTCTCTCATCTTTACAATGTTACCAAATCCCTTTAAGGGCAACACAAATCATGATAATTGTACGTGTAAAAACATATGGGGCTACATAATAATAATAGAGAAATTATTTTGGACTTCAACACATCCCTTCTACATTTAAAGTTCTAAAACTTAAGTTCAAAGATGACAATATTAATAATAAGCCTATCACATTAATTTTCTTGAAATGATCATGATTTTAATGGAATGAAAACTTTAAATGAAATACCAGAACAATGTCATTAGGCTACAGCCAATATCAACTTATGGCAGAAAAGCGACAGCAATTCGCAGTAGATTATTTTTTTAATATTGATTGATTTCCATATTCAGGTAAACCTGAACATAATTGTACATCATCAAATATACAACAGAGAGATTGTAAGTATTGGCAGTATCACACGTAGAAGCTAATTAAAAGTTAATTTCCAATGAGATTCTACCTCCTAATAATATTAAAAATATGTGATATCCAAATATTCATACAAAATGTATATTGGTCTTAACAAATTTATTCAGTCGTTTTTTGTTAATATAAATTAATTTAAGATGACCACTCATGAACAAAACGAATAGAACACTCCCTTACTTCACCTGCATACACACACTTGCAATTTTCTTTTTCTTTTCCTTTCTTTCTTCCAACTTCCAACTTCAAATTATGTTATAAACTATACTATTGTTTGAATATTTTGTATTTGATTTTTAAAGAAATGCAGAAACATCCGCAAAAAAATTTGTCATGGGCATTCTATTTGATTAATAATGTCACATTCCCCTCAGACTATCTGCCATTAATTGGCAACTTTATCCAGTCTATTTGAAGGCATCTTTGACGTTGTCGACCCAAGTCTTGATATCCGTTGGTTCTTTGCCCGTGATCCTCTTAAAATCTCCCATGTCAGCGATGTCGGCAGCCGGCGACCCTTCGTTGACGAGTCGGTACAGCTCCATGGCGCCGTCAGCTTGCCACTCGGCCATTCCAACCCCCATGAAAGCTTGCTTGCCTGCCTCGTACGGTACGTGTTCGTGCACGATCTCCCGACCCAATGCCTCACTGAAGAGTTTGGCGAGCTCTCTATGTGTGAACCGGGTGCTTGTTATGGTGTAAGTCATATCTAGGGGGAAATGAGAGGAGAGAGGATGAACAAGAGAGAGAGAGAGAGGGAGGGGGAGAGGGAGAGAGAGAGAGAGAGAGAGAGAGGGGGAGGGGGGGGGGGAGAGGGAAGGAGAGAGGATGTAGAAAAAAAATTGAAAAGGTATACAATGCATGCAAGAGAAAATACTATACGGAATATAATATGTTTACAAGGGAAATAATCTGCGAGGCCAAAAATCATCTTAACATTTTAGTTTTTTACAATCAATAAACATTACTTTGAAATGTTCTTAATAAGCGTAACTATCATCTAGGGGACATTTCAATTTCATGTTTGATGGCAGATTCTATTGTTTTTTCTGCACATAACTGCAACGAACCTCATTCCCTTGAACTCACTCTTTTCCTTTCAAAAGGCCTTTTCAAATAGTCATGTACAATCATATCCCGATAGAAGACCCATTAATGATAAAAAAGGACACGACATACTTGCGTGTTTCTCATACGACGCCATGATCGTCGCGACAGCATCACCGATATCACTGACCAGGACAGGACAGTAGGGTTTATCTGATTCCATCGCAGCGTAGATCTTAGACTGACCAACGATTCCGTCTCTCGCCATGAATAGGTTGTCGACGAAAATCGGCACTCGTAGGATTGTGTACGGGAGGCCGAGAGATTTCGTTCCTGTTTCAATAGCCTGCATGCAAGGTTCCATGAGGGGGAGGAAAGAGTTACTGGTATGTTCTAATGATGTCCTCAACTTGAAGTGAAAAGAAAATACTTAGGTCTCATTCTCAAAATTTACCGCTGAGGCCAAGTTTCCAAAAATGAATAATTTTTCAATAATAGAAATAGTGGCAATAAAATACAAAACATGTAGGGCCTAAACAGCACCTGCAAAAAGCAAAAATATATATAGTTTTTTTTTTTTTTGGGGGGGGGGGAGGGGCGTTCGTTTTCGTGTTTTTCTAAATAATTTTAAAAGCAAAATCTGAGGATTAAAACATTTGGAATACTTTCGTATGTGCCGGGAAAGTCGACCCTCTTATATTGGGGGAGTGTAACTTTCCCATTCGTAATCGTTAGTGACGCTTTTTTGCTTACCTTGCATTGTCGACCAAACAAGACATCGAGATCTACTGGTGGAACACTGATGACGACGACATGTTTGACGCCGGCTTCCTTGCCTGCTTCCATGGACCGGACGCTGAGGTCGGCTCGATCTTCCGTGGGTGGGACGGTCACGAAGATGACATCGACACCTTCATCGTTGGAAAGCCAGAGAAGACAAAGAGGTGATTAGTGGCGTAGCATAAGGCCTGTTATTTAAGGGGAACAATGGTGTCGGGGGGGGGGGGGCAACGATCCTAATCAAGGTGAATTCAATTCAATTCAACTAGTTTGATTAATTATAATTTTCAATAAAAACAATACAGTGATGATATAAAGAAGATCATTAATTTTTGCAATATATGAGAAAATGAAAATAGGGAACTAAAAAATAAGGCCACATGGCCTTGTGGAGGCATAGTTCCCCGAACAGTAGTTAAGAGATTTACATATACAAACAAAACTAAAAAAACGAAACAGGACAAAACATGACAGGGGCATCGTTCATGGCAGGTAATACCAATGGAAATTATCATTACAAAATCATAAGTTTGAAAACAGTTAGAGGTAATGTTGTATAATATGAATATTGGTACAAGAATCAATGGTATTTAGATATAAGATGCTGATTCGAGTTTCTTTTAAATAATGTTAAAGACTTGCATGAAGATATTTCAGGAGGAATAGAGTTCCAAATAACAGGAAAAATTGTTTCTTACAAATTTCAAATATATATCTTTAATGGCTAAAGATGAAAAGAGTCTCGCCCACGAGTATTATAATTATGAACATCATTATTTTAAGTCAACGTTCTCGAAATATTTTACGGTAGTTTATTTTGAAAATAAAAGAATCCAAGCAGGGCAATTGAATAAAAATATAAGTCATATATATTCAGTGTTTTCAATTTCATGAACAATGGGGCAGAGTGAGTACGATAAACACTGTGAATGCGATCTAGAAAAAAATATACATTTGAGTCTAAGAAGGGTGTGGCGTATATACCTTTATCAATTATCTCGCAACTACATTGTATTTTGTTTAGGTGCCGCCAGTGGAGGTCAATTGTCTATGTTTTGAATGTGGATCAATAAAATAATTTATCTTTCCTTATCTTATCGTTCGAGAAACACGTGCCTGCTTCGATTTCGGTAGTGCACATCAAACGCAACAATAACAACCAGCCATCATTATGTTGGATAAGTACAATTACGAAATCCTAAGTTATTTGTATTCAATAACAAGATGACTTTAACACGAAATGACGGACAAGCCTCGGCAGCCTCGGACAAGCCTCTAGCAAGCTTTCGGGTTTGTCAATAACAACCTTTGTGTATGCATACAATTTGAATATGCTAGTAAACCGGTCCATTAACTTTTAGGCATTCAGATTTGATTTCGTCAGAGGGCTAATAGACGTCGCCTGTCCTTTGTTTGATATTGTAATACAAATTTATTTTTTGTCAACAAACTGTCGCAGATTAATATAAAAACACTCCCCCAAATCAGATGGCGGTTATCCCAAAATATTTGTTATATTTTCGACCCCTCATAATTACTTTTGAAATTCATCCAAATTGAATGGCTATTGAAGGAATTACTTCTAAACTGTTTAAGTATATGCACCTTATAAAATACTGTGCGTAAACAATAAGTACATTCATGAGCAGAGACTTCGCATCATCAATGTTGAAACAAATAATTATGATTTTTTTCTTCTTCCCCTAACACAATATCTTTTTGGAACAAATTCATTACTAGACGATAAATTTTTTCCCAAAAGACTGCGACTTGGGGACATCTAAGCAAAAGGTGTAGGAACGATTCTGGTTCATTACAATATGTACAAAGCATATCAGATGTAATTTTCCACTTATAAAGATTATCTTTGAAGGGTAAAACTTTATGAAGCAATTTGAAATTAAATTGTCATACTCTGTTGTCTTTGATCTTTTTTTAATAAAAATCTAAAACATGCCTCCACTCAAAATTGATTGGTAGTTGCAGTATTTTCTGCCAAAATAATGACACCGTAGGATTTTTTGTTGTTGAACTCGTTCAAGATAATATAAAAGTGTTTTTCTTTCATGAGACTTAATTGAATCAAGTCGCAGTTTGATGTCTCAAATATTTCTTCAGAAACTTCCGTTTCAATTGAATTAAAATTGACATTTCTTATTTGTTCTGCCCATACTTTTGGAATAGCCTTTTTTAGTTTCGAAAATTTGAAGTTATGTAACAAAGAACATGTACCTAAACGTTCGTAAAGAGTTTTACATGATATCCATTGACCGTTTTCAAATACACCACTGACTTTACAAATTCCGCTTACATTACATTCTTTGAAAAATAAGACATTTTGCCCATCATCATATGCCTGTGAATCCAGGAGAAATACTAGAACGAATGTAAGATAGTATACCTTTTAGAGTCGATGTTAGGCTATCTTTATCACCCATCTGTGCAGAAACCACAGTGACACCTTTCAGCTGTCGAAGAGAAGATGCCTTTTCCATACTCGATTCCCGAACACCGGCCCTGATATCCAACGTATCCCCAAACTGAGCAGACAGGGCTCTGATCGTGGCGCCGCCGACATTACCCGTACAACCGAACACGAACACGACTGACTTGGTGGGTCCCGACGATTTCTCCCCTGCCGTCTCCGATGTCGCGGAATTCTCCATCCTCCTCATCGTAATCTCAAGCGAATTGTTAAATCGATCCTAGATTATTTTGAATGACGAATATTATACGAGCATACAGCAATGTTGTTTTCTCGTCAGACAATTTGGTTAGTGCTCTAGTTCTGGTGGGCTACTGTATACTGAAAGCTTTATGAATACAAAGTTGAATGATATTTTGACTGCCATGAGCGTGGGTGTGTCTTTGTGGTCCCTGGAGGCTGCATATAGAGCGAATCGAAAGATTTGTTTGTGCATATACGTGTCGATTAAATGAAATACGGCTGCTATTGCTAGCCATATTTTTTTGTAATACAGAAATCATGTACATTGCAATTTAATTGTAATATGTTTCGCATGAGAAATAAAATCAATTGAATAAAATCAGAGAGCTGTGTCTCACTCCTGGGAGTCTCAGTCATGTAGACATACTGTAAACATGAGTATGTGACCAAAGGTTTTCCAGACACCCCCTAAAACGAGGATATCTTTTAAAGCCAAAATACACCCTAAAATACACCCTTTTAAAACCTGTACACCAATATAACAATTTTGAAGCTGACTTTCGTCTTCAACTCTTCAAGCCTTTTCTTTTAATATCTTTCTATCAGGATGGACGAGATTGACTCTGTTTTTCCACATCTGATGTTTGGCGAAATTAAAAGGAAACCAAATCGTGTTAACAAGTTGCACCGTGTGAAAAAATAATATCAGGAAAAGTGATTAGTGAAAGCTTGAAATAAATTTGATGAAAAATAGTAAGAAAGCTTGGCCTATAATTATGATACTTGAAAAATCAGATGACTATAAATCTGCGTGAATCTCAGACTGGCAAAATGGTCTTTCCAACTTAACTCGGTTCCTGCGTCATTTAATCCCACACTTACCGAATTCCCAACCCCTTCCCTGGACCAAATACGATACCTAACTTATACCTAAAACCGCCTTTATACTGTTGACGAAATAACGCCAGGAGCGATTTCCGCCGGAGCAAACGTCTTGTGGACAACTCCACTTTGGATAATCATTTCATTTCAATTTATCTCATGAGCAACTTTTATAAACTTTATTCTCATCACTCATATCCTCACGGTCAGTCTTTCTATAGAAATACATAAAACGAAAGAGAAGATTATAGAATAAAGGAGAACAAGAAAAAATTCATAACGAAGGAGAACTGAAGGATAGATTGAAGGAAAAAAACGAAGAAATACATGACGAAAGAGAAGAGGATAGATTGAAGGAGAAACATAGAAATACATAACGAAAGAGAAGAGTATAGATTTAACGAGAAACAAAAACATAAAGAGAATATACACAGTCATGTACGGTTCCAGCAATCCAAAAATACTGCTTAGACCATTTTATCCCTTGACAATGGTATCGGTTTATTAGTGAACTTTCTATTCAATTCAATCAGTGAGGTGAGACCCCGGGGTTCTCGGGCTGCGTTTAAGCTCAATTTTGAAGGCAGAATGAGCGATATGAAACGCTCATCGTAAACGCTCATCGTAATCGCAGTTCCACGGTGTACTGTTTATGCTCACTTCTCTGGCTCCTCCAGGCAATTCTTGCTGGGTGGCCCTAATTGGCCTTGCAGCTGGATTCGCAAACATGCACTGTGCATGCTACGTAGACCCACTAGAGGTCAGTGCGTTGACCCCATTTAAACGCGTTTACAAATTGTAAACACACCTTTTTGTGAGTTTACGATCGGCGATCGCCGTTTTTCGGTAATTCTACAAAAGTGAGAAAGGACGCAATCGTGTTTTAAACTAAACGCGTAACAGATGCCTGATTCTGGCCAGAAAAAGTTGAGCATAAACACGCCCTCGGTCACATCATACTGAAAGCATGCGCATAGGCGCTGGAAGTGGGGGTGGGGCAGTGGGGGAGGGGGGGGGGGCTCCCACAAACACAAAAAAGTGGGGGGGGGGGGCAAAACGCAGTTTCTCCCCCCCCCCCCCAAAAACAAAAAAAAAAAAAAAAACACAAAAACACAAAAACACAAAAAAAAAACACAAAAAAAACACACAAAAAAAAACAAAAAAAAAAAAAACACAAAAGCATTATAGGAGTAAAGATGGTTTGTATTTTTCAACCAAAAGAACATGAAAATAATAAAAACCTGAATTGAATCACATACAAATTATATTCCATTCAAAGAAAAGGAAAGTTAACAGGACTTAAATTTCCTATACATTTCGCATGCCCCTATAGTCAATGGAATTTTTTCTAATAGCGATACGCGCATTCCGTGGAAATATTGTGAGAGGATGGGAAAGCGTGTGTGTTTTTATTATTATAGATGTGAAAAGATATAAGCCCATGAACACTGGCGTACTGATGGGTGGGAGGGGGGGGGGGGTATTTCTTACTTGATACCAGTGATTTACAAATGTTGTTGAAATGACATGATTTTCCGGTCTTTTTTCTCATTTTTTTTTTGTTGGAAAATTACAAATTCTTAAATTTACAGTCGGGCGAAAAAATATGCTTATTTAGACGCCTTCTGTCAGGGCGTGCAGAATGTCGGCGCTCGGGGTCTCGAGTCCCCCCATCCACTTTTTTTAGCATGATAAAGGGAAAAAGAAAGAAAGAAAAAGAGAAAAACAGTGAGTGACCTGCCAATGTCACAAATGAGGTACAAAAATGCTCATCTGGCCTTCATTAAATACCTAAAAACCCTGAGCTTCCGGGGGCTCTACCCTCTGGACCCCACCAAGGGACCTAAGGCGGCCCCTGGATGCTCATCTGACCGTAATTAAATACCTAAAACCCATGAGCTTCCGGGGGCTCTGTCCTCTGGACCCCACCAAGGGCCCTAAGGCAGCCCCTGGATGCTCATCTGACCGTAATTAAATACCTAAAACCCATGAGCTTCCGGGGGCTCTACCCTCTGGACCCCACCAAGGGCCCTAAGGCGGCCCCTGGATGCTCTTCTGACCGTAATTAAATACCTAAAACCCATGAGCTTCCGGGGGCTTTGCCCTCTGGACCCCACCAAGGGCCCTGAGGCGGCCCCTGGATGCTCATCTGACCGTAATTAAATACCTTAAACCTTTGAGCTTCCAGAGGCTCTTCCCCCTGGACCCCCGCCAATTAGTGACCCGCCAGTGTCACAAAAAAGGTATCTAAATATGCTTATCTGACCGTAATTTAATGCCTAAAAACCCTGAGTTTCCAGGGGCTGAGCCCCTTGACCCCCGGCGGGGCTAAGCCCCTGGACCCTACGCTCGCTACGCTCTACCTGATCGTTAATACTCCACTTTGTACAACGTTCCGCGGGGCCTGCATGTGCATGTACGAGTGGTGGTGATGCAGATTTTCCTTCTGCCCCCCCCCCCCCCAAAAAAAAATACGTGTTTGCTCATTACGCCACTGTCCCTAGAAGGTGAGCCCCCTGGAATGTTCGGCCCCCGGCAATCCCAGACTGCTTCCGGTGAGCATGCGTGACCACGAAAACGCGTATAAAGGGGGGAGGGGGGGTATATTGGGCGGTCCACGCGGTGCCGCATTAAGGGGTTCAAAAACGTCCATTTGGGGCCATTTTCAAGAAAAAGGATACTTTTTCAAAATGGTTCAAAATCCTGCTGTTTACGCCGGTAAACGCGTTTAGTTAGGGGTATTTTGCTAGCCCTCAGAGCCAGATCGGGGTAAAAAGGGGAAGGGGGGGGGGGGTAATAATTGCCTTTTGGCGAGACTACCGGTCGCCGCCTGCGCCCGCCGGTATGATCTTCTGTAGATCAAGATGGATGCACACGATACCGACCCAGACCTACTAAGTCTCACGCGTATAGCTGGTCCCTTATATTTTGTTTTTCATAGTGTATAGTAATTGTTCATTAATTGTACATTGTGTAATTTTTTTTTAACACGACATCTACTTTACATAAAATATATAGATCAAATTTGAAATGTAATATTATTCTTTTTTTCAAAGAAAGGACTTATGATGGCTGGTTATTATACCCATTTGGCAGTGTACAGGTTGATTTTATTGCTTCTCTATTGAAATAAATTTTTACATTGTGAGTTTTACGTCAGAAGCGCAATTTGATTTATTTAACATTGTTAACAACTTAAAGATAAACTTGAGTTCTGGTAAAAAAAAGAAAATGAATTCTCACAGAATCTAACGAAACTTACACTGAATGTTCAAGATTACAAATAAATGTCATGTGCCAAACAATTTGGAAGAAAATGTATACTAGCTGAGTAATGAGCATAGAAAGATAAGGAAATCAGGGTATAGTACTAGCCCCGACACCATGTGTGTTGTCCCATATTATGTGTAAGTGATTGTTACTTTACCAAGACTCTGCCAAATTTATTTTGATGACTCCAGAATCTTGCATTACACACCACTTACATGCTATATGATCAATTTTTCTGATCCATTCCACACCTTTTCTTTAACAATGCAATCGCAGTACCACCACTCAAGTTTATCTTTAAATGGTAATCCCTATCGCACTTCAAAATGCTCAAAGAGTTACAATTTTAAAATACTTGTTTATTAGGAGTATCCTCTTTTGAAATACCAGGGTTCGGGGGAAAACCACGCAAATCCTTATTTAGGGTGTATTTTTGGCTTCAGATAAGATATCCTCGTTTAGGGGGTGTCTAGTAAACCTGTGGTCACGCATGTTTACAGTAATCTACATGAATGGGACTCCCAGGGGTGAGACACAGCTCTCTGATTTTATTCAAATGAGTTTATTTCTCATGCGAAACATAATACAATGAAATTGTAATGTTCATGACTTGTGTAATGTACTTTCAATTCCATTTAATTCACTTTGATTCATTCAAGTCTATTTAAAAAAAAAAGTACATTGAAAAACTTTGTACATTGAGAACATAATTACATGTAAGATACACAGTATACATTGAATCTTAAACCCGCAATTAAAAAGAGAAGTAAAGACAAGAGTAAGTAATCAAAGAAATAGATAATGAACATGAAATGGAAAATTACAAATGAACCAAATGAAGGTTCTGTCGAGGCAGTCCCCAGCTTAATAAAATACCTAATTTTTTACTGATAAGGAATTAGAAAAGCATAGTGACATTATGATGGCAATGAAGGAGTTTAAAAGTTATGAAGGCAACATGGAGACAATAGCTGCTTTATCCAGTAGGCTTGCGGGTGCACCATGTGTGAGAGAGAGAGAGAGAGAGAGAGAGAGAGAGAGAGAGGGAGGATTGAGGAGTCCTGAAAAGGACTCTCGGTAATCTTTCTTGAGGGTGTGTAGTCCTGAAAAGGACTGTTGCTTTACAGCAGGAGTAGTTATCGTCCTTGGCCACTGCCCACTTTTGGCTCGCGGAATAATGCAGTTATTAAAGTCCTCGTATATTGTGAATTAATGTGGTAGGCAATTAAGTCAGGAAATAACTTACAGAGAGACATTGTCCGGGGTTGGCAAGCAAAATGTGCTTGGGCGATAAATAATAATAATAATAATAATTAACCGTTCTTGTATAGCGCATAACACATAGTATTTAAACATGTCCCTGGCTCTAGAGAAAAACACAACAGAATACAAAGACAAGATGTACTGGGTAACAGACAAAATGGATGAATTAAATGTTAAATAAGTGCGTCTTTAAAGCAATCTTAAACTTAACAATGGAGTCAATGTTTTTTTAAATGTTTCGGGAGATTGTTCCATAACGTTGAGGCAGTGTGAGCGAAGCTGCGTTCACCATATGACCTGGTCATCACTGGTGGAATAACAAACAATTTTTTCTTATTAGAACGAAGATTTCTAGATAGCCCTATATACCAACTCCGTATAGGCGACGTACAATTATAATTATGCACTGACCTGTTTGCTGTTACGATTTATAATAATATTTTATTTCGATGATTTACGATACATTTTGAAAAGTCACTATGGCTAGCAACAGCAGCCTTTTTAAATCGACACGCTCCAGGCGATCGTTGCTGCAAGGCTTTGTAAGCATGCAAACAATTATTTCGATTCGGTCCAGGGACCATAAAGACACACTGACGTAGTGACGTTCATGCCGCAGACAAAATATAAGTCAACTTTGTATTCATAAAGCTTTGTATTCATAAGCTCTAAGTATGCAGTAGCCCAACAGAACCAAATTGTCTGACGTAACAACAACATTGCTGTACGCTCGTATATCATATTCGTCATTCAAAATAATCTAGGGTCAATAGTCTCACCTCCCTGATTCAACCATCCTCTCTTAAAGATACGGTAGTCCTGGATAATGGGAAATTGCGCAACATCGGAGACGGCAGGGAGCGAACCTGCTCAACCCAGAGAGGAGACGTCGAATGATGTCGCAGGGGAGAAATCGTCGGAACCCACCAAGCCAGTCGTGTTCGTGTTCGGGTGTACGGGTAATGTCGGCGGCGCCACGATCAGAGCCCTGTCTGCTCAGTTCGGAGATACGTTGGATATCAGGGCCGGTGTTCGGGAATCGAGTATGGAAAAGGCATCTTCTCTTCGAGAGCTGAAAGGTGTCACTGTGGTTTCTGCACAAATGGGTGATAAAGATAGTCTGACATCGACTCTAAAAGGTATACTATCTTACATTCGTTCTAGTATTTCACCTGGATTCACAGGCATATTATGATGAGGGAGTTGAAAATATAACAAATATTTCTGGGGTAACTGCCACCTGATTTAGGGCAATGTTTTTATCTTAATCTGCTACAGTTTGATTTTTATAATTTACAATTATATTACAATACAATATAAAACAAATGACAAGCGACGTCTGGTAGCCCTCTGATGAAATCGAATTCGTATAGCTATAAGAGTGAGTTAAAGGAAACCAAAACCTTCATACTAAGTTACTTTTATTGTAAAGTTTAAGATGTTTGAAAAATATCAGTGAAAATTTGAACAAAATCGGGCAAGGATTAAGGAAGATAGAGCTTTTTTAAATTACTAGTCACTAGAGGGCGGTATTCAATTTGATGACATCATCTGTAAACAACTCTCCATGCCTTTTGTACATCAAATTTCATGTTTTTCCTTCTTTCTTGTGATTGAGATAACGTACTCCCCTGAAAGCAAGATATAGAATGCAAAATGATATTCTACTTCACATGTTATGAAGTCGGATCAAGAACACAAATAAATATGAAGAAAACAAAAAAATTGTGAAATTTTATGTACAAAAGGCATGGAGAGTTGTTCAGAGATGATGTCATCAAATTGAATACCGCCCTCTAGTGACTAGTAATTTAAAAAAGCTCTTACTTCCTTATTCCTTGCCCGATTTTGTTCAAATTTTCACTGATATTTTTCAAATATCTTAAACTTTACAATAAAAGTAACTTAGTATAAAGGTTTTGGTTTCCTTTAATAGACCGGTCTACTAACATATTCAAGTTGTATGCATACGTTTTACTCAAGATTGGTATTGAAAACCTTGTTGCGTTTGATATGCATGACCGAAATCGAAGCAGGCCCATGACATGTGTCTCAAACGATAGCTATATTGGCAGCTATATACAAGTCTTACTTTACTTTACTTTAATCCATCGATGTTGGCAGGACAGAGCCTGTTCATCGATCGATTGAATTCCTTTGCATCAATACTTGAGTTTGTTGTGGTTTCGTGTCGAGGTGTGTGTGTGGAGGGTGGAATAGTTCTGCATTCTTCTATTTCTTCCAATAGTTACCGAGTTTGTTTTTGAAGGCATTTACAGATGGGGCATTAGCCACTTCTTCAGATAGGCTATTCCATGTGTCCACTACTCTATTCGAGAAAAAGAATTTCCTGATGTCGAGATGTGAAAATGTCTTCTCTAGTTTCAGGGTATGGCCTCGTGTTCTGTTTTCCTTGCATGAATGTAGTAGGTTGGTCTGAGTGGTGTATAGGCCATGGAGGTACTTGTAAACGTCAATCTTATCTCCTCTCTTCCTGCGATGGGCAAGAGACGGTAGCTTCAGGTATCTCAGACGTGTTTCGTATGGAATTCAGACTAGGTACCATCTTTGTAGCTCTTCGTTGGACGCTTTCAGGGTCTCTTCTGTTCACCTATCCTGTATGGTGACCATGCAGCTTGTCCGTACTCCAAGACAGACCTTACAAGGCCTATGTACAAGAGTTTGAAAGTGTCCGTGTCCATGTTTGCGAATGATCTTCGTATCACCCCAGTAACCTGTTAGACCTGGATACAACATGGAAGATGTGGCCTTTGAAGGTCAGCTAATTAGAATCGACAAGCACACCAAGATCCCTGTCCACTTTAGATTCTTTCAGGATTGTAGTTTCATTGCCATTCTTTATGCGATATTCATAACTTGAGGGGGAACTGCCAATTTTCAACACAGTACACTTATCAGGGTGAAATCTAAGCTGCCATGTATCTGACCATTCCTGCATCTTTATCAGATCATCCTGCAATTTCTGGGAATCTTCGAAGGTGTCACATCTGGCATACAGCTTTGTGTCGTCTGCAAAAAGCTTGATTCTGGACTCCATGACATCAGGAAGATCGTTTATGTAGATCAGGAATAACAGCGGCCCGAGTACACTCCCTTGCGGAATTCCACTCAGCACTGATGACCATTCTGACCGTTGACCCTTCACTACTACACGCTGTCTCCTTCCAACTAAGAATGCTTTGATCCATCCCAGTATCTCAACCTGGATGCCAAAGGCTTCAACTTTCTGCAGCAATCGATAATGGGGTATAATCAAAAGCTTTCATAAGCCCATAAAGTCCATGCAAATTACATCAACGTTACCTCCCTCTTCTAAGATATGTGTCCAGTCGTTGAGTACGAGAATTTACCATCTAAAGTGACAGAGAGAAAAAGAGGCACTCATCCCCTCCCCCATCAATATGCCAAAAAAGACAAAAACGGAAAGAGGACAACGTGAACATAAAACGAAACGATCCTCCCCCACATCCTTCCTTGACTCAAAAAGAATTGTTTTTCTAGATCGCATTCACAATGTTTTGCACCTTGTTTAAGATTGCTGCCCCCCTTCCCCCACACCATCGTGCCTCTAAATGGAAGTGAAAAGCACAGGATACATGCTGTATATTTGATAAAAGAGTTAAAGGTGGAAATTCGCACCTATCTCAATATGAAATGTAATCAAAAGAAATTCGATACAAACGAAGTTACAAAAGTTACAAAAATGTTTTCATTATTTTAGTTAGTGATTATGTCACATTAGTTTCATGTTTTGTACTATGTATGATATGTTACAACTGCATGAATTCTGTATTTAAACACTGTTGTAAATAGCTGTTATTTTATGATATGAACAAATAAAGTCCCTCGAAAGAGGATATAAATAGAAGGAAAAAAATCGTGCCTCTAAATAACCGGCATCATGCTACGCCACTAATCACATCTCTGTCTTCTCTGGCTTTCCAACGATGAAGGTGTAGATGTCATCTTCGTGACCGTCCCACCCACGGAAGATCGAGCCGACCTCAGCGTCCGGTCCATGGAAGCAGGCAAGGAAGCCGGCGTCAAACATGTCGTCGTCATCAGTCTTCCACCAGTAGATCTCGATATCTTGTTTGGTCGACAATGCAAGGTAGGCACAAAAAGCATCACTAACGATTACGAATGGGAAAGTTAACCTATACTCCCCTTTCCCGGCACTTAAGAAAGTATTCCAAATGTCTTAATCATCAGATTTCGCTTTAATTTTTTTAAAACATGAAAATGATTGCCCTACCCTAAAAAGAAAGACTCTGAAAAGAACGGAGTATAATTATATACAATCATGTGTATGAATATAAATAATTAACAAGTTCTAGTAGTCTTTCCTTTTTTTCCGGCGCTGCTTGGGCTTATTGCCGCTATTTCTCTTATTTCCAATTTATTCATTTTTTAGAAACTTGGCCTCAGCGGTTAATTTGAAGAATGAGACCTAAGTATTTGCTTGTCTCTTCAAGTTGAGGACATCACGCAACTGATTCCTTCCTTTCCCCTCTTGAAACCTTGCATGCAGGCTATTGAAATAGGAACGAAATCTCTCGGCATCCCGTACACAATCCTGCGACTGCCGATGTTCGTCGACAACCTATTCATGGCGAGAGACGGAATCGTTGGTCAGTCTAAGATCTACGCTGCGATTGAATCAGATAAACCCTACTGCCCTGTCCTGGTCAGTGATATCGGTGATGCTGCTGCGACGATCATGGCGACGTATGAGAAACACGCAAGTATGTCGTGTCTGTTTTTATCATTAATGGGTCTTCTATCGGGATATGATTGTACATGACTATTTGAAAAGGCCTTATGAAAGGAAAAGCGTGAGTTCAAGTGTATGTGGTTCGTTGGAATTATGTGCAGAAAAACAATAGACTCTGCCATCAAACAATAAATATTGAAATGTCCCCTAGATGATACGCTGATTAAAAACATTTTAAAGTAATGTTTACTGCTTATATGAAGTTAAAGTTTTAAGATGATTTTGGCCTCGCAGATTATACTTCACTTGTGAACATATTATATTCCGTGGTCTCTTCTCTTGCATGAATTACTGTATTCCTTTTCAACTCTTTTCTACATTATCTCTCTCTCTCTCTCTCTCTCCCTCTCTTTCATTCTCTCTCCTCTCATTTCCCCCTAGATATGACTTACACCATAACAAGCACCCGGTTCACATTCAGAGAGCTCGCCAAACTCTTCAGTGAGGCGTTGGGTCGGGAGATCGTGCACGAACACGTACCGTACGAGGCAGGCAAGCAAGCATTTATGGGGGTTGGAATGGCCGAGTGGCAAGCTGACGGCGCCATGGAGCTGTACCGACTCGTCAACGAAGGGTCGCCGCTTGCCGACATCGCTGACATGGGAGATTTTAAGATGATCACGGGCAAAGAACCAACGGATATCAAGACTTGGGTCGACAACGTCAAAGATGCCTTCAAATAGACTGGATAAAGTTGCCAAATAAAATCAGATAGAGAGGAAATATGACATTACCATTTAAATAGAATACCCATGACAATTTCTTTGGGCAGATGTTTCTGCATGTATTGAAAAATCAAATACAAAATATCCAAACAATTACTTTATAACATAATTGGAAGTTGGAAGTTGGAAGTTGGAAGAAAGAAAAGAAAAGAAAAAGAAAATTGCAAGTGTGTGCTTGTGGGTGTGTGCATGTGAAGCAAGTGTTCTTTTCGTTTTGTTCATGAAGTGGTCATCTTTAATTAATGAATATTTAAAAAAAAGCGATTGAATTGTTAAGACCAATATTTTTTTGTTATTAATTTTCGGATATGAAATATTTTTAATATTATTAGGAGGTAGAACCTCATTGTAAATAAGCTAATAATTAGCTTTTATGTGTGATCCTGTCAATATTAATGATATAATCTCTCTGTTGTATATTTTATGATGTAAATTCATGTAGCCTAAGCCTACAGGTTTACTTGAATATTGAAATCAATCAATATAATAAAGAGTCTGCTGCGAATTGCTGTCACTTTTCTGCTAAAAGTGGATCTTGGCTGTAACCTGGAAATATTTTTCTGATATTTTAATAAAAGTTTTTCATTCCATTAAAATCATAATCACTTCAAGAACAAAAATGCATGTGATAATAATATTGTCATCTTTGATCTTAAGTTTGAAAGGGGATGTGTAGAAGTCCGAGATAATTTCTCTTGTAGCCCATAATATGTTTGGCTTTATATCCACACCTAATTTAAGTTGAGAAGAGGTATTTTTTTGAAAAGGCGAACAACATGAATTGATCAAGGAAAGGAGCAATAATTATTGGTACATCACTTTTTAATTCTGGTAAAGTATTTGATTTGCATGGGAAGAGAACGGGGTTCACCTATAACCATGGGCGAAAGTTTTGGGATAGATCGTGCTTTAATAAAAGAAAACTCAAAATATCAATTCTGTAAAATATCAATTCAGCAACTGGGCCAGATACATGTTTTTCTCATGAGTTTGTAGATACGCTGCAAGATTTATATATGTCACAACTAGTAACTGAACCAACTAGAATGAGAGAAGGACAAACATCGAATGTTTTGGATCTTATTATTACTGACCAAGAAGACATGATTGAATTATTGTTTACCTCTTCTCCAATAGGCAAGATCGACTATCTAGTACTTGAATTCAAAGTATTGGTGTCGAACATGTCTTGTAATACCACCAACCTGGAACACTATGCACTGTTCAAGGGAGACTTTGAAGGAATGAGGAAATTTGTCTATGAAAACGAGGTGTTTGATATACATGTGACCCATACAGATGATGTGCTAAACTGTACTTGCAATGCTATTGTGGAACGGATCAATGAAGTAACAAATACTTTTGTGCCTAAATTCAAATCGAGAGCAAAGGATAGACCATTATGGATGAATGCTGCTGTTAAAAAAGTAATTTGTGACAAACATAAAGCCTGGGATCGTTTCCAGAAAACAAGAAGCCAACAAGACAGAGATAAGTTCAAGAAGATTAGGAACGAGGTCACCAGAATAGTTACTGATGCAAAGAAATCTTTTGAAAAGAAACTAACTTCAGATCTGAAAAACAATGCAAAATGATTTTGGAAATATGTGAAAAGTAAAACAAAGACAAAAATCTCCAATCGGGTCACTGGAGAAACCTGATGGTGGCTATGCAGAAACAGACACTGAAAAAAGCTAATACCTTGAACAATTTTTTTGTCTCTGTATTTACGAGAGAAGATTTAGCCAATATTCCTAGCCGTGATCCGAGAAGAAATGTTACAATGAATTATGTTGTATTTATGTTTGTTTATCAAATGACAAAAAAGCGTTGTTAAAATTATGTTACACTTTTGTATAAACTATGTTATGTACGAAAAAGAATTGGAGCTTTGAGAAATAAAGTGGATACAAAAAAAAATGTTGCCCTTAATCTGTCAACACTAAAAGTGAAGGGGTATATAATTAATGGAATACTTTTGGGTAGTGGCTAGCTTTAGCATAGCAGCACGCAGCCTACGACCGAAAGGCGAAATGCATGGGGACAAAAGGGTAACATGTGAGAGAATGAGGGAATGAGAAAGAGGGAGAGAGAGAAAGAGTATGGATAAATAGAGAGAGAAAGGGCACATTGGATTGGATACAGAGAGAGAGAGAGAAAGAGAGAGGAGATTATGTGTTTGTGTGTGTGAGAAAGTTGGAATGGATAGAAAGAGGGGGTAAAGAGAAAAAGGGGAGAGGGGACGTGTGTGTGTGAGAGAAAAAGAGAGAGTTTGGAATGGATAGAGAGGGGTTGGATAAAAAGAGAGGGGTGGGGGCATCCCGAAAAAGAGATGATGCGATCCCTCCTTATAGACACTTCCCTCTTTCTCTCTCTCATTCTCTTGCATTCTTGCACCTATAGAAAGACTCAGGCGCGTACGCAGGATTTTTCGAGGGGGGGGGGGCTTAAAATTTGAAGATCACGCCGAAAACTTCCCTCTTTCTCTCTCTCATTCTCTTGCATTCTTGCACCTATAGAAAGACTCAGGCGCGTACGCAGGATTTTTCGAGGGGGGGGGGGGCTTAAAATTTGAAGATCACGCCGAAAACTTCCCTCTTTCTCTCTCTCATTCTCTTGCATTCTTGCACCTATAGAAAGACCCAGGCGCGTACGCAGGATTTTTCGAGGGGGGGGGGGGGGGCTTAAAATTTGAAGATCACGCCGAAAATTTCGCAACGACTCAGCCGGCCGCTGAATAAGCGGGGGGGGGGGGGGGGGGGTGGGTAAGAGGACATAGATATATATTTTTTTGTCCCAAAAATTTCGTAACGACTCAGCCAACCGCTGAATAAGCGGGGGGGGGGGGGGGAGCTTTTTGGGTCACCCATTACCACTTTTTTTTTTTTTTTTTTTTTAATTATTTTTTTTAAATTAAAAAACAAACAAAGGGGGGGGGGGGGGGGGTTTAGGCAATAAATAGCCCTATATACCAACTCCGTATAGGAGACGTACAATTTAATTATGCACTGACCTGTTTGTTGTTACGATTTATTATTATATTTTATTTCGATAATTGACAATACATTTTGAAAAGTCACCTGTCACACTATACTGTATGGCTAGCAATAGCAGCCGTAGTTCATTAATCGACACGCTCCAGACGATCGTTGCTGTACTTTGTAAGCACAAACAAATCTTTCGATTCGCTCTATGCAGCCTCCAGGGACCAGAAAGACACACCCACGCTCAGGCATGGCAGTCAAAATATCATTCAACTTTCTATTCCTAAAGCTTTAAGTATTCTGTAGCCCACCTGAACCAGAGCTCTAACCAAATTGTCTGACGAGAAAACAACGTTGCTGTATGCTCGTATAATATTTGTCATTCAAAATAATCTAGGATCAATTTAACAATTCGCTTGAGATGCGATAGACCTGGATGATGGAGAATTCCGCGACATCGAAGACGACAGGGGAGAAATCGTCGGTATAGCGTACGCAGGATTTTTTCAAGGGGGGGGGGGGGTCTCAAAAATCGCAACGACTCAGTCAGCCGCTGAATAAGCGGGGGGGGGGGGGGGGGTAAGAGGACACTTTTTTTTTTTGGTCCCAAAAATAATCGCAATGGAAATTGTATAGAGAAGGTAGGAAAAGAAACAGGAATACAAAGAACAACTAAAGATAAATATAGAGAGTAGGGATATAAATGCGAGGGAGGAAGCAGGGAGAAAGAGAGTGAGAGAGAGAGAGAGAGAGAGAGAGAGAGAGAAAGAGAGGGAGAGAGCGAGAGATATCAAAAGAGAGGGGGGGGGGCAGAGAAGAATAGGAGATACAAAAAACAACAACAGAAAATTACTGTAATTTGATCTCATTGTGGTATTCACTTACCTGGCAAGGGACTTACATCAACATCATAATTATCTCTTTCATGTAGATATAAAATTGAATCATTGTAAGTTAATGTATCATATTCAGTCTTAATGACATCCAAAGGGATTTAAATCAACATCATAATTATCTCTTTCATCTAGATATCACATTGAATCATTCCAAGTAAGTGTATCATATTACACCGGGGGGGGGGGGGGGGGGTTTGATTTAAAGATTGTTACCGTAATGGCAACATAATGTTATACAGTTGCAATTCAACATAAGCAATGACCACATGACATCATTTCCCATTTAATTTTTTTAAAAATTTTTAATATTTCCTTTATGACCTTTTGAAAAGTATTCAATCAGGATCAACTTAATTTCTGATAATCATGAGAAGTAAACATACTACATGTTTCATGATATAGCCAAACAATGAATAGAACACAACAGATTTTGCACCAAATGGAACAAACAATCTGAATTTTGGATCTGCTGAACAGATTTACAGAGTGAATAGAAGTAAAATGTTAATGAATTATATAAATGACATAAGTCAGCCCAAATAAAATATGAGAAAATGAAGTAATGAAATATCAAGGAGTACATAGAGTATTTTCAAACTGAATCAAACAGTTTCAGTTGAACTCAAGAATTTAATCATTACTAAATAATCACTTTACTGATCTATCATGACAGTGCTACAAATCAACTGCTTGTTGAGTTCATAAACTACACATTGGATGGGCAGCCAATTAGCAGTAAAGAAATAAAATACCACCGCCTTGATTTCAATTTCTCTCTCAATGCTCAAATGAAAGCAAAGTAATCAATAAAAACCTCTAATTATTTACACAAAAATAATCATACCCGCTAAAAATGAGCTTTCATAAGAAGACCGATAGTCTGAATGAATAAATAATATGTTAAGAAATGTAATTTTAATGAATATATACATTAGCTGGTACATGAAAATGTCATAACTTTTTTAATGTTGCCTAAATCCAAAGCTCCTAATGTGGCGAACAAAAACTTTCAAAGCGATAATAAAGATGCACTTCAGCTTGGAGTCTGGAGATAGACAGTATCATTTGGAGAAAATAAATGTCACTTGACGTTTGTTAACATGACTCTCTTGCAGATCATAATATTAGGATTGATACTGCTCCATATAGCGCCCCCCGCCCCCGAACATGCCCCCAACAGGTCCAAATAGGCAAAAACTGTACCATTTACATGTACACAATAGATTGCATATATACATTAATACTTTGCAAAGTTTATTTGAATGGCAAAATATCTTCAGCAAACATTAAACATTGTGACAAAATACTGTGATAGGTCCTAAATTGCAACACAAAGACAGAAGTTTGAAGGAAAAATCATACATTCCTTGATCTTATACAGCTACGAGCTGAATAAATTTACTATTGCATTTGTTTTATTCTGGATGGAATGTTAATATTTGGGAGTGAACGTATGCAACTAATTGTTTTCTTGCTTTTCTAAATTTACGAGTTTTTTGGGTCCAATGAGTGAGAGCTGTTCAAAAAATAAAAACTTTGAAAATGCTGATTGAAGTGTTTAATTAATATTTACACAACCTTAAAGCAAATGATTTGTGTTCTCAATGATATAAGCTTTCCTTACATGTATAATTTGCCCAATTTGTGAAATTTCTTTGCACAGCTACTTTAAGACTATTCCTCATATGTCTGGTACACAGAAGAATACATGTACATATCAACATTATAATATCTAAATATTATATACCCCATTCAGAGTAAACAAAATTAACATTGCCATGCAAGCTTGCAAGAAATAGTATTTATAACTTTCAATTATCAAAGAGCATGCAATTAGTTTGATGGATAATCATATATAAGGCAGTTGTCTGTACAGAGATAACATTCAATACTCAACATTAACATGCAATTGCATCAGTTATGCAAATATACCTCATATGATACATCACATAGATATACAGAGACCCTGGAAATATACACAGAAAATAATTCATATCTGCTGGAAGCCATGAGAATGTACCACTAACAGGTGTACGGACAGCGAACTTGACATGCGAGTTGAATGAAAATAAATTAAAGCACAGAAGAAAAAAAATGCCTTAAAGCCCCACTGTACTAGTTTGCCCTGCATGGTCACTGACAGGTGGTTATCTCATCAAATCAGCTCTCAATTAACATAAGAAAAAGAGGATCATGGGGGACCAATGGTCACCGATTAGGCATTGTTTGCTATATAGAGGGCGCAAGTAGCTAAAGTAGTGCAGTGGGGCTTTGAGAGGCAGGGGGCCAGAGAGTGAAATGACCCCAAAAAAGGTTTTCAATTTCATCTTTAAAATAAGACTAAGTAAATTGATTCCAAGTTTCTTGTCTGGATCCGTTCAGAATGAGGGGAAGGGAGTTCAGTGCTATCTGATATTTAATATTTTTACTGTACATAAAAATGCAATGAGATTACATGTTGTAGGTCCTATTTCGACCACAGATAAGTAGCTATAAATGTAGGCCAATCTCAAAACAAGTTCCTTCATAAAATTTTAATTTTCCATGCAGTTTGAAAGCAAGTCATAATCATTGACACTTGCACTAGTTTTTGTATGGTCTAGATATCTAATAATTGTTATTCATTAAATAAAATGCCAAAACAATATTGTTTTATATAACTGGACCAAGAACAACAATGGAAAATTAAGATAAAAAGGATGGTAGCAACAAGAAACTAGGAATCGTTTATACTAAGCATAAAGTCTATTACTTGTAAGCAGTCTCATCAAAAACAAGGAAAAGAAAAAAGAAATATGTACACAGATGTGATGAGAATGAGGATGATGATGATGAGGATGATGAGGATGATGATGATGATGATGACAATGGTTGGTTAACTGAGTTTTCCTAACTCTGCTTTCTTGAAGACTTCAGCTGCTGTGAAGATCATTGAATCAAAGATTCCTGCAACAGTGAATGTTCCTCCTACAATAGCACATACCTGAAATAAAAACATATTCAAATGAAGAATGAGTTCCAGTAGAAATGATAAATAATTTGTGAGCTTTCTAAATCTTTACCATGGCTGTCTGGAAGAAACATCATGGTAGCAATAAGAAAAATAGTTTCAAAAATTGGGACCAAATTTTGATGCTGCAAGTTCTTTGGAAAATATCATCATTCATGCCACTAAGTAGAACATGTTGATACATATACATGGAACTCAATGGCTTAGAGGTAATGCAATTAAATTAATATAATATCATCAAATATCCTACAAAAGCTAGACCTACATGGGAAGGTATAAAACTGCAATATCAATTCCACACAATACAACACTGAAATGATCATTCTCACTGAATAATTAAATGCTTCCAACTTATTTTCCTTCAATATTGGAATAAACATGCATTCTAACATCATTGCATGAAATCATATAAACTTTCATTCCTTCATGTTTTTTTAAAACCAGCTAATGTCAACTTTGTGTACAATGCCATTTTGAATCTCATTCAATCCAAACTGACTAATTACAATACTGTACAGTACATGATACAGTCAAAATTGTTTTAGCGACCACCTGTATATAATGACCACCTGTCTACAAAGACCACATTTTTATTGTTTCCCTTGAAAATAGTTTCTCATTGAAACATGTACTAAAGGAACCTGTACATAAAGACCACCTGCCTATAAAGACCACTTTTCTTGTCTCCCTTGTGTGGTCTTTATAGACAGGTTTCACACTGATATGAGAGAGAGAGAGTAGATGCTTACTGTGGTGATGAAGGTGTAGAATGGAGCTCTCTTTTCATGATACTTGACTGTGATAGGACTGATGTCATATCTAAACCAGATCGCTGGTAAGACTCGCCTTCCATGACCTTGAGATCCATAGTCCTACAAATGATAAGATATGATGCAAGTATTAAAGATGAGAGTAATAGAGTGGTGAAGTGTGACGTCATCAAAAAGATTGCCTATAGGAACTCAGTGTTATGTGCTCTGGCTTCTAACGATTAGGAGCCAGAGCATTTAACACTGAGTTCCTATAGGAAATATATTCATTCAGATGGTCATATCTCAGCCAATACTTAACATATTCAATTGGTTTTCGACATTTGCACATTATTTTTGAAAATGAAGAAAAAATTGAGAAATTCTAAAAAATAGATTTTTATGACGACACAGCTTCGGTACTCTATAAGAAATGCGATTTTGTCATCTAGTGTATGATGATGATGTCAGTATTGGGAAGAAAGTATATTACATGTGACTCAACTTTGATTTGCTAAGAGCACTGATTCAATCATACAGTTAGCTCTGCATCAGTTGAATTTGGTTGGACCACAAACAAAAAGTTCCCCTTTAATATGCAAAATTCGACTTCAGAAGTGTAAATTACAGATTTTGCATAGTTTGGTCCCCAAAATTGATTTGGTTGAGGAAAATGTGACATGTGCAACTTCAGATATGCCACATCAATTGCTATTTGTATTGTTCACTGAATAGAATAAATATTCACCCATTAAAGGGCACACTGTAATTTTCGTTAGAACTTCAAACAGCAAAAGCTAAATAATAGTTTTGAATCTATGACATCTTGGGCTTATCTTATAAAAGAGTTGTGGTAGGTTACAAATAATTTGTAATTGATTTCAATCGCATCTCATGTCTGACGTGATAGTACAGAGTTGCGATTGATATCAATCACAAAATATTTGTAACCAATCGCAACTCTTTCACAAGACGATGCTCTGGGATCCGTCTAACAAAGAGTTGCGATTGATCCAAATCAATCACAAGTTTGCAGTCTCCTATCTCTTATGTACATAGTTGCAATTGATATCAACTCTTTGTAAGATGTGGCCATGGCTTCTCTGGGATGTCTTTCATGAATCAAATCATTGCTAAACAGTGTAAATTGATGTGTATACTAACCTTGTAAGCATAGGTATACTGGTAGGAGACGTTCTTGGTACCCCAGAGATCCTCATAGACGGTAGGTACAATCTTCATGTAGTAATCATGAGATAAATCACCTGTAAACAAAATCAAGTCAAGACATGGTTAAAGAGAAAAATTGTTTTTAATTGCTGATTCCCCTCATCCTTTAAAATATGTGGAACACTAAACATGAAAGCAGAAAATGGAGTTGTGAACTCTGAAACATGTTCTATTCATTCAAGTTTCATCATGTATGTTTTTGTTATTTTCATTATGTCCTTTTGGAAGTTACATGTATGTTTGTAGTATAAATGTAGCTATTAAAATCTTTACTCTCCTCCACTGACTTGCATATAACTTTGTGTTAAATATCTATCATGAAATTATGGAAGTACTAATTTACCATGATTCATCAACATGTAAATACGAAATATGACAGATTTGTCTTAATGCAATCTGAGGTATACCGGTATACCTAAATATGCTAAGTTCTATAAAATACTTTCACCAGTAGCTTGATTTGTAAATATGAAGTTAATGCTTAATATTTTGAAAAATGATATAATTACATTACAAGATCATTTAAGCAAATGATTAATACTAATAAAATGCCCTAACTAGTCCAATAACATAAAGCATACATCTGAGACAAAAATGATAAAAGCATTAATCAATTTAAGATAACACCTACTTGACATGCTAAATTATCAATTATAAAGAGATAGAAAACTAGAAATAAATAAATCTACTTACTTTTACTATCTCTCTTATCTCTCCCTTCCAGAGGGTTGAAGGATGCACCCAGAGTCTTGTTCTAAATAAAAAAAGAGATTAAATAGTAAAAAATAATGCTTTTTATCAAAGAATGGTTGAGATTCATGAAAATGTCATCGTCATCATCATCATTTATTTAGTTTCCATCTCTCCTATACTGTGGGGTCAAATGTTTATTTCCTTAATGGCATCCTGGGTAAGGCTGGAAGCTCTCATACCATTTTCTTATCTCTTCTTCCAAGCTTTGCGAAGTCTACTACAAGATTTTGAGACAGCCAATGGCTTTCCTCTCTCCTTACCACATGTCAATAACATCTATCCTTCTCTCCTATGAGACTATTGGTGGTGGTAAATCAAGTCTTTATTAGAGATCATGAACACACAAAAAAACAGGCCCATCAACCCAATGGGTTGGGCGGCAGGTTATAATGAACAATATATACAATAGCAAAGTACATTAACAATAACAATACAAGTTACAGTGCAATAATACATGTGATAACAAGGAGCACCGGGATAGAGAGAAAGGGAAAAGGAAGATGTGAAAAGGAGAAAAGGAGAAAAGGAGAGGAAAACAGAAGTGGTATAGTACAGGACAGGGTAAAAGAAGAAGATTGTAACATTACGATGAGGAAGGAAAAATCCCCATACATGATACATAAATGAAAAGTGTATAAGGCCAAATAAAAAAAAAAAAACATGTTTAGCGTCCTGTTTTTTCAAAAGATAGGAAGAAGGAGGCCCTTGTTTTTTTGTTTTCTTTCAAAATGAGACTATTGTCAGTCATACAAACATGAAAGCTCCATGTCATGAAATAAATGAATCACAAAAATAGAACCGTGAATCACAAGCTATTGATAAGTTTACAAAGGTGTCATAAAGCAAATTAAAGTCATTTATCTACCATTGTGGGATGGAACACCCTTATCAGCACAAGTGCTGTGTTTCATAATGCTGTTTTCCACTAGTACAGTACATAGGATAGTAATTATCATCATCGAGTATATGGCACTGGGTCTTAAAGCCAATCTGCACTGGTTTGGCTAGGACGGATTAGACCTCACTGCATGGTCACTGACAGGTGGTTATCTCATCAAATCAGCTCTCAATTAACATTAAGAAAAAGGGGACCATGGGGGAACAACGGGTACCGCTTAGGCATTATTTGCTATATAGAGGGCGCAAGTAGCTTTAATTAGTACAGTGGGGCTTTAAATCAAGAGAATGTACTAACCTGGATGTCATCTCCGAATGATACTTCATGTATGATATGAGCAAAGTCAGTAGACTGAGGTTGGTTCATCCCGACAGCATGAGTAGAGACATGGAAATTACCAGGCACCTGAAAGACAGACATGGATAGGTTACAGACCATGACATACTGGGAGAGGAAGTTGAGATGCAGGCATGGTCAAAGGTTCAATCATGGCAGCTCAAAAGTTTCCTCCACTAAATTCATCATAGAGATACTACGCATACATCAAACACTTAAAAAAACATTTACTCTGGAAATTATATTTATAAACTCTTTTACAAATTTACAATATTACATCTGTGACAGGATTGTGAGGTCTTCAAGAAAAAATGTCTTTCCAAAAACCATTTCCATCTATATTTCCTTGCAGATCCAGTAGAAAGGTGCAAATGAATGTATGGACAGTGCATGAATAGGTGAGATTTTGGTTTTCTTCCGACTACATCTACACCCAACTACCAACAAATGTAAGCTTTTACTATCATTCAATGATGCATTAGTTAAAGACAAAATCAAAAGGTTATTGATGTTTTCTCTTGCAAAAAGTAAGAACGACAAAGAAAGTGAAATCAAGATCTGAAGCTTCATACTTAATACTTACTTTGTTAATTGTAAAAGCACTATAGAAAAGACATCCTAGACCATTGTTGAGGGGTATTTTCTTTGTGTTGTCTACGTATCCTACTTCATGCCGTCCCATGTCATCCTGTATATCTAACCCAACAACTGAATAAAACAAAACAAAACAAAAACACAAAGGAGAATGCATTAATGATCAAGATAATCTAAGAAAATGATACTTCATCTGATTGTGTGGCCCTGTAGCATTTAAAAAGAATGAAAATACAGTAATATCTATTTTGAGCCAGAAGGGTGTTAACTCGTATACTTTAACTCAAAGTTCAAGCCTTTCTGCCTCTCAACAGATTATATTACAGTTATCAAAGAATGCATGAGCTAGTACCCAAACTAGCATAATAACATCAAATCCAGGTTTAAACTGGACCAAATAGGGTAGAATTAGTATATTGATGTTTACAGATGCATGATAAACTTCTCAATCTATTCATGCCATAAAAAACCTACCGTAATTCTGTAACTGAATGATACAAAAAATCATGTAACCATAAAATTTATTTTCTTTTCATGCCTCACTTATTTTGTTTATTCCTTACTTTTTAATACATTTGTAAAGGTAATTGTGTATGAAATGGAGAGGTTCACATTTGGCATTCCATAAATCAGAGGACCTTGTCACACCAGATTAACTTTGTCAGCGCTCATAAATATAGCCATATGGTTCAGATTGATGAAATAAGGTGATACCTGTAAAATCTAGTTATAATAATATGCATTCTGAAATGAGGGGTATCGAATCATGCACATAAAACTCAATGCAAAACTAGACAGGCAGGACAGCATATGTTTACATAGGGGCAAACAAATCTAATGATCAAAACATCATAAGAAAATTATATCACATAATATATAACAACTTTCTTATCAAAAATGGGATTATGAATTAACTGGAAGTCTATTTGTTTCAATCCAGTATACCCGGCAGTAAGAATATTAAACATTTATCTCAAGATGCTTCCAGGAGAATACCAACCTGATATTAAGTCGGATTTAATAAAAGCATGATAATGAATACCGGTTAATCAGATCGGTGAAAGTTTGATGAAAGTTGTAACTGATCAAACACAAGGTGGCAACTTTGTGATTTACCTATGCAGCATCTCGCTCATTTTTTTGGTTTTATTTCATAAAGGCATTGTGTACAAATAAATTATTTGAAAAAATTATATTTTGGGTGTAATGGAGGCAGATTGTTTTCTGACAACAGAAAATGATATTTTGACTGATTGGTAACTTTCTTTATTTAATAGGATCTTCCTCAAATTTTCACAGAACTGTTTCTCTCATTCTGGGTGGACTGAATTCTATACCGGTACTCACCTCCACAATGGAGCTTGGGTAATGAAAGATTAACTCTGACCGTCAACCTTTCAATCTCACCAGGATTATCCACATACAGCTCACTAACTCTGTATAAATACAATCAATAACGACAAGCTTCATATACAGTGTAAGGGCCTTTTCCTATTTTTGGCTTCTACTACTCCAGCATACAAGTATCTATCTATTGTTGGTATTTTATGTTATTTTTCTTAATGTATCTTCTATTATATTATATTATGATTCCAGTGAAATAAAATAAATGAATGAATGAACAAAAAAAGCCTTGAAAGAACAACAGCAACCACAATCAAATTCATATGGGGCCTTTTTTAAAGGATACTTTCAAATATATCTTGTGGTCTACAGATACAGACTGTATATCACAAGCTATGGGGTTCAATTGAATGCCAAAACACTTATTTTCATATTTTTGGCTGCTTCCTACTCCAGCATACAAGTATCTATCTGTTGTTGGTATTTCATGTTATTTTTCTTAATGTATCTTCTATTATATTATATTATGCTTTCAGTGAAATAAAATAAATGAATGAATGAAAAAAAAGACTTGAAAGAACAACAATAAACACAATTAAATTCATATGGGGCCTGTTCTAAAGGATATTTTCTATTGTATCTTGTGGTCTACAGATACAGACTGTATATCACAAGCTATGAGGTACAATTTTATGCCAATACGCTTATCTCTATCGAAAATACATTTTATCAACATTTGCCACTTCCAATTCATTTACTCTAATGCCCATAATCTCTGATTATGTTCAGCCTTTAATCTCTACTCTACCATGCCTGGTAATACACAATTGAAAGAATTAAAAACAAAAGAGATTTGGAGGAATAAAACGGGTTATTTAAGAAGTATACTCACACTTCTGGTCTGATGAAGGACATAAACTCTGATAGTAGTAAGAATGTGATAAACAGCATACTCAGTAGAGAAACTGTAAGAGATATGATATGAAATAAATCAATAATATTGTTCATATTTCAACAAATTAATCCAAGCATTACATACCAGTAGTGCAAATTATCTTAATCTGCAACACAATCATCAAGCATATCTCAATATTTGTTTCAGGCCTTAAAAATGAAATTCCAGATATATATATGCGCTATAGAAATATAATTTATTATTACTATTATTATTATGTATGTAATGTACAGAAATACATCCAACGTTTGAGAAATGTAATGACAATAATCATCAACTATTTTCCATATCGATATGTGATTTCAGATGCATTTTTCTACTATTCTTAGTCTCTAGCCTCAAGCAATGTTAGACCATGAACCTATTAGTTTCATGGTAGAAGCATGCGAAGGACCAGAAAGAGGAGAAAAAGAAAGAAAGAATGAGAATGAGAACTAGAAGTTGGATCGGAAGGACAATGAGGAAAAAGAGAAGGAACAGGAGAAATAGAAGTATGAGAAGAGAAAGAGAAAGAAAAGATGTAATTAGAAGTAGAACAAGAAGGACATGGAATAGGAGAAGGAGAAGGAGGAGGAGGGGAAGGGGGAGGGGAGGAGGAGGAGGAGGAGGAGGAGGAGGAGGAGGAGGAGGGAAGGAGGAGGGGAAGGAGGAGGAGGAGGAGGAGGAGAAGAGGGAGGTCATTTCATTATGAATAGAAATTTATGGATCATTGTCCGGAGACGCAGAAGGGAGTATAATGACAGATCTTATGTCTTACCACATGCTCCTGCATAGGTTGGTTGTGTGAGATCCTTAGGGATCTTCCTGTAGACGTCCAATCTGTGAAAGGGAGGAAAGAAGAAACATTGATTTACACTTGACAAAATCCCACTTTCCAAAATGATGAATCTTAAAACGGCAGTCATTAACAATTCATGAAAGTTTCTGGTTTCAAAATAATGAGAATTGCTGTAGCGGTTCGTATCTCACTTCTGATTACAAAGCAAATTTACTTAACTTGCTACATCTACAATGTACAACCCTCAAACACGCTAATACAAACTTTAATTAATACGCAGCTTATCGATAGAATCCAACACTGTTTAAACTTGCCAGACACAGGCCTCAAATTTACAGTATTTCTCAAAAATAAATACAGTTACATGCAAGTCATACCTCTTAAATCCCATGTTTCTATACCCAGATCCAAGGATAGAATACTACACTATGAAACAAGAGCTTTGTCAACACACTACACAATGATAATGGTCTCTTCTGTACAAGCAGTACTTGAGAAAATATGCATGTACACCACGTGGCAAAGAACAAAAAAAAAATCAATGCCCTCAATCCAGGACAGCCTTAAAGGGACAAATCAACCCAAGAGCAAATTCAGAGCAATATTTCCATATGATATCTATCCTCTATCAATTGATTAATGTAAAAATGAAAAATATGATATAGTGATACCAGTGAGAACCCATTAGTCAATGGTCATAGAAAGATATTTTTGAAATAAGTGGATAAAAATCAAAAGATAAATGATGTATGGGACACATTGCAAGGAAATTTGATCTTGTAATTCATTATTCTATTTGTTATTATTTTACTGAATGCATGTTATCTTGTTATACAGAAAAAAAAGAAGAGAACGATACTTTGATCAAGGGATGAAATGAGTCATAAGTATTGTGACACGTTTTGCATGAAAATTAAATAGAAAAATCCATTAATGAATTTGGCAATGAGTACTACTGGGTGCAAGGCAATTCACAAATAAAGAATTAAAAAATATTGTCATGATATTTCATTCTGGAATGCTAAGTAGGCTTAACAATAATGCTCTGGAACTTGAAGGTTATACATTTGAAAACATTGCATTTTAAATTTTCCAGTATTTGAATATAATAACTGAGGCACTTGATTGTTTATGAGGAAATAAAAACAAAGCATTTAATAGAAAAATCTTAAGGATGCTGTCATTAGATGGAAAATATGAGAAATCCTTCATATACCAACAGTGACATGTTGTACATGTAGGCTTATGTGTAAGGCTATTGTAACAAAAGAATACTAATTTGAGGAGTATGATTAAGGGAGAATTAAAAAAAAAAAAAAAAAAATCTTGTTTGGATAAACTAAAATTGTAACTACAATAAGCGCAATTACAAAGACATACAATAAAGAGATACATCAAGACCACTCGATGCCACTGATTTACAATTTTTGTCCTACCCTCACCCAATCTACATAGCTGCTTGTAGTCAAACAAGAACAAAAGAAATACTACCATGTGGCATATAGGCTGCATAAAAATGTAAATCATATTATGTTGATGAATTTTTGAAGGCTGACTGGGAATCATGATTTATCTATCAACCAAAGTGGATACCATCTGTTGCACACCCAAACGCTTCTCAATTGAAAGGGAAATATCACTCATATATATGCAAATTCAGTATTGAGCCACAATTCTTTTTTTTGTATGATAAAATCTACCATACCAGCTCAGTCGACTATCTGGTCATTTATCCACCTCATTCATAATGGAAGAACAGAGACAAATTAGTTAGAGTACAATGTATTAATGCAATCACTCTTTTGGAAACACTAGGCAATCTCATTGATGTACACAGAACCACACACTTTTCATTTGAAGTGTAGAATCACATTGTTTCATCTATACTACCGGTAATTGGATACAGAGCACTTAGTGTAATGACTATTTATTCTTGTGCATGATCAATACAATTGAACTTGAACTTACCATGTATAACAAACTGTGTATGACTATAATACTCTTTTCACACTGGTTTTGCTTAACCCCGTACTTTGCTTAGCCCCGTACTATCCTTAACCCCGGACTATTTTTTATGGCTTTTCACACACGATGTTTTTAGTCCCGTACTAGCGCCTATTCCAGAATAAGAAAATTCCCGCTGTTCTCACTGCATTTCGTTAACCCCGGATATCGTGAATGTTATGATTGGACATACTTCGCATCTGGCCAGCTGCGATACGCTCCATTGCGTAGTACCGGACTATTTTTCGTTTCTGTTCTCATTCATTTGCTTAGCACCGCAATTGCGGGGTTAGCAGGAGTTAGCACCACAATTGCGGAGTTAGCCCTGCTATTTTGCAGGGTAGTTAACCCCGTACTATAGGTGGGGTTAGCCAACTTTAGCCCACTTTGGTAAAAACCAGTCTGAACAGAAAGTGGAATAGGCTTAACCCCATACTATAGGTGGGGCTAAGACCCCCCCTTAACCCCACCTATAGTACGGGGTTAAACAACATATTGCCAGTGTGAAAACAGTATAAGTAGTATTTTCCAAGTGTAAATAAAAACACTGTGTAATGTGATTATATCTACAGTACTGTTTTTATACAATTTGCATTCGTTTAGGTGAGGTTTTGTTTTTATTTAGTATGTATTGGTAACTACTTTGTCGTGTTTTATTTGTTTTACTTGTTGTTGTTGTTTTTTGTGGTTGATGATGACCCCATCACATCAGGATTTGATTTCCATAAATTAGTTGAATTTGAATTTTAAATTTTTATACTGTAGTCTACTGTGAGCATGACTCTGTTTGTCTTAGAATATTATTTGCCTTAAAATACGATAACAAACAAAACTTTGGACTCCTAACATTTACACAAACACCTGTCAAAACAACAGATTAATTCCATTGTACATGTTCAGTTCAAGAGATTAGTCAATAATTTCTGATAAATTTCAATGTTCAAATAAAGATAATGTAAAGGTAATCTTTTTAGGGATAAAATTCTTATTAAATATGTGAACTAAAACTTTCATAAATAGCACTAATAATTTACCGGTAGTAATTCACTAATTTGATAGGTTTCATTCAATTCCAATTTGTCCTGTAATATAAATGATACATAAATTCCTATCTTCTATACAATTTGTTTCAATTATACATGCACCCTGAATATAATCATTGCACATATATTTGATACAATCCCTGTATGAAAAAAAAAAAAATTCTTCATCAATAATGAGGGAAATGATCAAATTTCCAGTAGCACAAATGGGAGAGAACATTAAAAGGTAATAATACTAATAGGCATTTCTATAGCGCCATCTATCTAGATAATTCTATTCCGAGGCACATTTATTATTACCCTGGCTTTAGCCTAGCAGCCGTTTATACAGCGCTCCAGCATTTCAAGGAATTAATTCCTGCCAGGTACCCATTTACATCACCTGGGTAGAGTGTGGCAAATGTAAATCAATGTCTTGCCATAGGACATTAGTGCCGCGGCGGGACTTAAACTGCTGACCTTGTGATCGACAGTCCGGTGACATATCCACTCGTCCAATTTTTTATTCATTACAACTTTCTTTTTCTCATCTAATAACATGTACATGTACCCCGGTGGGGTCACTCAATGTGACTTCCGGACCGCATGACCGTTACCAAAATCGCGGAAAAAGGGGTCAATTTCAAGCAATGTCCGCGGACAAAATATTCCTCGAAATAAAGAAAATAGGGGGGCACAGGTGTCCCCGAAATTGATAAATAGGGGTCAGGTAAAGGGAAAAGAGAAAACCGGGAAGAAAAATTCTCGGAGCCGAGTCTTTGTCCTTGAAATATGGTAAAATAGGGGTAAATTTGCGAAAGTGTCCTTACAATCTTATAAATAGGGGTATTCCAAAGTACGATTTTGTCCTTGTTTTGACGTAAAAAAGGGGGTTAAATTTCACAAAATGTCCTTGAAATTGACCGCAAAAGGGGGTTATATGCATTGGTGGTAACGGTCATACGTGTCACTCTTTGCAGGGGAGTGACCCCACCGGGACATGTACATGCTAAATCCTACGCCTAGCTGTTTCTCTGACTTTTTTGAATTTTCTCCAAATATCGGAGTTTAAACCAATATTGCGCTGTTGCATGCTCCACGCATGATCAGTATCAGGACACTTAGTCCCATATAAATGCTGTGCTTTACAGAAAATATGAGATTTCAAGCATTTTTTTTTTGGGGGGGGGGAGGGGTACAGGTATACGTAGTTTCTTGAAACCTTGCTGGTCAAAACAGCAAAGCTAGCCAGGGACTTAAAGCTTATCTGCTGTAGTTTACAGGAGGGATTAGACCGCTCTGCAAGGTCACTGGACAGGTGGTTATCTCATCAACTCAACTCTCAGTTAACATAAGAAAAAGAGGATCATGGGGGACCAATGGTCACCGATTAGGCATTGTTTGTTATATAGAGGGCGCAAGTAGCTACCAGTAGTGCAGTGAGCCTTTAAACAGTTCAGAATTAATTTATTAAACCATGTCTCTCTCTCAAAATACAATTTACAGTCTACAACGTAAAGTCAGCTATTAATATTCCTTTTTTTAGTGTGAGTGTCTTAATCATTCCTCCATGTCAATGTCAACAGGTCGTAAAGGCCTCCATGCATGCTATTAAAGTGCATTTGATGGAACATTCAATTCAATTCAAAAATGTTTTTTTATTATAGCACAAACATGTTCATACAAGTACAATTTTACATGAAAGACAGTCATGGCTGGAATATTCATGTTTACATGTTCGACACAATAGATAACATTTTTAAAGATATATGTAAAAAATAGGACTTAGATTCTGTAACTAAAAACCATTAACACATTGCACAAGTTATCAAAAATACAACAGTTACAAAATTCCCAGTATGTCATAAAAGTCAATACAAGAATGTAAGTGATCCTGTAACTTTGTCTCAGATTCTGAAACAAAAAGCTCATGCTGCAATGATAATTATAAACCTTCAGGTCAGTCAGGAACTCCATGACTTTTACAAGTCGATCGCCTGTCTGATTATCAAGATATTCATGATTGGAATTACTAATTTTGAAAAACGTTTGCCAAACGGTTTTTATAACACTACATTCTATTGGGGAAAACGAGTATGGTAAAACCGGTCACCCAAAGATTTTTAGATTTTGAGGCGCTTTTTGAAGCGCAATTTTGTTAGGGCTTGAATATTACACCATATCACAAACACTGATAACATGTAGGGCCGTACATCTCAGATTTAACATTGTTAAACGATGCCTTTTAAAGAATTAAAATAGATATGTTTAAAACAGCCGACTTTTTTTTTGGGGGGGGGGTGGGGAGAAGACAAGCACTTAGTGTACCTGCAATAACGATACAAGTATTTAAAAAAAAAAAGTTTTTATAATACATTATTAACATTGAAAGCAATGTATGATGTATCGTTGTAGTAAATAGAGAGAAAACGATGCCCCTACCAAACCAGTGATCTCTCTTTGCTACAGCTTTAAGAATGGTTTCAGAAATCATTTGTCTCTGTAAGCGAGCTATCATTTTATATTGGATCGGTCATTTGCCAATCATATTGTTATTGAAAATGCCACTAGAAAATGTCATGCTTTTCGGAATGAGTAACAATACCATTGTATGGTGAATTGCCGTTCGGTCTACACGCAGCCTATCTACTTTCCGCATGGTCTAATAACCAGCAAAGTACTAGCATTAGTTAAATTATTTTCATAAATTATTACTTAAAGATATAGACTCATCAGGATCATTATTTGCACTTGGAGGAATAGCATTCCACTCTAATATGGTACAGAGTGGAGGGAGTATTTGTAAGTCTTTATTTTCCCTGATAACATCTGACATTTCCCTGATCATGATGACTCGATTCAGGGTCTATTCATATATGCCAAAGTACTCTGCTACAAATAAGAAGTTTAAAGATAAATTGATATTTTGTCCCTCTCTTTCTCATACGAACGAAATTGGACAAAAGAGAGAGAGAGTTATGGAATTTTAGAAGTTGTAATCACTGTATGTATGGGCACTTCAAATTAAATAAATAATTCCAAGGGTTGGATTGCGGCGGTTGCCCTTTAATTGTCCCAATTAATCCTCACTGCCAAAATGAACGACCACCTGCAACTACACCTCCGTGGAATATGATTTTATTTTTATTTGTTTAAAGTTAACAATTCAAGATCCAAGAACTGCAGTTCTTTAAACTGGAGGAAGCTAAACAAATAAGATCTAACTTGATCAATACAAACAGCTGTGCATAAGCATGTAATGAGGTACTCAAGTACACGCCCAGGATTAAATACAGGTGGATACTCGAGTGCTCTGCGGCCATTTTTTTCCTTCATTTTTTTTTTTTTTTTTTCCAGACCCCTTTTATTTATAGACACGGCAGGGAAAAAATTGTCGTAAAATCAATACCATAAATACCTAGCCTTTTTTGTGTGGTTATTTTACACTATACTGCACAGCACTCGTAACTCCTTGCTACGATAAATCATATTTACGCCAACAGGCGCCAAGAGATGGCGCTGCTCAGATTTTTTTTTTGCTGACGTCATAGGAAGCATCCCGGGTCCATCTACGAAAAAACCCACGCGATTTTACTGCGAGTTGCAGCTGAAGGTGCCGATTTGTGCTTATGAACTTGTCACAAATAATAGTAACAATGTTGTTTTTAGAAATAAAGATGACAGACAAATTTTTCCTCCGAGTCCAAACAGAAATCCAGACATTGGCAGCTAGTTTGGTCCTAGTTTCTGAGTGGTGAGTTGACAGTGACACCCCATTTATGACTGAGCTGGCAAACAATTTTACTCATGGTAGCATGCTGGTGCTTTTCCGGGCACGGTTGAGCTTCGGCAGGCACAGTGCCAAGTGGAGGGGCATAAATCGGCACTTTAAAAAAAAAATTGCGGCCGTGTATACGAGTATGAGTAATCATACTCAAGTAGTTGAAAACAGTGTGAGTACTCGAGAATTCAAGTACTCGTCTCAGCTATCTATTGTAAGAAATCATTTAGGGGAGGTGTTAAAGGACACGAGGTGACTGATATGAGACAACCTTGTTTTTTTAAGTTATGCACAACTGAACTGGGCAGAGCTGATCACCAATTCTAACAGAAGAAGAACAAGAAAACGTAGTCAGACTAAGACAGATACATTTTGATTTTAATATTACATCATTGATGTATAATTTTTACAGTTTTTTCTTTCATCTCGAAAAACCCATACTTTTTAACCGATTTCATATTTTGTTTGCCCTAAATCTCATTCTAGCTTTTTTAAAATTGTGAAATGTTTTTTTACCATTCACCTGGTCCATCCTTGAGTAAAAAGGGCTATTTTGGATAAGTTACACCAAGACTACATCTGGCTTGAGGGAATCCCTCTCTGTGTCTTGGAGGAGACCGCAAACGTTAAACGACAAGATATGTTTTTATTTTTCCTGTTTTTTTAACAATCTGTTTTATGTTCATCAACTATAATGTATTGAGGTCGATGTTTAATGTACACTACTATGAAGGATGCTTGTTACCCGCAGGCTATTAAACGAAAGTAACAGTTATGATATCTACTTAGAACTAAAATTGTGATGTATCCAATTTTAAATTTAAAAAAAATATATAGACCTCTAGGTCTAGGCCTATTATCCATCTAAAAACTCCAAATGAATTGATATTAAAAATAGATTTATTGTCTCATTTATGAGCTTTGAAAGGTTAATTTGGTTTTTGACAAATGAATTTCCCCCCTCATTCATCCTTGTTTGTTCACTTCAATTTCAATCCATCCTTCCTTTGCTTCAGCTCAGCCTTTCAATTTTCATGTTTCAAATTTTGAACTTTTTTTCTTTCTTCTTCTTTCTCTCAATCTATTCAATTTCTTTTCCTTACTGCAACCCAAACTTTTCCTCCAATGTCGCTTGGAATCAACAGCTCCTTGCGGTGGGTATCAATAGACGACAATTGTAAAACGAGACTTCATATCTTATTTATGGCATTCATGCTCTTTGATTTTTCAGCGACACGATACTCGATATCAATTCACAGGTAGATCTAACTGTGACACACACACAAATATGAACGTATGGGACACCACTTGTAGAACACTTGCTGCATTATTTTATTCATTAGTACGATAAACTAAATGGTAACTTAATAATTCAAATATTACACGTTAAAATAAACATACCTCCTGAAGTCAAACACCATACTGAACCATAAAATGACAGAACAATGTTTCAAAATAAGAAAATATTGTAGTCTCTCGAACAGAAGTTTTAGCTTGATGCACCTGCTGTAGCTACGCTCCGCCCACTTCAAAACATGTTTGCCGCTGATTGGTCAAATAGTTGGTCAAATAACCACGGTGATTTGATGTTTCTTATAACATGTACATGAACATTTGCCATGCATTCGAGTGAAGTGAATAAATATGATTATGTCACTTCTACAAAGTGAATAAATACTTCCATATTGCTACAGAATAACGATTACCATATACAATGTACCTGTGTTAGAATATACCAAATTTGCTTATTGGTCTGTGATTGCTTCATACTAGAAGTCATACTGTTTGTGTTCCTCTTCTTTCATTGCATTTTCCATCTCTTAATTGTTTATCCTATTTTTGTGTTTTTTGTTGTTGTTGTTTGTTTGTAAATGTATCAAAATGTGTATTAATTTCCACCTTGTGCTTTCCTGTGTATTCAGAAAGTAGCCTAGGCTTGAATGTTCCTTTTTACACATTTCCCTTGTTATATTCAATAAGTAAAGTACAATTTTATGATTTAAATGTCATGACTAACAAGTTGCAATATCTGTTATAAGCTTCTGAAATTGTTGCATTTGATTGACTGAGAGCAAATTTGTTAAAGAAATGTGACACTTGTTATTGATAACCAATTTTATGAAATGGGCTCTAGTCGGAGAGAAATTATTGGGACAGACCCCTCCCTCCTTTAAAAAAAAGGAAGAAGGAAGAGGGAGGGATAAAGAAGAGAGAATAGAACGGTCAAAAGTGTTTCCCAAGCTACAAATCAGAAAGGGAAAGATCTTTTTGTAACATAACAGGCACCCCCCCCCCTTCTCTGTCTGTCTGTCTCTCTCTCTCTCTCTTTAACTTATTACATTACTCCTTCCCTTTTATACTTTTGGTTACAATGCAGTTTTATTCACACTCAAATAACTAGGATATTTTTCAACCTGTCCTTCTGATTACGGTGTCAATGTATTAGCCTACATAAATGAAAGTTTTAAATGTAATAATTAAGTCCTTAAACATGATACAAAAATAAGACGCAGAAAGTTTGATTAAAATCTGTCCCTTTATTGCATTCATCATATCACATCAATTATGCTGAATACGATTCACGTAAGAGGGACTCAAACTATGATAGGGCAAATCATGGTCAATTACCATGATTTACTGAAAAATATCATATATTTCAGACTGCATCACAATACTTTACAGTACATATGATTTTACCCCTGCAAAAGCAAAATGATATATATTTTAGATACAGGGTATCACACTTTTATGTCACCACACTAACATTATTAACAAATACAAATCTATTGCTCCCTGCATTTAACAATTTTATTCATGTGATAGTTAATGTAGATTTTTATTTTTTTGGCAATATATGTATATAATTTTCTTTGGGTATACACTGACCTTGTAAATACTACACGATACAATAATTTCTAAAAACATCATACCCTCAAGTTTTGCAGTAGTTTTCAAAATATAATGTAAAATGGGTAACTTTAAAGAGGTTTATAACAAGATGACCTGTATGAGAAATACCACTGATCACACAATAGTACAGTCAAATGTGTCTTAGCAGGCTACCTCTCTATAAAGACCACCTGCCTATAGCAACCCTGTATTTCTGTCTCCCTCAAGTAAGAAATGTGTGGTGTAAAATTTGTCTAGAAAGGTCACCTGACCTACACTGGCAACTTATTTTTTCAGTTTCCCTTGGGTGACCGTAAAAGACAGGCTTGACTGTTTAATGCTTACATGTTAATACTGTAAGGACATGGAGTTACAGAATACCATATCATATTATATCCTTATATGTACCAAATACCAAATACCATGTAACATTATAGTGATAAAATATGCAATACTGAGGACTACGATGATGGATATGGAGAAGCGTGTTTCAACAAAATATTTGAAAATATTTGAGGACATTTGAATGTCTCAAAAAATACCATGTCACAAGAACATATTCTTGAATTATCCCTCTGAAACTCAATTCATCAATAATCATACACACAAGAAATCAGTGATATATATATACCGGTATATATATATATATATAAAGGCAGCTGGCTGTCCAAATAATGTCCATTGTACACATAATCTTTTGATATGATTTGTTTTGGGTCTATAAGACCTAGCTGCTATACATGAGAATATAAAGAAAATGATGAAAGAAAAATCACTGAGAAACAAAAAAGAAGAAGAAGATTAACCGATGGGGAGAGAAGGAATGAGCGGGATTAACAAAAACAGCTTTTCTTTGAAAAGGTTTATTCAATTATAGATTGTAAAGAATGCCGCAACAACTGGGCATTATATTTAAACTATGACACAACCATAATGAATCACACACATAACTTCAACTCAAGCACAAAGAATGCATTACTAAGTACCACACCAAAAGCTGTGAAAATCACAATTGATTAATGGAAGATATATAGTAGTAATAACAATCAAAGAGGTACAAATTTGTTCCCATCTTTCTTCAAAGCAGATTTTTCTTGTTTCACCTTCTACCATTGCTTATTCATATTTTTCATGCTGTACTATGAAACTCTCAGCCATATAAACTGGCTCCAAGGTGGACTCCTACATTTTCTTTCCATCTTACAATTTGGGGTCCTCGGTTACCGTGGTTACGGCCTCATGGATTGCCTTGGCAACATACTCGCAATTCTTTGTTGTGACGGCACACATGTTGATACGGCCAGACTGCATCCCATAGATGTGGTATTTCTCCTTTAAGAAGGTCATTTGCTTGGCTGTTTGGAAAAAGAAAACAGACATCAATTAAAACTGCTGTGTGCAGAACCTTAGGGTAAGGCTGAATGATAGAGACTCTTTACTGAGTAACCAAGTAAATGTTGGACTGCAATCTTTTGAATATGTCTACACTGGAACTACAAAGAGATGATATTTCATCATGTTTCAGCCCCTACCTATACTATACCATACCCTCTTACATCTTTTTTGGGAAAATTGCATGAATTCTGGAAATTCTATCTGACCTCAGAATTCTGGAAATTCTATCTGACCTCAGAATTCTGTGATGTATCTTCCTCCTCGTTGTATCACTCTAGCCATTCTTCTGAGACCTTCTCCCTCTCTTTTCCTTCCTTATTTCCTAATCTTCCTCATTCTACTTCTGTCTCTTCTCATCTCTTGCCCTACCCATCCCGTTCCTCTTTCCAACTCCCATTAGTCATATTCAAACCCAACACAGTAAATCACTTCAAAAACCTGCCACAAAAAGAAATTTGTAAATAATATTGGTGGATTAGGACAGATTACTCTGGCTATCTATCTTTTGGCAATACATGTATCTTAAAAAGTAAAGATCTAATATAGACAAAACACAATACTACTGATCGCTGTGTTAGTAGATACAGAAATCAGAGACCTGTTTCACAAAGCCTTTTTCGAATGACAAGTGACAAAAATGGGTGACAAATCTGCTGATAACCAATCAGAAGCAAGGATTTCACTAGCTTATAACAAAAACTGTCTTTTGTCACTGATGACAAGTTTTGTGAAATAGGACCCTGAAGTGCACTATTCATTTAAACTTTGCCATGATATTTTTCCGAAAAAAAGTTTAAACAAATCAAGTCTGAATAGGTGATTACTCACGTCCTAGTCCTGTGTAGCTGAACATGCCAATCTGGTTTGTGATATGGGTCCATGTACCGGGCGTACCGAGCTCCTTCAGCTTGCTGTAGAGTAGATCCCTCATGGCCATGATGCGATTAGACATGGTTTGAATGTGGCCTTCCCTGTAACATCAAGCAAGAGAGAATAGATGACGGTGATCACAGAAATCATCATGAAATTAAATGGAGAAAATGAAAGGTTGAGAAAAATAAATGATGCAACATTTGCTCCCGCGACAATTGCTTGATGCTTTATTTTGTTTAAAGATATAAGGTTAGGGTTCATCTTGCAATTAGGTTTAGGATAGATTTAGGGTTAGAGTTAGGTAGTGTTGGGTCCAGGGTTGAAGTTAAGAAATCGGTTAGTGGAAGAATTTGATGTGGAGCTATTGTTACAGGACCACGTGCCTTGGAATTGAGAAATCATGTCTATGAGATTAAGAAGACATAATTCATTTGTTAATCATGGTCAGGTATCAAAGGTTGAACTTTATGAAGCAATAACCCTCCCCTATAACATAATTTGAATTGCTTATCTTTTATTGGTTGTTGATCAAATATTCAACACAATGCCCTCCTTAAATAATATGTTTACTACAAGAAATAATAAAAATAGTGCATGATTCATTAACGCAGTGGTAAATCACGTCATTTCATGTAAATAATCCTTTGATATGTAAGCACAGATGATGCTAGCAGTATGCTTGAGCATGTTATGTGCAAGTTACTTACCACTCCTCATTGAGGGCGGGGTTATTAAGCACCATGGCAACGATGCGAGCTCCGTGATTGGGTGGATTAGACCATAGAGCTCTTGCTAGTTTCTCCAGCTGTGACTTGATGCGAGGTTTGGGGTCTGGGTTGTTCAACACAATAGTCAGGTTTCCTACACGCTCATCTGAAACACAATTATATGTGTAAATCTCAATCACATTACTGCGGCACAACTTCTGATCAAAACTCATAGCTGACTGTTCTAAACAATAGCAGGTTTCCTATATGTGCATAAGGGCTTTTCTCTATTAGCATATTATGTAAAGGGGTCATTTCAAGGAATAGTTTCAAAGAAAGGGGTCCTTGTTGTATCTCTTTAAAAGAAAACACTTGTATTTCTTTTCAATCATGAAGGGTAAATTGTCCTGGACACCTGTAGAGTTGATAACTGTCATTTTACCCATGTTAACTACTCAACCATTCTCCTGAATTTTCTATGAAAAATCATCAATACAAGTTAGATACTAAAGCATGATGTCTGTTTATATCATTGATGATATTTTCTACAATACAATAATGATGAAGTATGTAATATATCTTTTTTATAAACATACATCCATGGCATGAAGTTTTGATCAATAACTTTGTTTGCCAGTCAGCTTTGGGAGCCCATCAAATGAAAAAGACTTAATCATCACTGCTCACTGCCTTCAGTCAATATTCACATCATTCTTTAAGCCATGATATCCTAAACATTATACCTAAAACAACAACATAAAAACATTTCTTAGCTGTAAACTACTCACTGTATAGACCAAAGTTCTTGGAGAAAGACTGAGCTGCAAAGAATTCAAATCCTTGGTCCACAAAGTACTGCACGGGCCAACGATCTTTAGCTACACTGCCTGTTGCAAAGCCAATGTAGGCGCAGTCAAAGAAGACAAAAGCTCCTGTTTTCTGTAATGCCAAAGCACAAAATATTCCACATGATGATGCACAATGAAAAGGGGGAGGGAGAGGAGGGAGGAGGGGGGGGGGGGGTGAGGGGGTTACCTAACATGAAGAGGAAAGCTCACTAACTTGGGAAATTTTACTCAGCTTGAATCAAACAGGATATATTGTGGGAAGTCATAAACTGAATTGATGTTGGAAAGGAATCTACTTTAAGGCTCCATCAATATCCTACTTGGTATTACAACTATTATACATTCAATCAACAAATTTGAATCATGGAACAGAGTTTTATAGCACCAAACATCTCACAAACCAATTTTGAACTTTAAGAAATGTAGCAAGCCATTCTTAGTCAAAAAGAATGAGATAAAATAGTAAGATTTAGATGATTACATTGCCAGCAGCACAGAAAGAGATTGACATACTCATAAACTTATTTAATTACATTTATATCACTACCTTGGCATGTGTAGTACATGTATGTAATTCGTGATAAGTTCAAGAATTTGATGAATAAAGTTATATTTTAAACAAGATAAGCATATGTTATATCAAGTGGCATGGCTGTAAGTCATTTTTACTACCTGCACATAAAAACATTGTTCACATCAGACAATATCAACAGCCTACAAAAAGAAAAAAATACAGATGCGGCAAAATCAAACAATCTAAATGTACACAAATAGTAAGAAGATCTCAACAAGAAAATTTACACGCCTAAGCATATTTGTGCGTCATCAGTTCCAGAAATTTGAAGCACACAACAGTAATTTAGCCATGGTGTTATTAAGGAGGTTAATCACGGCACGTGTGAACAAGGCTAAACAGTGAGACTTGTTTACCTTGACAACTTCAGCAATCTGTTTCCAGTCCTCCTGAGTTGCATCCACACCAGTCGGGTTATGAGCACATCCATGAAGAATGACCACAGAATTAGATGGTGCTCCCTGGTAACAAACAAACAGAAGGGTCAGTGTATAAAGTTGAGGGAAACCAAAGGCATTTTAGCAATCAACAGCAGGGATCTACTTGCCCTCATTACTCTGGTACTGTAATCTAGTATATATATATATATATATACCCACAATATATTCTCCAATGAATGCTTTCTAAATGCATGTACAAAGATTTGGATAATTAAGTGGCAACCTTCCAACGAGGCATCTCTCAAGGTAAATTTTCAGAAAAAGAAAGGAGTCTAGGCCGCAAAACATAAAACTGAAGGGGTTCAAACATAAATTGGACTGGTATAGGGACGTTCAAATCTTCCAAACTTTATTCTTTCTTATTTTTGTATAAGATGTTGTGTATCACTTTGGTATCTATTCAGAACCAGGATGTAAAACAGACTTTAAACAAAAATATCTGAATCATGTCATCATGAATAAATGCAATTTAATAAGAATGCAATACCTGGTAAATAAAATGAAATATAATTTATTATACCGGCTAACCAACTTTCATTGAATTTGCCCAATTTCTCTGGACTTTCTGTATTTACAAAATCAAGGTAAGGAGGAAAAAGGACTGTCTCTGCAACACATTTATTTATGAGTTTTGTCATTCTTCTAGGTTTAATATAATAAAGGCTCATTCAGATATGACGTGGTAAACCACCGCCCTCCTCCCCCCCCCCCCCCCCCCAAAAAAAAAGAAAGAAAAAAGAAAAAAAGAAAGTCCTGCTGTGTATTCACTTAGCTCTGTGTTAAAAGATAGAAACTTAGGAAGTGTATGAAACGTCACATCATCATTAAAAAACCTAGCTCTGTCTTACAAGGCAGGAACTTGTTAAATGTATTTCATTTTACATTATCATTACAAAATTGCCAGAGTTTATCGCTGCATATCTAAATAAAGCTTAATGATCCAATTCCAACAAGCTTTGTATACAATTTAACTGAATAATTCTTTTTCATTATTTACCTTGAGATCTTCCAGCATGCCTTCTAGATCTAGACCTTTGGTAGACTCCTTGTAATACCTGTACTTCCGCACCTCCATGTCTGTATTCTGAGCAATACTATTATGGTTGGCTAAAAAAACAAAACAAGAAGAATTTAATCAGGTCATTCAGATGACAGTTTTGTACTTTGAGTAATTGCAAAATGCAAATTGATTAGCTGAACAAATACAAATGAAACAAAAATACTAGTAAGTCATATTTAAAGGGATGGGTATCTATGCCTCAGATTCTAAAAAAATCCTTGATTTAGCTCATGCTGCAATAATAATTATAAACCTTTACGTCAGTCAGGAATCCCATGATGTTTACAAGCCGATCGCCTGTCTGATTATCAAGATATTTATGACTGAAATTAGAAATTTCAGTTTTTTTTATAACACTACAGTCTTCTGGGGGAAAATGAGTAAGGTAAAACCGGTCACTCAAAGATTTTTTACTTTTTTGAAGCACTTCATGATCATTTTGAAGTGCAATCTTTTTAGGGCTTCAATTTTACACCATATCAGAGACACTAATAACACGTAGGGCAATGCATCCCAGATTTGTAAAACTGGAAACATTGTTACCGGTAAACAATGCATTTAAATTAAATTTTGTAGTCTGAGTACGCTAGCCTGAAACATAACTACCTGACCTTAAAACATATCCTTAGGGAAGGGTTGCCTTATTAACCCCAATCCTTTTCTTTTTCCCAAGATAAAACCTTTATCATTGTTGCTAGAGCAAACGTTAATTCACCATCCCAGATATATGTGATTTATTATTTCTTTGCTTTTACTAAAAGAATATAATCTTAAAGATATAATATAAGGTCAGGTACTTATGTTTCGGGTTATGATCAGATACATTGTTGGGTTAATGGTTGAGGTTAGGAATAAAAAAAAATTCTTTCTCTTCCCTCATGTCTGCTATTATCCTTTCTTTTCTTTTTTTCTGAGTGCATAGGGACTTAATTTTATTTTTGTGATATGAGCTATATAAGAATGGTTTATTATTAATATCATTGTATATGAATAACTACCAGGTATACATGAGCAAGTATGTTTACATATATTGCAATTCTGTAAACACTTTGTATTTACATTCAAGTATGTTAGGGGCGCATGCAGCTTTAACTAATGGTTATTTTTCCTGAATGGATGAACCAAAGAAGAACATCCCCCATTTATGTGCACATCGTTCAAAAGTGCTGGTATTCTTGACATCCCCTCATTTAAGCAAAGTGTGTAGATCAAAGGGTATGCCATCATTATGCACAATCAGCACATGAAGCATTTACATGTACCTTGCAGTACCAGCATAGTGCATAAAAGCATGGAGAGCAGCTTAGCTCTTGTATTTAAGCAAACAATGTACTTCCTGTATTCTCTTTATTATGTTTGATCTATATTTCACTATATCATCAAGCAAAAGGGCATTAAGTCTATGTGTTGTGTTATTGCTCATATCTAAACTTTTCCAATTTACATGTATATGCAAGTACAGATTACACAATGTATGAGGGAGGGAAAAGTGTTTTTTTTTTTAAACACCTTGAATTTTCTAAAAAACAATATATTTTTGTGTCAGGTCATCTTACATGTAACTATTAAATAGCACCTAAAAGGAATAAGCAATCTTCTTCCTTTAAAGAACCCTACCATGACTACATGAAGGGCATTAACTCACATACTTTTAAACAGAGTTAATGCCCTTCTGGCCCTGAACAGACCTAACCTGTAAACGATAATCGGATCGGACGCCAATACCGATCCGATCAGGGGTGATCGGATAATAATTTCTGATCGCCGATCAATAAAAATGATCGGAAAAAAATTGGCATGCCTATATTATAATCCAAGATGGCAGCCCGCATGTTTTGCCTCTTCTCTTAGACCAATATTATTAATTTCAAAGTCATGAAAAGGCACTAAATATCAACAAACATGGTCTACAACAACTCCAAATGACAAAATAATCCCAGCCATGAATTTTTGTTGAGCATTTGATAGCCAAAAACTTGAACATTTTCGTCATTAAAAAAAAAAAAAAAAAAAAAAAAAAAATCAGCGGATTTTTTTGGTTGATCTTCCGATCCGATACCGATCATAGGTGTGAGGGTGTCGCTCAGATCTTCCGATCCGATCAGAGCTCCAACTTACAGGGTTAGAACAGACAATATCATGAAAGCTAGATGGAGGAGAGTTAACTTACGCCACGTTGGATCAGGTACATAGACGATTTTATAGTTTGCCCTCCTAGACAGAAAATCACATCCAAGACGAAGGGATCCGGTTCCACTCAGAGCTTGAAATCCCATTGCCTAAAAGGAGTAGGACCAGTAGTATAAAAAAGGTTAAAAATGCAGTGCTGCCTTTTGAGTTTTCAAAACCAAAACATTTGTCCCTGGATACATGTAGACACTAAGATAAAAGAGTATTATCACATCAAGTATTCAGGGATTACCATAATAACAAATCTTTAAAACAATATTCACCTAAACTCATTTTATTTTCCTTGATGACAGGATTGTCAGCTCATCACACCAAGTATTAAGGGGGGGGGAATGCCCAATCTTTTGTAGAATATTCTACCAAACTCACCCTATTTTCCTTTAAGGCTGGACTGTCGGCTCCTAGCAGCATCTTGGTAGCTGCAGTGGTGAATTCAGCGAGACCAGCGATAGGAAGATATTCATGATCTAGAGTATTATCAGCTGCCATCTCTGCTTCGACCTTTTTCACGACTGGTAAGACCCATGGTTTGCTCTCATCAGTACGATACGCTGGTTTGCAACAGGAAAACAAAAATCAGTTTGATTAAAAGAAGGTGTCAGTAAAGACTTTAATAGTACTCTTTTCCTTTAAAGTCACCAAATCATGCAACATTTCTCTCTATAAAACTCCCTATTAAAACAGCCCACATATATTCATATAGGCGTTAGATTACTTTTTTATCCATTTTTGACCCATAACTCCTACTAAAACATACCCCCAAAACAACTAATACTAGTAATCTTCTTCAAGACAATTGTTCAAATAATGGTCAAGATATACATGTAAGTCGTTATATTTCTTACCCCTTTCGTGTCAATTTTCTTATCTTTTGGGGAGTATTTTTCCTAAAAACAAAGACATTATAATATACACTTTCTCAATTACAATACCATTGCATACCGTACCGACGAAGGGGTACCAGTGATTCACACATTTTGCTGAAATGATTTTCCGGGATTTTTTCTCACTTTTTTGTTAGTTATACTTTTGTAGAAAAACTACAAATTTAAAGTCAGGCCAAAAAAAAACAGTATGTATTGATAAACTATCACATTACGGTATCCTTCAACTAACTTTTCATTCGACTGTCAGAAAAAAATACTCACCGGTTTTTCTTCAATTTAAGAATCTTTACAGAAATATGCAAATCGTTTGATGATGTAAATATGATAATGACACTATTTATTATTTATTTTAGGAGAATTTATATGTATATATTTCTTTTTGAACAATTTTAGCTCCAAAACTTGTTTTGGGTTATTCTTGATAAATCAAATGGATCGTGACAAAGACTATGTTTTTGAGCTGCTAGTATCGTGATATATCGATATCATGTCTGTCATGGCTTTGTGAAATGGTTTAACCACTTCATGACATCTCCGTAGGTCGGCAACAAAGATATGACTGTCATGGAGTTGGTTTCGAGAAACGGACACCTAGTCCACATCATGCATCATGAGGATGATGACCATTATCACAGTCGCTAACTTCACACACACTTTGAGTGATATGACTATGCATGGTTAGAATTTACATCCAGACTCCGCATCTCATCTCATTCATCATTTTAGCCTTACACAGTCATGACAATTGACAGTTAGGCCTAGATCTAGAGTAAAGGAGCCCGTTTTCGGCCACTTAAGACAAAATCCTATTTTTAGGACCCTTTACTTCCTATTTATTATCATTTTTTGTTCAAATCATGAAGCAAATATTATTATTATTTAAACAAAAAAAGAATCCCAGAAAAAAATCACGAATTGCCATGACAATATTCATTTCAATTTTCACTGTTTTTGAGCCAGTTATCGGCCGAGCGTTTCAATTTATGGCTGCATGTACAAAGTCAATAGGAAGCGCTCGCGCGCGCCGTGCGTTTCCGCGCTGATGTACAGCACAAGCGGGCGGAGCAGGTATCCCACGCCGGAGCTCCCTGGTGCTCGCCTGGCCGAAGACAGGCACAGAGGTGATCGGAAGTTGGAATCTGAATTAGACAGACATATCGTGTGTGCGTGGCAGGGTCCGGCTGCATTGATTTAATACATGCGATGAGATACTTTTGAGCTTGCGACTAACACAAAATCGGGCTCTAAATCTGAAAAATACTTGAAATAAAGCTGATTTTATGGTACCCATATTTCTTAAATACACACGTAAGATACTTGATTTTTCAGATTCGGGTAGCGGGACCGCCGATTACATCGCTACAATTGACAGTTAGTAAAATATGTGATATTTTAGGATATATTTTTCATTGCAAATGTGGTTCTTCAGTGACACTGGCATGGTATGGTATGAGTGGGATATGTGTTATGCTATTATGCGATGTATTTTAGAGTGATTTTACCTTGCATCCAACCAATCGGCCGAAAACTGGAGCTGGCCGATTACCGGCTCCTTTACTCTATACTATAGCGCCTACACTTACACTACAGTTAGGTCCCCTACATAATAATCAATACATGGGACCACGGTTTACTTACTCCCAGGTCCGAGATTAACCTTGTTCGGGAATGGATCTGCCTTGAAAGCTTCAATAAGCTTAAAAACAGCCACTGGTGGGGCCTGTTCGATAGCAGCAAAAGCTGACTGTCCGATCCGGGGTCGTTTTGCCTGATCTGCAGCTGCGGAATCCATCTTTAGACTGTAGTTTCTCCACGTCTACCCTGTATCACTCACTGATCTCTCACGATCACTGCATGCAGTAACCTTTGAGATCGTATGTTGCGCATGCGCTGCTGGTAAATGGTCGGATAAATCGAGGTCAAATGATGATCACGCTTGGTGCAGCTGCAGCTAACGATGCATTGATAGCTAGGTGACAAAATCCGGGGGGGGGGGGGGATATCGCTATAATGGGTCACTGTAAGTTATACCAAAAAAAAAACTCCCTAAATATGCGTCCCATTTTTAACAGAAATTTATATCCCTAAACATGGGTTCGCTTTTTTCAAAATTGTGAAAAAGTTGGCCTTTATTTCGAGAAAAATCCCGCTAATTAAATGACCCTTAAAAATGGGTAGGGGTACCGAGGCTTGAGCGGCACACCCCCGTCCAAACCAATTCTGAGAAAATGCTTTTCCTTCCCTATATTGATTACTGGTACTGTTATAGTGGTAACAAATCAAGGCGGGAGCTTAATCCATATATGCAGCCCAACCCACTTCTAAACTATCACTGCCAATCGGCCATGGAGGCTCCCAATGGCAATGCATAATTTGTTCAAAATATTGCAACTTTTATTGTAAGGATTAGTCAAATTTAAATTAAAACATCACGGGGCATCAAGGCCGTTGGATATTGCCTATACAACACTCAACGTCATCCAAACCAATGACACCAATATTTATTGGTGTCAAGAACTAAAAAAAAAGGATAGCCCAACCTTGGAATAACCAACATTTCCATCTATACGCCTGATACGGCATGTGAAAAAGTATATTTTTTAAATTCAAATAAACATCTATGTTAATTTTTTTATCAACGTATATGCATCACAGCTAACAGTATTTTCATCTCGAAAATAATTTTCGAAAAATTGTTTTAATATCTTTCTAAGCCACCACTTGCGAACTGATTGGGGGAGGGGGGGGGGGCAGTTGCCCCCAAATAAAATGCAAACATGGTTTATTTCTAATTCGATACCAGTGATTCACACATTTTGCTGAAATGATTTTTTGGGGATTTTTTCTCACTTTTTTTGTTAGTTATACTTTTGTAGAAAAACAACAAATTTAAAGTCAGGCCAAAAAAATATGCATATTTAGAAGGCTACATGACTTGTCAGGGCCCGCAGTTCGGCAGGGCTAGAGCCTCCTTCATTTTTCTGAAAATTATGTTATATCTTCTAGGGGCTCCGCCCCTGGACTCCACGCCAAGTAGTGACCTGCCAGTGTCACAAAATAGTAAGGTATCAAAATATACTGATCTGACCGTAATTAAATGCCTTAAATCGTTAAGCTTTCGGGGGCTCTGCCCCCTGGACCCCATCAAGGGCCCTAACGCGGGCCCCTGGATGCTCATCAGTTTCTGACAGTAATTTAATGACCAAAACTCTGCCCCCAGGAGCCAGGCCAAGTAATACCCAAATAAGGTATCAAAATATGCTCCGCCCCTTGACCCCGGCCGGGGCTTTAACCTGGACCTCACGCCAATTTACGCTCCGCCTGATCGTTAATACTTTAGCCCGCCCCCCCCCCCCCCCCCACTTTGAAAAAACGTTCCGCGGGGCCTGCATGTAACATGTAAGAGTGGTGGTGATGTGGATTTTTGTTCCTGCCTCCCCCCAAAAAAATGTTTTTGCTCATTACGCCACTGCGGGCCAGGACGGTGAGTATAAAGTGCATGAAGACATGTTTTACATAAGAGTGTCGCGCTCTTATTCAGTTTATATTATGTATGACATTATGAATGTATCCAAAGGCAAGGCAGACGGGACAACATAAACCATCTATTGAGAACAAACAAACAAACAATGCCAACTGCAACAAAGGTGGAGACATTATTAACTGGTGGTTATATTTTTTATTACAATATTAGACAAAAATTACTGTAGAAAAGTGGAATATCATTTGAAGAAAAAATAATCTTCGGTCTTGCATGTACAGTTCTACCCTCTCTCTCTCTCTCTCTCTCTCTTTCTCTCCTGGGGCGAATCTAGCTTTTTGCTAAGGGGCGGGGACGAAATTTGAAAATCGGGCCGACCAATATTTCGCTCAGTGGAAGGAGGTAGATCCGCACTTGCTCTCCTCTCTCTCTTTCTCCCTCTCCCTCTCTCTCCCTCCCTCCCTCTCTCAACAGTAGCAGCAGGCCTAGTAGTAGCACGTGTTGGGGTTGGGGCCAGGTTGTGGTAGTAATCTACCACAAGTTCCATGAAATAAACATAAATTGAACATTTTCATATTGAAAAAATAGTGCCCTACCCACTGCATACTCATACACACATTTTTATGTGTTGTGTGAGTTTGACATGCATATTGCGTAAAATAAAAATTCAAACACTTGGATAAGTCCGGCAGCATTAACAACATACCCAATATACAGAATATTTCTACATAAAAATTATGTCTACATGTACACCATACACAAATACAAATTATTTCAAATTACATTACATAGCATATAGAGTACACAATATACACAACTCAATTATTTTGAATGAAAAGAAATCTTTCCCAAATTAAAACACAAAACAATGACGAAGCTTCAAAAAAATATACCGGTATATATAGTACGATTATTATTAATTACGATTTATAACAACTATATTTTGGTATCTACTCACTGTCTTAATTCTAAATCCTTAATACAACTTTACCAACGCTCCCTTCCCCCATTTTTTTCTATCTCTCTCTTTCTTTCTCTCTCTCTTTCATCATATTTTTTTTAAACGAATTCTCTGCAACAAAACATTTTCCTGTGGCACTGAAATACATTTTGTTTGACCCGAATGACCCAAGTTGACCAACAGACCAAAGAGATATTAAACAGACCATCACCGTTCAGTTTCATTAGTATAGATTGCAGGTGGAGAAAACAAAACGTCCTGTTGCCCCATCACGGGTGGTGAAGCCGACAGCCCTCACCCCTTGAGGGTTGGTATCTTGATAGTAGAGTGTTGGCTGATCTCTCCGCTCCTCGAACAGGTTGATGTATCCATCGTAGAAATTGATCCTGAAGCGACGGAATTCATTCTGATTGAGGGGTTGATGGTCCTCAACACTTGCTGATGTGTCGCAATCCGAGCATAAACGTATGGTCGTCAGGCCGTTCAAACCGCCGATCACTGAGGGAGCAGGGACAAAAAAAAAGATATTTCTTTATAATGTCTGTTATCTTGGCTAATATTAACCAACATCTGGTGAATTACGCGCCCGACCAACTTTTAGGGTAAGGATTACATTTTGTTTTGCTCAACGCGGGAGAGAGAGAGAGAGAGAGAGAGGGGGGGGGGGGTAATGAGTGCTTTAAAAAAAAACTCAACACCCCCCCCCCCCCCCCCCCATTGAGCAAAAAATAAATAAATAAAAATGATTTTACTTTTTGGGGGGCCGGAGAGGGGGCCTGCCCCCCGCCCCCGCCTCCCTGGATCCGCCACTGCATACATGTAACAGCCCTCAAGTTTTGACTGACCAGGGAGGTGATATAGAAGTTATTTTCTTAAAACGCATCCGTGAGTTCTAAAGCGTAATAATGGGATACCACATTCCATTTGGCTTTGAAGTTCCATGCTAAGAGCCACTCTTCCACTGCGGGGAATCTCGCAGGCCAGGCACCAGTTTCATATTTTATTAAATTACCAGACAATTTTTAGTGTAAATTATAAACTTTATATGGGGATTGTATTGGGAATAGTGCATAAAACAATTTTTCAAATTTAGTACTTTAGTATTTAGCCCTTCCTATAATTTGTGTGTCAGAGTTGGTAAAAGAAGAATTAGATCCTGACAAAAACTCAATATTTTAGGATAGTCCGATTATTTTCGCATGATTCAATATCCCGTCATTAAATAGATGATTTACAATCTTCGATAACTTTAAGTTTGCAAATGCGAGCTTTTGCGTGCTTTTTGTATTTTTGCAGTCGATAAAAAAGTATAAAAATTACAAAAGTTTGAGTTCGCTTGTTCAACTCATTACACATTCAACAATTGATGAGAAATCATTGAAAGGGACAGCGAACATTTGCTGAGATACCATTTTCTGATGTAGGAATCCTAAATCCTGATATTTCACGCGTTCTTTTATCTCACCACCTGGTCAACGGTTGCAGATTAGCGCATAACTTTTCGGCGACTTGGAGCTATATAAGGAGCATGGGGTCTAAGGAGAGCGGCTTGATTCCACTCCTTCTTTATCACCTCCCTGAATAAACCAGGGGTTCCCATATCAATTTCTTCCTGTCCATTATCAATTGATCTAAATACTTATCATTATTATTGTAAACACAGTAACTTTCCCTGTCAAAAGTAGCTAAACATAGGCGGATCATAATGAAGCTGAATTGGTGCGTCTACCCAGTGGTGCTTTAAGGAGTGTATATTTGTGTGTGTGTTGGGGGGGGGGGGGGGGTGGGGGCACAATTAAAACAAAAAATATCCAGCATACCTTTTATACACAACAGAACTATGACCGCCTATCACATTATTTTGAGACCCGGAAAATAGAGAAGGCCTAACATTAAAAATGTAGAATCTTTATTGTCTATTTATTCATTGATTGACTAATTTCTTTTTTTGTTTGTTTTGCTTGTCATTTTTTCCGGACCCCCCCCCCCCCCCCACCTTGAATCCTGGTCTGGCCCCTGTGCCGGTCTACCTACCTATCTCATAGAGCAGTCCACTGTATTCATTGATGTTGATTACAGGTGAGAAGACAATGACCACAGATTTTTCTGCTTTGACGAGGAATGTAAAATTTACATTGTAAGCCTTTTCCACGGGTACGAGAGGGAGGTCAAGGTTGAAAGGGCTATCCGCTTCGGTGTCGAACGTCAATAAACCTAGGCAATTATGAGAATAATTCATCATGGTAATTTGCATGCAGTTATTAAAAATATAAGTGTGAACATCTATAAACCTAGGAAAAACATGAGAATGGGGTCATCATGTTTATAAGCAGTTAAAATCATTAGTGTAAACACTAACAAGCAGTTTCAATTGAGTGTTTGATAAAGATATGTGGGAAAAATAATATTTTGTCTTATATTTCACAATCACATTTTGTCTAAAAGTTTAGTACGTTAATAATTGGACCGGACTCCAATGCACTATTGTATAATGATAGTAGTGGAATAAAAATGTTGCAATTAGTTATGGGTTACCCCTTAAAATTTCCTATTTTGACTGGAATTTTAATATGTTTTTTAGGTATAATTACTTTCACATGAATAGAATTTGAATAACTCTAAATTACATTGGGTCTATTCATTTGCACAAATAACCTATAAATAAATGAATGGAACAAATACCTGACGTAATACCCTTTGAGGGAAACTCAAAGATGCCCCCATTGTTAGGTCCTGTTGAGTAGGCGATAGTTCGTACTGAGATGGGGGAGGGGTCAAGGACACTGAGAAAGGGTGTCTCCTCATCACCAGAGAATATCTTCAACAGTCCATAATTATATCTGAACACAGAGCAGATATTGGTTAATAATGTTACCATAATAATATTGTATTATTCTGAAGATTTATTTACTTTAAAGATACTATGTCCCTTTTGCAGCCAACATCAAATTATGTAGAACTTTGCAGGAATTATGAATATGTCATGTATGTCCTATCTGTGAAATTTAAACGTTAGCAGTGTCCTAATATTTTAATTATGCAAGGAAACCCGTTTAATTGCTAGACTTCACTGGCAGACACTATTGAGTGACTGACTGGCTTTTTTTCATCTTTGGTATTATCATACATAAAATGAGCTGTAAAGGGTACATGATCATTTGTCTACATCAATAACCCACTTCTTGTAATGGCCAAAATTAAACTGATTGAATCTTTGCGCAGCATAAAACGTACGACCATTCGGTACAATGGTCTAAAAAATCACACTATCACTTACTGGCTGTATAGCTCCTAAGTCGATTCGACAACTAATACTCGTTATTTTCCCACTTAAAGACATTTTCAAGCCCTCTTTTTTTAGGGAAGTTCTAAATTAGTATTGTCTTTCAAATGCCGTTGGAATTAACAATTTTAATTTTTTGGCCTGCAAATGGGACATAGTACCTTTAACATCCAAGCTGAAAGACGATTTTCATATTATCATCAATTGATTTTGAAATAAAAAAGGATTATACCTTTGTTTTAACGAAGGGGTGATCCGGTGGTTACTGACGAGGGAAAGGGGGGGGGGGGGGGCTTAGGAGAGCAGACCCACATGATTTGTTAGGGGTAGAAGATCGTAAGTTATTTTTTCGGAAAATCACTTGAAATATTGAGTTAAAGGTACTACATGTCAGTATGTCCCATCTGCAGGCAAAGAAAAAAGAAAATGTTAAATTCCAACGGCATTTGGAAGATAATACCACTTTAGAACTTCCTTCAAACGAAAGGGCTTGAAAATGTATTTTCGAGTGAAAATAACGACCGTTAGTTGTCGAGTTGACTTTAGAGATTGCAATCCTTTTAGTAAATAGTCTGATTTTCAGACCCTTGTACCGAATGGTCGTATATGCTTTGTGCTGCGCAAAGATTCAATCGGTTTAATTTTGGCCATTACAAGAAGTGGGGTATTATTGATGTAGACAAAAGCTCATGTTATTACCAAAGAAAAAAAAAAGTCAGTCAGTCACTCAATAGTGTCTGACAGTGAACGGGTTTCCTTGCATAATTTGAATACCAGGACGCTGCTAACGTTTAATATATAGGACATTCGTGACATATTCATAATTCTTGGAAAATTCTACAGAATTTTGATGTTTGCTGCAAAAGGGATCGCGAACAGTCTAGAGTTTCTTTAACATTATAACCAGCAAAGATGGTTCAGGCATATGGAGAAGTATTCTTTACGGGCAATGAATCAGCATTTCTTACCTTTTTTGAATACACACTATAGGAAATAATTATTGTTTCAAATTCTCTTTACAAACATGCCACAGGCGGCACCACGAGGGTTCAACATGCACACTTCACTGATTGATGTTCAAATTGCAAACTGTTTCAGGGGGTTACTGCTATTAATAAACAAAAAAAATAAATAAATAAATGAACAGACCTGATAGTGAATTTCAAGAGTGCTACTTCGCTCAATATTTGGGGTGTTTGAGCGGAGGCAATAGATGGACAGCACTCGATTGTAAGCTTACATCGACGGATCTCAGACTCAGTATTCGATGCACTGCCAAGCACTGTATGTGGGCAAAGAAAACCAGTATGAGTTGTTTGATTTGATATTAAGTTGCTTTACATTCATTTCTAAGAATGCACCATATCTTTTTACAACCCCCCCCCCCCCCCGATATACAGGGGTGCGATGGACCTGCCGTACACACATGCCAGCTCCCGTGGCCCAGTGTAAGTGTTGTTGATACTGGTCCTTCAAACGGGGGGGGGGGGGGGGGGGGGAGGATGCATACATAAAAATAAAGAAAAGGAAAGAAGAGAAAAAAGTATTAATAATAATAACTGTAATTGTTATTTTGGTAAAGTTACTCAAGTACTACTATATTTGATTCTTAGTCTTTTACAAAATCAACACATTTAAAACAATTATATAGTATGAGTTAATAATCGCATGAGGTAGCAGCCAGAGCTGGAAAGAAGTAACAAATACACACGTACCGAGTGAAAATGATTTGAGGCTGTTTCATTGGCTAGACGAATATTTAGAAATCTTATTAAAACAGCTTCAAAATGTAATAAATAATATACTTACAAAAAAGGGAGAAATTTAAGCATGTTGGCATCGAAATGTTAATCGCGTTAAGTCCTGTGATTATAAGACTGCATATGGCTAAATAATCATTATAGGAGCGAAAATGGTATACAAGAATCCGTTTTTGTTTGTTAGAGGGAAGGGGGGGGGGGGTGAAATACTCAAGACACGATGATTTAAATATAATACTTTTTTTTAAAGCTGCCTCCTTGGTTGATATTTACGAATTACAGGTATTCAGGTATTAGGTATAAACATTTCTGGAGTACTGCTCGAACAGGATGATCTTATAAGCCGATTATATTTTACATTCATCATCCATGATAAACAGAGAGTGAGTGAGTGAGAAAGACAGAGGATAAGAGGAGGAGGATAGAGAAAGAGAGAGTAGAACGGAGGGTGGGAGTGAGGAGAACGAAATCGAGAGACAGAGAGAGAGACAGACAGAAAGGGGAAAGAGAGATAAAAAGAGAGAAAGATAAACGAGAGAGAGAGAGAGAGAGGGAGGGAGGGAGGGAGAGAGAGAGAGAGAGAGAGAGATGGGGGTGGTTACGGAGAGACTTAGAGAGAGGGAGGGAGGGAGGGAGTGAGCAACAGCTCCATGATGCATTTCAAAAAAAGTTCTGCCTCCTCTCCAGCTGAATGTTCTCACCAATCTCGTACGCCGGTTCATCGTCTGATAACTCTACCTCTGATGCGAGAAGGATATGGACATCGGCGAGGGCCATGACGTAAAAATCGAACTCGAAACTTCTAGAAGATAACCGGGGTATGACAGGGAGGGTATAGCGATGTGAATATATCCCATCAGTCTCGTACAACAATGACCCTACAGTGAGAAAGGAGAGGAAAATAGAGTGAAGTGTCTTGTCTACATGGAGGAGGAGGGGGTGGCAAAAAAGGAATAAAAGACACCTTTAATTAAAAAAAAAAAATAAGATGGTAACCACAATTTTACATTTGTTTTCCTCAAAGAGCGGGGAGGGGGGGGGGGGTGGGCGTGTTAAGTAAAAAAAAAAAATCTCACGAATTGAGCCCCCCCCCCCCCCCCCCCCCCCCTTAGGCCCCCGCCTTCACCGCCGACTGGATCCGCCCCAGGTCTTGTCATATTAATAATTATTACAGCTATCATAAAGATTTTGCACATTAATTAGAAGAAGCTGAAAGTAAAGCTGTAAAATAATACCCTGAACTAGCCTGTCTTATGTCTTATTTTCAAGGAAAATGGGTTGGGAATATTCAAAATTGGTCGGGAGAATTTACTGTCAGAGGCTGTTGCACAGTGACGCCTTCAGAGTAAACCATTAATATATCTTTGTGGTTTGAGAATTTTTTCAGGTTTTTTTTTTAATGTTAGAGGGCTAAATACAGTAGAAGGAATATAAAAAGTAACATTTCATACAAAAAATACGCATTTTTTTCATCAACTTTCAACAATGTTACCTGATCACTTTAAAGAGCATAATTAATGAACTCTAATCTATAGAAGCCGATCGAAACATTTAATGAATTCAAACATCCATCTTACTCACCGCAGCTTTGGACTAGGTAATCATCGGGTAACCACCAGTATCCCTCGGTACCACCAGATGTACTGAATCCAAGTTCAGCCAGACTTAGAGGTGTAGGAACCACCACTTCAAGCCTCGGGATGCTGTCTGCTCCTCGACCAACCTAAACATAAAAACAAACAATCTTATTCGATTTTAACACATCGATGATAATAATTATTGAATTAAAACAATCATGATGATGAATAATTGGGTCAAATTTACCCAAGGTAGCCGCATCAGTATCAATACTGCTCTTCCTGCAGGCCATGCGATTTTCATTGTAGTTCTGTTGTCTACTTTATGTGTTTTGTTCATACTTCGGGTAGTAGGCCTACTGTCTAAAATGATTATTCAGGAGGGGAGGGATATTTTAAATGAAGTTGTTTTAATTAGTGCCCCCATCCCCTAATTGTTTTCCTTCTCATCTGAAATATAAATATCAGTCTTTGCGACTTGGGCCTATGCGTCGACGACTGACTATACGGTTAATAAAAAAATAAAACAATTGAAGAAGATAAGTTTTATTATGTACCCATTGATGGTAGTCATGCTATCAAGCTTTGCTTACTTTGTAAACCCTCCTGCTTGATGTTTTCGATTAGTTACAGCCAGCCTTACTTTATTCTACATTATATTCTTTTGTCAATTGTGTAAATTTGCAGTGTTTGTTCGTTATATATTGTAAAATGCAAAAGAAAAAGAAAATAAAAAAGAAATAAAAAAATCAAATCAAATCAAGAGAATAGGCCCATTCCATATATAGGCCCCCACAAAATTCATTTGGTTGTCCTCGACCGCCCGCTCGTCATTTTCGGGCCGCTCGTATTTATATATATATATATATATATATATATATATATATATATATCTTTTTTTTTTTTAATTCACTTTTTTTTTTTTTTTTTTTGGAGGGGGGGGGGGAGCAATCTTATACGCCAAACATACCATTTTATGCATTTTGCAAGGATCAAAATCGGTCCCGTTGCCAGTTTGGTCATTTCAGTTGGCAATTCTGTATTTATTAAACTTGCCATTTTTATTTGTCTATGTCAAAATGCTGTTCATTCTTTAACTCATCCTTAAAGCCCATCTGTACTAGTTTACAGGAGGGATTAGACCACCCTGCAAAGTCACTGGACAGGTGGCTATCTCATCAAATCAGCTCCCAGTTAACAAGATAAAGAGGATCATGGGGGACCAATGGTCACCGATTAGGCATTGTTTGCTATATAGAGGGCGCAAGTATAGCTATACGTAGTACAGTGGGGATTTAAAAGATGCTGTATTTCAAAGCCAAAAATACTTTCTGTGTTGGTCTTGATATTCATTGTACATTAAAATAGTCTTTTACCATATTAAAGTATTTATTGACTTCGTTTGTTTAAATGCTTGACATCCCAATGATTTTTTTTTTTGTGTTTATTTATGGAAAAATATTTATCTCCAAAAAAAAAGAAGAAAAAAAAAAAGACCCCCCTAAAAATAATTTTAAAAAAAATCCGCCCGCCCGCCCCTACTCCAGAAAAGCAATCGAGGACAACCAAATGATTTTTTTTTTGCCTTATCATGTTATTCCTGTTTACTGTATAGATATTGATAATCATACTGACCTGTATGATACGTTGAGAGTAGTCGTATCCTATCCACAGATCTTGGATCTGATAAAAGCTGACGGCATCTGGCATTTTAACTGCCCCTAACTCGTTACATCCACTATTGGAACATTGACTCACGGCTGTGTACCGGTTCCTGTTCCTTCCGAAAACTGGGGAGGGGGAGGGGGGGGGAGACGACAACAAAGAAATGCAAATAAGTGGCGTGTTTAGCAGGGCAAGGGGCCGTCCTACCTTCCTCCGCTTGACATAGAAATATATATTTCTATAAGTAGTTGGGGGGGGGGGGATTAGCCCCTCCCGTTTATAAATAAAATATGTCTAAATACTAAAAACAAGGATTTGATGTCACAATAATGTTAACAAAATGTTGAGCTTAATGTGAATTAATTTTCATCCAAGTCTTTCACTTATAAATCTTAAAGAAGAAGATATTATTTGAAAATGTATTCCGGACGAGGTAGACAGACGACATTGCGTAGACTGACTTATGGGGGGGGGGGGGGGGGGTTGAGTGTCAATCCGGACACTTAACAAACATGAAGACTTCTCTTTTGCCGTAGGATCGAAACGAAAAATATTTATCAAATAGCATTTACCCATCATGAATATTAATTCGTTGGTCCTTTATAATATTGCTAACCGTATACTAAGTTTTTGAAGATTTATGAAATGTTGTACGTAAACTTTTTCAAATTGCTGTTTTAAATCAACAGTACTGTCTGGAAACAGAGCTTGTTTGGACTAACAACGTCTAGGACTGGTATACTTTTGACACTTTGATTTTTATTTCTGATTTGAATCTAAAGTTAAAGTTTGGCTGTACTGGATGTTTTGTTCATCATGATATATAGAACAAACAATTATTGTGTACCTCCATTTGCTGCAGTGTCAAACTTTATAAAAATGTTATGGAATAAATAAAGATTATTTCATTTCATTCAATATTTACTTTCTGAGCCTGATGATGTAAATCAATGACTTACCGATATCATAAATCTCTTGTCGACCGTTGGTCGAGAGAGCAACATGAGTATCAGCTCCAGACCTGACCCGGAACCTCAGAATGAACTCGTTTTGATTCGGTGCTGCTATAGGAGGCACGACATCGAAATCAAAAGGGTTGTTTGGTGATGTCATAACGTGCACTCCAAAGAGATCCAAGACATCCGCTGTGTATTCTACATCGACCACTATACAAGAGGGAATAATGGCCATATCATCAAATAGTGTTGCAAACAAACATAAAAAAGAACATACATAAAACCTAAATCCTTATGAAGGCCCTCCTCCCGCCCCCCCCCCCAAAAAAAAAAACAACAACAAAAAACAGGGATCTAAAAACTACGCCGTCTTTTTTATTTCAAACCACTTTATGCTATGAAAATATACATAGCCAGGTCAAAAGTATGAAAATTACAAATAAAATTTGGTAAACCTCCCAAACAATCTTTGTCGAATTCAGACTGATGCTGAGGATAGAGGGGGTAGACTTAGGGGGGAGAGAGAGAGAGAGAGAGAGAGAGAGGGGGGGGGGGGGCTCACTAGGACTGAAAATCAATTGAGAAATTCGAAGCGACCGGTCAATCGTACATAATTAAGCGGCCCTCAGACCACAAATCGACCGGCCCTCAAGCCAAAATATCGAGCCTCTCGATCCATAGAAAAACTCTCTGAACTCCCCGAGTTTGTCTGTCCACCCTCTCACGTGGTAGGATAAAAGAGCTGCTTAAGACTAATATGGATCTATATAATTATCAATTTAAAGGAATCATATACATGCTGAATCACGTTTTAAATCGATTGAACACTGTGAGTACATTTCATCTTTATATTCAATTTGTACCTTTTGAGACAGTCTGCTCAATATACTCTTATGAACACTATCCTGTTTCAGTCACGTCCCATGCATTCATGTAAATAAAAGTTCTTCACATCAACCTTAAATCCTATAGTCGGATATCATTTTCTGCTGGTTCAAATAAAATTAATGAAACCTATATACATAGAGCATATTCCGTCATGGAGTCACCTCTGAAATAATAACAGCTATTTATTTATTTTTTTTTGTTGTTGTAATGCTCAACAAGTTAATGGAATTACCACTTAGGTCTAGACTACTTATTTATATTTTAAATTTTATTTATTGATTGATTGATTGATTAATACTGATTTTGATTTTTTTTCGGGGGGGGGGGGGTGGGGGGGGGGGGAGGGAGGGATATTATTATGCATGACTTACCGTTCCCATATCCGGTCAATACGAAGATGCTCGCGATGATGAAGAAGACTACAATCATAATGCTGAAGCAAAGATATGATTATTAAATAATTGATATCCGATACAATACAGAAAGCAGAGGATCAAATACATGAACAAACACCTTATTCACTGTTAGTTGTAACTGAAGGTAGATCTAGACCTAGTCTATATGAAATAATTTACCCCCTCTTTTTCTCCTTGTTCTTGTTCTTGTTCTTGTTCTTGTTCTTTTTTCTTTCTTATTCTTGTTCTTGTTCTTGTTCTTGTTCTTCTTTTTTACCTTCTTCCTATTCTTCTAGAACTTGTTTATTAAAAACATAACAACATTGTCGAGTTTTTTGGTTCTTTCATGCAAGATATTTGAAAATAGAATATAATGTGGCTACTTAATTCATATTTTGCTTAAAATCTAAATTAAACCCGAGAGATTAACATTATTTTTTTTAGAGTTGGAGAACGCATTTTTATTTTGCTTGCGCCCATCCCCTCTTCTTAGAAAACAAAATTAATTAAAACAAAATACTTTGAATGGGATAACAATAATGCAGAGATATAATTGTCACTTACCAATAGTATGTTGCAGTTCAGTGAATATGATCAAAAACTCAGGAGTAACAATTTTTGGAATTATATGACCCATCCACAGAAGGTACGTTCTCTCTAGTCTGCATATAATTATGCATATTAATTATGCACTCACGTGTGTGCTGTATATATTGCGTTGATATATTCCGCGCAGCGCGCATTAGACAAGGCAAGCTCAGCCAGACTGCGCCCATACGCGCTAGAGAAAATGAAGAGCATGTAACATGGAAAGGAGGAGGAGGAGGAGGACAGGAGGAGGAGGAGGAGAAGAAGAAGAAGAAGAAGAAGAAGAAGAAGAAGAAGAAGAAGAACAAGAACAAGTAGAGAAGGAGGAAAAAAATGAGATTAAGGAGTGAGACGAGGAGGGAATGAAACAAAAAAGAAGACTAGGAGGAAAAGAATATAATAAAAGAAGGAAAGGTGGTTATAATGATAATGGTAAAAGGAGGAGGTCTGGATAAGAAGAAGGAGGAGGAGGAGGAGGAGGAGGAGGAGGGGGAAGAGGAGGAGGAGGAAGAGGAAGAGGGGGCACGGGGCCTGGAACCTTCTTTGTTAAAAGCTCATCAAACTTAAAACTGATCTTGGATCTTGGATTCTTTTCCTCCTAAATACTCCGAAGAGTTTTGACTGGAGGTGGTCAAACCAGATAATTACAACTCTTAATAAGGAAGGGCCCTACTTCTATACTTCTACTTCTATACGACGATACTCAGCCCTGATTTATTGACAGTCAAGTTTGCGTGTAATATTTCGGAGCTTATTCGCAATTTTAATTTTGTCAACCTATTTTGTTCCCTCAAGAAGCAGCTGGTCTTTGTTTCTCTTGAATCGATCGTTTCTGCATTCCATTCTCTCTCTCTCTTTTTCATCGACCACTTTTCCTTTCTCTCACTCATTTCCCTGTCGTGAACTCTCAGTTTAATTTTTTCCCTATAATTGGACCTCACCAACCCTTTTCTCTCTCATCTCTTCATCTAACGCCCCACCCTCCCTTCTTTCTCCCATCTGTTCATCTAGCGCCACACCCTCCCTTCTTTCTTTCTCTCTCATCTCTTCATCTAACGCCCCGCCCTCCCTTCTTTCTTTCTCTCATCTCTTCATCGAACGCCCTCCAGTTAAAACTCAGACGAGTATTTTGGAGGACCAACCAACCAAGAACCAAGAACGCCCCGCCCTCCCTTCTTTCTCCCATCTGTTCATCTAACGCCACACCCTCCCTTCTTTCTTTCTCTCTCATCTCTTCATCTAACGCCCCGCCCTCCCTTCTTTATTTCTCTCATCTCTTCATCTAACGCCCCACCCTCCCTTCTTTATTTCTCTCATCTCTTCATCTAACGCCACACCCCTCCCCTCTTTATTTCTCTCATCTTTTCATCTTACACCCCTCCCCTCCCCTCTTTATTTCTCTCATCTTTTCATCTTACGCCCCACCCCTCCCTTCTTTATTTCTTTCATCTTTTCATCTAATGCCACACCCTCCCTTCCTTTTATTCTCTCATCTCTTCATCTAACGCCCCGCCCTCCCTTCTTTCTTTCTCTCATCTCTTCATCGAACGCCCTCCAGTTAAAACTCAGACGAGTATTTTGGAGGACCAACCAACCAACCAAGAACCAAGAACGCCCCGCCCTCCCTTCTTTCTTTCTCTCATCTCTTCATCTAACGCCCCACCCTCTATAAACTAACATAATTGTTTGTGCTTAATAATACTGTCTAACATACGTCTTCAAAGATTAACTTCCCTCAAATAACTGTTTTAAACCAACTGTCCAGAAAACCTGTCAGGACATACGACGTGCGAGTACAGAAAGAAAGGACTAGGAAAATCAGTCGTATACAAGAAAGTCTACCTTTATTACATGTGAGTGCTACACTGTACATAGAAGCAAAGAAGAAAAAATACCCAGAAATTGTTTAAGGCATTGTGAGTCTTTACAAGTAATTAGAAATTCTTTGACTACACCATCCTGACATAGCTTAAGATTCTGAAAATCGTGCAATTAAGTGCAAATTCAAAAGAAGAAGGCATAGCACTAACTACTCATGAGTATTTAGTAATTTGTCCAGGGGTAAATTTCCTAACATGATTGCTGCTTCAATATAAGCTTGATTTCAAAGAATATTAGATTAACAGACAAACCATGCTGTGAAAGTCAAACTGTGTCATGAAGGTCAAACATGTCATGAAGGTCAAACCATGTCATGAAGGTCAAACCTATAATAATGCCCATTCTAATAAAGAATATTTTCTAAAAACAAAGGCTATAGTTTCATCTCATGGTCTCTATCCTTGCTGATGAAGAAAGATCAGGGGTGGTATTCTGAAAATTACTTGATCTTGATTTCAGTGAAATGATTTCAATTGTCATATAACACATACTTAATTGGGCTTTTCATGGGTGATTGCGCAGATGGCACACATACAAATGCATCCATCTACACGCAGTCATTACCCAATCTACCGCAACAAGTTTAGATTCGAAATGACAATTAAAAAAATCTCACTAGATTCAAGAATCAAGATTTTCAAAATGGACCTCTATTAAAAACTTGAAGCCTAACGGCTAGTTCAGATATGCCATGGTAAGCCTCTGAGTTTTTTTTTTATAACAATGTGTAAATGAAAGCAACTGCGCCTAGCAAAGGTCCTATGCGTGTATTCACTTAGCTCTGTGTGGTTCAAGATACAGAAATGTGAGACACATTACATTTACATCATTATGAGGAAAAGAAATCCATGGTTAACCATGTCCGTAGCATATCTGTACAAGTCTTAATGATTGAAACAGAAACAAGACACAATATCTACTATGTACAGTTAATTTCAATTACTTTGTCATGATACTGGAAGCCATTTCAAACATTTGATGATATAAAGAGAAAATAATGAGCTCATTATTTGTCTTGATTATTTAATTTGATAGGAAACTCACTGTAATAATCTAGAGATAATTATGATTGTTATGATTGTAATGATAATAACAATAATAACCTGGATTTATATTGTGCTTAATACGAAATACTGTTTCTAAGCACTTTACAGATATTATTATTATTGTAGCAGTCACTTTCTTAGGCATATATATATGTAAAAATGAAGACACAAAGTATGTTTGAGTAGAAAAGAGACAGAAAAACTAACTGCATAATTAATCCAATTTGTCCATCATTTGATCCATCAATACTGTTTCTTTGCATTCTTTGATCGTTTTTGCTCCTTTTCCTATATATTCTTCATCAAAAAAGTTGATCTGTAGGGAAAATCCTCTTTGTGAATAAAATTAATTTGCATCACTGTTTTATTGTTATAAAAAATTATTTGATGATACTTGCAGATTATTACAGGCTTCAGTTCAGACTTTGCTTCGTTTTATTCACTTGCATAGACATTGCTGATGGTGGGGAGTTTTTCTTTCTAATAATTGAATGAACGGTTACCTGTACATCCTGGGCTTTCTAGCACTGATAAGTGATAAACCAAAAGCACCGACTCATAAAAACCACTTCATAATGTTCAATGTAATAAAACTGCACTTTCATTTTCATTACACAGCCATGTTCAGTGAAACTGCCTAGGAATTTATCAATCAAGTCACAATTAGGATGCAACCAATATCTACAGACTACAGAGCCACAGAGGAGCACATTTTATAGATCAAAGTTTCCCCCTTCAAATTGATTTCTATTTCCTGCTAATATCTCCCTATATATGACTCGGGAGAGCCAGACATTGGTTCATATAAACTGAGCAGTTTTCATTCGCTTCCTAATACGTTAAATACCTTGATTTCTTCAGAGAAGGTCAGGTTGGAACAGTGTGCAAAAGTGCATCGACTCTTATTTAGATCAGTCAAAATATATCATAAGGCATCATGGAAATGTAACTTTTACAATGAGAGGGGGTATTCATTTTCAACGTTATCACACAAATTGTGATAAAAAATATTCAAATATTATACATAAAGAGTGTCACTGCACTGGCACTTACTAAATCATAACAGACCACCACCTGTCTATTTTGGTCATCCTCACTCTCTAAGTTCAGAAAAATAGTAAATAAAAACTGGCACATACATGTACATTTAAAGCAAAATACAAATAAAATAAATTCAAAATCGCCACATGTGATACAAGTATTTGCTTCATACCTTATCTAGAAAAAGTCAATTTACCCACTGCAGATTATACCTACACTTTGATGTGTGTTTTTTTTTTTTACGGTTTTACACTCTCATAACTCCATTTGTAAAATAGAGCTCAATGATGCACTAACAAAACAAATGAAGTAAAACATGTTCTCAATTTTTAACTACAATAATCATATTGTATAAACATGTACATATTTATAAAAACAAAATAATGTACAAGTTGTTTACTATCAGCACGGATGAATTTCTCACCCTGAAATTTTAATTCTTTTGAGAAGAAGCACTCTGAGTAATTGTGCAAAAAAATAAAGACCAAAGTAGAATCACAATATAATGGCAGTTTGAGATGTGCGATTTTGTGCATAAATCATTTCTGACGTGTGGTATTGTGACGTGAGTTTCCTACACTGTCCAACATAGACAACGCAAGGATGCATGTAAAGCGTCAACTCAAAATTAGTCATTGAAGCTTGCATTGAGAAGATGGTTATTGTTGGGATTTAGCTTCTGCACTGGAAAGTTGCGGTGTTACTGCGTCAGAGCACTTACAAACCTGAATGCAATTACATGCTTCGTGTGGCATAAACATCTTTCATTCTCCATTACCTTGAAAACTATTTTTCTCTCTCTTGATATTTTGCCCACAAGAATTAGGGAATCTCAGATAAATCCCTATGCTCTCACAGAAACACTTAATGCATCCAATCTGTACCACACATCACAGGACGTTTCCACTATCAAGTTTTATTTTCCACACATTTGCATTACACGTGGGTAGAGTATTTCAGGTGTATTCCCACAGGACTATATCAACCTCTTCTTATTTTGACACAACTTTAAAATAACCTCCTATTTAACATGCTATGATGAGAATAGGCAAAAACAAACAAACAAAAGCAGATCCAATGATATGAATCAGAAAAAGGAGAAAAATAAATACTACATACAAAAATTAAGAGGTGTACTTCTCTAAGTAATACAAGAATGTTAAACAGAAATAATCATGCATTGACTGTTCTGATTGTACTTGCACAATAACATGTATGATATTTCACAAATTTG